GAATTACTTGCCTTTTGTCTATTCAGTCTATTGCGGAAGATTAAGATTTTGCTGGTCATGTGACATTAATTTTGAGTTTTTGCTTTTGGGTGCGATGTGATTCTTTCATATAGCGCTCCATTTTGTCTAGGGTCATGATTTGTTGTTTTGAGTAAATCAGTTGTATTCTTTGATAGGAGCTAAGAATTTGATTGTTTTGTTATTAAAAAATCTTATTTAGAAAAGTTTTAAATTCTGAATTTTTGATTATGGGTTTCCCTTGATTTTTCTTTTCATGTAATTTCTGATTCTGTTTGTAACTCGCAACGTTTTATTTATTTATTGTTTTTGTGCATTTTGCATCTGTGTTCCATGGTTTGTTTTTATATTGCCTCTTTACTTTGTTGATATCCAACAATATACCATAAAAAAAAATTAACAACCACGTCTATTTAATATCGTTATGAACATAAAAAAGAACAACATGAAATATGATAACTGCTCACGCGTAGCATGGCAAAAGATAGGCTAGTACTTCAATAATAGTCTCTACAGCCAATAAATTAAGTAAAAAATATGGACCAAGAAAGTATGCCGCGTTTGGGGGATCTCCTCCGTTGGGCTTTGAACTGATGATCAATTTAATTTTGGAGGGGAACCATTTGTCACAACCTTGTGGCTAAAGGCTGGCCGGAAAGGCAGAAATGGAGAAAATAGATAGAGGGCCGACGAAAATTAGGGTTACGAAATTGGGAAAGTCGAAGAAGGAAGAAGAAATTAGAAATTTCAATTCAAGTATAATATTTTTGATAATCTGATTACAGCCCCTGGTAGACTATTTATATTCCACCTATTTTTAAAATTACACTTTAGTCCCCAAGCTTTCTTATTCCTATAATTTGGTCCAGGGGCATGACAAACCCCTCCCCTTAAAATAGTCTTGTCCCCAAGACTGTGTTTCAAAAGAACTACCTAGTACAACTACCAGAACTACTTTAACTGGCAATAGCCAATATCACATAGTACAAGTAGCCATAGAGTGAAAAACTAGCATTGTGGAAATATAGTAATGTAATACTAAGCTCACAAGCCATCCTCATGTCAAGCTCCTTGCTCTTTTCTTTGGAGTTTCTGCAAAAGTACTTCTTCATAGAGTTTTCTTTGAGAGTGGTCAGAAGTTGGGAAGCTGAACCCAGAGTTGTGCCTCCTTTGAAGATGGTTACCATTTTATCCCATGGCTTAAAATCGTACTGAAATTAAAAGCTCATTATAGTACCTATTTTGAAGGAAGTTACCGCTACAATCCAACATTTGGGAAGGAGATTGCTAATATGGTTGTCCTCCAGTATCAAGTTCCATTTTTTGACAAGTTCGGGCCACCACAAACTCTGCACAAGGTAGAGCCAATTGTCTATCAAAACGCCTGCTGGAATGGTCAAGGCCAATAACCTTTTCTGGCAGTGATACTGCATTTTTAGTCTTGCAGCTGCTCAATTGTTGTAGTATCTCATGATTAGCTAACACCACATCAAGTAGCATGAAATCTCCTACAAGGGTTTCTCCATCAGTCGTCTCGCCTCTAAAACAGGTTGCAGCTTGAATCCAACCCTTGATTTCCGAAAGCAAAGTACCCTCCTTCCAACCAGCTGCAACTCGAGTTCTGAGTTGGTGTTCCCTGTTCGTGCCCTTGCATGGCATTCCACCATATACCACTTCTACAGCCATTATTCCCGGATCCCATACCACACTAAGAATGCTTCCACACGTTTTAGATATTTTCTCTCCTATTTCACTTCCATTCAATTCATGAAGGATAAACCCTTTCGCCTCATTACCTTTGCTGCTAACTGGAGTTTCAGCACTAGCAAACACATTGAATCCACCGTATTCAACAGCAAACCATGTAATCATTCCTCAATGATCATATGGCAAAATGACACAGTAAATCCAACTAGGAGTGGTACTAAACAACTTCAAATAAGTTATCACAAAATTATGTTTCAACTCTGAAAACACACCCCCAAAACCAGCGGTCATAGCATGAACAAACCAAGTTACATTCCTTATTTTACTTGCAAGGATTCCATAAAATTCAGATTTTACACTCCACTTGTTTAACATTAATTCCCCCAAAAAATTTAATTCCTCTGATTTTTTTTAATCATAAGAACATACTCATTGCCCGCATTTTTCAGTACACTCTTTCTGATAGTAACACAAGCATTAGTATACCAAAAATGTAGCTACGGTTCCTAGCCATCCCATACACCTTTGCAGTACAATCTCAAGAAAGAGCCAAGCAATTTTCCAACTAAAATTTGCTGGAGAAACACAATATTTTTCTTTGACACATTTTACATGAAAAGAATTACTTTTACTCAATCTGACTTCTAGAAATTCACATGGCCTAGCAGCTGGAACTAGTTCTGACCACGGTTCTAGAACCATCGGTTATGATTCTAAAACCGCCGGTTCATGGTTCCAAGATAGATGGAACTATAACCGAACCATGTTAGAGACGGTTTCAAATGGTTACGGTTTGAGACGGTTCTAATTTCGGCTACGACTTTGGTTATGGTTTCAACTTCGGTTATGGTTAGAGTCTTTTTATTCGATTCTAATTATGATTTTGATATGTGTTGTATTTTATTAGCTTTATTTCTTCTTTAAAATTTTCTTTTGTCATGGACAACTTGACAAAAACTGAGGAATGATTAATTTAATTTTTTTAATTAATCTTGCTAAGTTTAGAAGAAGTCATATAGTAAAAAATTAACTAGAAATAATTTGAAGTTTTTTAATAATTAAGTATACTTATTTTTTATGGTTCTAACCGGAACCAAACTGCCAGTTACAATTCTGGTTCTTATAAATGAAGAACCAGAACCAAAAACGAACCAAAGAATTATGGTTACGGTTACGGTTTTTGAACCATTAATTGCGGTTATGGTTTAGAACCCATATCGACAGTTTGGTTCCGGTTTGATTCCAGTTCGAACCAAAACTTTGGTAAGGTCTAGCTAGAACACTAATATCAAGGAGATTCTCCACATCAACAAGTAATTCCATAACCTCGGTGTTTTCAAAATTTCCCCGACAATAGCCTCTTATCCAGAGATCATCATTCCAATCGAATTTCCAGAAAAGATAATGGATAATTCCCTTCCCCTTAAAAACTTTCTTGTCCTCAAGAAAGTAAAATGAGTAAAAAGGTGCATTTCCATTATTAATAAACATTTTCATAAATTCAGTACTCAAAGAAGCAATCATTTTCACACTTCCACCATTTGCAAAACCAATTGAGCTCACAGTGCTGAAGTGATTTCCTACTCCACCAGGGTCAACATAATATCATTTATATCATCTTTCAGTACAAAATCTTCATCAACTATAGCTTTATCAATCAAACTCAGATACAAAGAACTACTTTTAGTTAAATTGTTACGCTTACCTAATCCCAGGGGTTCAATAACACAAGTACTTGGAGGATTTCCTTTAGTTACAAGATATACCAATTCATAACCATCATAACGAAGTACTAATTCCTCCAGATCAACAGGAAATGAATTAAGGCCAATAGTAGATAGGCAGCCAACAACGGTAAAAACACAAGAACTCAAAAACAATTCTAAACCAGCGTCAACATGATTGCAGTTCAACACAATCAGAACAGTACCAACCATACCATCCAATGCAACTATTCTAATATCATTTTTCTCATTCCGACGTGTAAAAATACCAACAGTATGATTCAAACCAACATTAATAACCCCAGGTTCACACTTGGAATTAACACGAGTATTCTCAAAGAACAACTTCACAGTATCATTCAAATGCAAAGGTCTAACAACTAAATAATCACTTAATTATCACAAAAAGTACCATAAGTTGGGGTTTCATCTTTACTATATATCTCAAGTTCAAATTGTCTTTATTAAATACCATAAGTTAAAGTTTTGTCTTTTTTCACTTTTCCGTCCAAGAACCGTTAAAATTGTAACGGTCAACTGGTCAACTGTTGAGTTGTCAAAAGGGCAATTTTGTCTTTTAAATAAAAATAATTTCTAAAAAAATTATTTTTACTTTAAAAAAAAAATTTGAACCTGCTCGATACCATGAAATAATGAGAAAGGCAATGCATTTTCAGATTGAAAGTATGATCTGATTCTCTAATTTTATTCGACGGCCAACAGTACATATATATATATATATATATATAAATATGATGTAGTTTACGTAGACTAGGGTTTGAATACTGACCCTAATTACCATAATAAAACTCCTAGTAATTACATCATTTACATGGATATATATTACTCTAACAGAAACAAGGAAATGGAGAAATTTTGCACAGATTTCAAAACAAGGAAGATCATCAAGAGATTTCAAATTTTCAGATTGTTCGAAGTAGAGATGGAAGAAAAAGGATGAACAAATTGGTGAAATCGATATAGAGACGGCCCAGAATAGACCGCTCTGATACCAAATGTCACGACCCCGTGGTAGGAGAGTTGCCGGAAATGCAGAAATGGAGAAAATAGACGGAGGGTCGACGAAAATTAGGGTTACGAAATTCGGAAAGTCGGAGAACAAAGAAGAAATTGGAAATTCCAATTGAACTATAATATTTTTGATAATTTGATTACAGACCCTGATAGACTATTTATACTCCACCTATTTTTAAAATTACACTTCAGTCTCCAAACTTTCTAATTTTTACAATTTGCTCCAGGGGCATGACACTATTGCATCAGTTGGGACAAAATTGAAAATTCATAAATTCAGTTTTCTATTAAAATTTTCAAAATCCGAATGTTTTCTATCAAGTTTTGTAAAGTTCTCTTTAACCACAAAGTATTTTTGCATCAATTTGGGTTTTCACGACCGGCTCAACACTGCTAACAGAAACCCTAATAAACAAACGTAAAGATACTGTATTTAAAAGCATGCCCGCTTCTTCTAGTAGTTCAAAAAACTTACAGTAATCAAATTTCCATCCATCGATTTCAAATAGCCGAAGTATGAGCGACATCAACCGCTCCTTGCAAGTGTCAAAGGTAGGATCCAATTTTAGTTTTATTTAGGAACTGTGTTAAGATTGTAGCTGTGCCATTAAGGTGATAAGATTTCACGTTCTAGTAATTTCAAGATTGAATATTAGTCTAATTTTTGTGTAGGGGTTTTAAGGTGTTCACTATAATGGAACAAAAACCACTACCACCTTTTCATCTTTTCCTTGTCAGTTGAAGTTTCTCTTTGTTCGCCGTTTATTGATTTTTTTATTTACTTATTTGTGTGATATATACCCTTCATTAGTTTGGTAAACAAATTAAGTACAGTAATAAGAACTAATGAAGGAGGGTGCCTACGAATCGTAATTAACCTTAATTACCACTTGGATTGTGGTAAAGATTTTGTGTACGAATAATGTATTAGTTGTGGGGGAGGAGACTGTTTTGCACTTTGATTATTGTTTTGTGTTGTTGTATTCATTTATGTTAACTGATGTACTTTAGTGTCTGGATTATAGAGGAAAATAATCGTAGCCTTTTGAAAGTTAATTTTGATAACTCATGTATTATTATGCTTATTATGTCTCTAAATGCTATTTTCTCTACCGTGTAAAAGTTGAAAGGGCTTTATGATGTTGTGATCAAATCTTTCCTAGCTACTACTTCTTCATCTTGTCCAGAATTGTGCTAAAAGTGAAAATCCATACTGGACAATTATATTAGGACTAGGGAGTATGACATTTTCTATATCCCAGCGTCTATTACCGTAGTGATATGACATTTGGGTTTTTATAATCTAAGAAAATTATGTTATAGGTTTGGACTTCCTCTGCATATTCATAGCCATATGACTTGATCATTGCTTGCTGTTGTTGCAGGCCTTGGCAAAAAAAATTTCTCTTGCTGTTTTGGCATAGGATTGGCTAGTCACTTATTTCTTCTTTGTATCTATTAAATTATTAGGTGTACTGTTCTTTTTCAGTCTTTATAGTTTACTGGTAGTGTATTAATACTATAGTTTAACTATGGCAAACCACACGTAGTGTCTGCAGATAAAGCCTTATATAGATAGTAAGTAGTTTATATAATGACTCTTGTGGTGGTACTACTTTTGATTTTCTTAATATAATGAGTATGACAAAAAAAAAAAAATACTCTTCATCTGGTCAATATTGAGTCTATTCTTTTGACACACCATGTAGGGAGAAAACAAGATGTTTCATGTCTCTACCAATGAGTTCACGCTGAGCAAGAGGAAGAAGGTTTGTTCTCTCTCTTATTTCGTAATATTAATCATATTTCTTAGTCTTCTGCCAAGGTTTTTGTATTTTCTTTCTAAAAAGGACATCAATATAAAGTACAAGAGGACAGTGCGGATGTTCCTCTTTGGATTGATTTTAATGTTGTAATGAGATGGGAGGGTTGAATAATTTCCATTCATTTAAAGTTAGTATTTTTTTCTTCAATTCCAACAGCATGATTAAGAACGTACTTCTTTTTAAGAATCTTGTTACTTGCGGGGCCTGCTTAATCATGAGATTGGAGGGTTGAATATTTCCACTCATTTAAAGTTAGTATTTTTCCTTTACCAAAACATTTTGACTTCTGCTAGTGGTGGTGATATTCGTGACATTTATTTATGGCGATGATTGTATTTTTTCTGATATCGAGAAATTTATTGTTATTATCACAAGGTCGGCGGTTCCATTCTGATTGGAGTAATTTATTTTTTATCGTATTATTATTCTGTTGAATGAAAAGGCTTTTTGGTAGTTCCTGAAGTTTGACTTGGAACTTCTTTTAGTTTTTTTTTTTCTTGAAACCTGTTCTTGAATTCTTTAAACTAAAAGTTGGGATCTTTGGTCTGAGAGTTGTTTCCTTTTGGATGAAGAGAGACATTCCCAGTTGTGGGAGTTCCAGCTCCATGGATCGTTTGCCAGATGAGGTTATTATATTTATTTTGTCCAAGTTAATAATCAAGGAAGCCGTACGGACCGGTGCTGTTTCAAGTAGATTCCGATTCTTATGGTGATCGGCTTCATCCGACATTGTATTTGATCTGAACAGCTCCAAGATAGATGATGTTGAAGCAGCCCGAAACAATGCATACTTGACAAAAGCATTAACTGAGTGTATAATGGAACTACAACAATGTCGGAATGTGGTGGATAAGTTTATGATTCGCTGCTTCAAGTCCCATGGTCAGTATGATAATAATGTCACGGACGACGCCATTTGTGACTGGATCCGTTTTTGCATTCGGAAGAAAGTCCGAGTTCTTGAACTGGCAGCTTCCCACTGTATCCCTACAGTAGTATCTTCGTATCATTTTAAAACGCAAAGGGCGGATCCTTTTTGGGCAGCAGGAGCCTTCTATTATTTTCAGAACCCTGATGAAATCAAATTGCCATTATATTGTTACGATTTCCCTAGTCTAGAGAAGTTCTTGTCAATTTCCCGGGAGATGGATCGGGTGGTTGGAAGCTGCGCTCCTGCTTTTGCTTCCTTAGCATCCTTGACGCTGGCCAATTTTAACCTCACCAACGAGATGATGGAATACCTTTTGGCCAATTGTCAGTGCCTTGAACAACTATCTTTAAAAGACGTAGCGTACCTAAGTAGATTAAGAATTGTTAGCAGTCCATCTCTAAAGTCTTTGAGCATAGGCCGCTGTTGGGATTTGAAAAATGTGAGGATTATTTCTGCTGCCAACCTCGTGTCTTTTGAGTACACGGGACATCCTCTATATCTTTGGCAAGGCACAGAGTTTTGCTTTGATAATGTCCCTCTCTTGTCAAAGTTGACAGGAGATATTACTTATTTGGTATCTTTTATTGCTGATAAACACTTGCATGAAGTTTACTCTAATCAAATGGAGAAAATGGCGCTATATTTGCCTCGTCGACAGGTTAGCATGACCCTTCTTCTGTAATTTTTTTTTCCTTTTTTTCAATTCTGGTTAATTACAGCAAGCACATTTCCTTATAATGGATGCTTCATTTGTTCACCAATCAATCATTGTCCTTCATATTGATTAGGATATGATGATGCGGAAGTAGACTTTGTTGCGCGGTATAGAAGAAAAATCTTCCCTTTTCCCTTGTTTAACATGCCTCAAAGAACTTGAATTGTTTATCACCACCACACCTGATACAATGCTCACTTTCTATGTACTATGCGTTAAGTGGTGTCCTTTTTTATGTACCTTATACTGTTCAGGTACGCACTTTTGTCCCAAGGCCCCCACGTTGTTTCGTTCTATAACTGCTTATATGTGTGTGGTTTTCTTAGTTTCGTAACAATTGTTATTTTTTTTTCTTATCTTGCCAGTTCCGCAACAAGGATGAAGCATACTTTTCCGAGGTAATTTGTTAAAAATAATTATAAATAATTATATCCTTTCACGCATTCTGTCTAAAATTGTTTGGTTTACTTTGAGGAATTTGTCTAGCCGTATCATAGATAGTACTAATGCAAACATTTTCTTTATTCCTTCCTTATTTTTCCAGATTCCGCCATAGAATTTTGGCACTTCGGTACTGCAGAAGTATGTGAAGAAATATCATCGTAGGTGTTTAAAAGTGGTGAGGTTGATTGATGTGAAGAGTGTAGAAGGTCATCTGCAGTTTATGCACGATCTGCTTCGGATGTGCCAATTTCTGGAGAAACTGTTCATCAAATTGACGTCTTCGGAAGATTTTATGCTAATGAAGGATTTTTGCTACATGACCAAGGGGCAGGGCTTAAGTTATTGTAGAAGAATAGCTATTGTAGTTTCGTTCAGTTGATTATTACTTTGAATTTGTTTGCAAATTTCGCGACATATATCAGTGTTCGCGACATACTTAGATTAAAAATTCTAACATCTTTCTGTTCCTGTTTTCAGCTTGCATGTTTTCTAAGTATTTTATCTAAGTATTTATAAAATAATTTCTATGTTAGAATTTTTTAAAACATAATAAATTTATGTTGAAATAAGAAAAATTTCAATTTAAATATATGAGTTTATCATCATAACTAAAGTTATTCAACACTAAAGGTGTTTAGGAGTCAATAATTGAGACTTGTAGATAAAATATAAAATTTATTGTCTAAAATAACCACAAAAACAAAAAGTCTCAAAAAAAAAAAAAGTTTACAAATAGTTTACAAAAAAAAAGAAAAAACTGGGGTCATAACATAAAGAAAAAAGTCTCAAACGGAAAGACAAAAATCGGGGTTTGACTGGTTTTGTCCGGTTCGCAGTCCGACTGGAATTTGGCCAGGTCTTGACCGGTTTAAATACTGTTCGGTTGTGAAGCAGGATCGGACCGTTCTCTTGACCGGTTCCTAATTGGACCGGTCCGACCGACCGGTCCGGTCTGAGTTTGACTACACTGATACGACCCTTAAAAAACAAATTTATATTTCCTCTTTCCCAAATTCTCTGCATAGTATTGAATAGAATAGAGTAGCAATATTAACCCACACATTGCTTATATTTACTCCTCATGACCTGATATCAATCAATCAATCGTGAGGAGCGTCCTAGATTAAATTGAGATTAACAAATGAAGGGGCGTTTTTTTCATTTTCTTGTTTGTACTTTAAATTCGTCCGAGCTTCGCGTACTGCCTTTGTTATATTCACAAAATCGATATTAAAGGTTATTTAAATAGTTTTAAACTGTTTAATAGAGAGTTCATTATAATAGTTCTAGACAAAAAATAATAAATTGAACAACCGCCTAGAACCAAAAAATAGACTGTGGAACTTGGAATTTCTATGTTTGATAGTTAAGATTATCCCTCATAATACCAGTTACAATATAGGACACCTAGGAAGTGTGTTAAACACATGCCCAAAAAGAGGGTGAAAAGAAAAAAGATTTTTCAAATCTTTATTTTCTGATATTTTTCTTAATTCTCAGCCATCATTAACCATATTTAACTTCTTATTCCATTCAATCCAAAGACGTTTCAATCTAAAAAATCTAAAAAATCAAATATTCTCTCTGCGGCGATTTGGCATCAAATCTTCTCGTCGGCGGTATTTTTTGAAGACGGAATCCGATTGTGCATCCAATCCCGTGAGTTTGGTTGCAATATACGCTGCTGAATATGAGAATTAATGTAATATATGATTTTATTCATCGATTTTGCGTGTTTCTTCCATGTATGAAGTTCATATAATGATATTTTTTCTGAAATATTCATGTAGAGGGCTTGGATTGTATATTCTGATTCGAATAGCAGCAACTCGATGACTTAAGATAGAAGGAGGTAATACTATTAATCTCTTCAACAATTGATGTGTTTTTCTTTTGTGTTAGGTTATGTAGATCTGGGGACTTTGCATTGGATTATAAATGGTTCCTCATTAATTTTTTAGTTTTGTTCATCTATTTGTTGTTAATTTTAGAAAGATTTTCCAGATTTGTTCATTATTCAACAATTACACATCCTTTATTCATCGATAATAATGGGATATTCATCAAAATGATTGTTATTTATCTGAATGGATAAATGAAAAATGTATATTTTGGTCATATTCATCGTAATATGTGGTTATTCATCAATTCGTATCTTCAACGTATTGTTCGAATGACCTATGCATACACATAGATATAGTTATTCATCAGTAAATTTGTAAATATTCATCCAACGAATTATGATCTTAATGTACTACATCTTTTGTTTTTATTAAGTAAAACATGTAAGATTATTCATCATACCGGTTAAGTTATTCATCATTGGTGAAGTAGTTATTTATTTCGTATCTGATACTAAATTAGTATATTTTTATTGGAATGCAATGTTTATTTGGAACTAATGTTGAAATTTGCAATTAAATATAATTTGTGTTTTATGAATATTGTTACGATATGTTGATCCGTTATTTATTCTATTAAAAGTGATTATTCACCCTTTGCGAATCTTTTATTCATCATGTAATATATGCATTGTGAATATTTTGATTAGATTAAATCACCATGCATATACACATTATATGCGTTGTGGATATTCATTCATTGTGGATATTCATCATGTAATAGTGATCCCATCATTTTGTCAAAGTTCTTTCTTTCTTTTTTCATGCATATGGAAGCTAATGATAAGAATAAAAATAACCGAGTTCTTATAGTCTTCATATGTCAAAATATATAAGTACCTTGTGCTCCCATCTCAAAATCAATTGGCAATGAGTGATGTGGCTTTGGAACTTATATAGTGAGTCACTTCTCTTCACGGTGGGGATATGGGACAAATTACACTTTAACACCCTCCCTCAAGTCCAATGAGTCTTTGAACTTTTTGTCCAATGGGCTCGGATCACAACAAGAACACAACGAAGCCCACGAGTTAACGCTCAAGTGGGAGAAACTAGTTATACTGCTGGATTAGTCAAAACAAACCCACGAGTCAATGCTCAAGTGGGAGAAAAGCCAGTTATACCACTGAATCGGTCCACAATAAGCCCACGAGTCAACACTCTAGCGGAAAATATAACATCACCAAACAGACCACTTTTTGAGCCAGAACACCACCACAAGTCCAACACGCTCTGATATCATGTCAAAATATATATGTACCTTGGGTTTCCATCTCAAAACCAATTGACAATGAGTTGGGTGGCCTTTGAAACTTATATACTGAGTCACTTCTCTTCACGGTGGCGATGTGGTACAAATTACACCTTAACATCATATCAAAATTATCTCAATAGAGTATTTACAATGGAGCAAGGTAAAATTTAAAACGGAAGAATTTTCTACCTGTTTCTTTTCTGTTTATGTACAAAGGTATTGAGAATAAAAATAATAATAATAATAAGTGTAGAATTGATGGTTGACACCTGGCTATTTATCCTCTACTCTATGAAATTTATCCGGTGAATTGAAAATATTTGGTACATTTTTCTTTCTATGTTTTTACATGTCATGAACTTTGGTTAGAAAAAAATAGAAAGTAAAAAATAGGTAGGTGATTACGACAATGACGAACCAAAGTTTTCTATAAAAGGGAGGACTCACAAATTATATATAGGACTGGATAATAAATAAATACCATCTTGAAGGCCTATATAAGTCCACATGTGGTTCCAGCTCAAAACCAGTTGACAATAAGGGGAGTAGCATATGGGGTATAGATGTTGATCAAGTTAGCTTCCCAACTCCAATGTGGGACAAGTGTCTTTCACTTGTTTTTCAAGTTCAAAGGGGTTTTAACAAAGGGGTTATTTTAAGATAAGCGAGCAATAATCTTCGAAATAATTTTTTTTTAAGAAAAAAACCTATATATTAAGATAATAAACCTAGACTATTACATCTCATACAACTATATGTCAAATTATGTATTTCACTAACGTCCTGCCTACTCAGTTTAGTCAGTGTGCAAGAATTGAAAGAGGAAATTAAAGCATCTAATAATAAAAAACTTCATGTGATTCATAAGGCATTAAGGAAGAACGAAGGTCTCCTAATAAGACCTCACAATCGGTAAAATTTTGCACACGATTTAGAGCAGGGTTTGTGGCTTCCTGTAAAGCCCTTAAACAAGTCATGGCTTCAGTATGTAACGGAGAGAGAGAGCAGATATTGTGATTGTTTTGATCTGCATTACCATGCAATGAGCAAAGTTTTCCACGCTCCAGCCCCTTTTTTTTGTTTGGTTACTAAAAGAGCCATAAAAAATATCAAAGTAATATCCGGGGTTCTATGCACCACTAAACTATTTATTTGGAGAGTTTTCGGGTACAACATAGGTGCATGGGAAAAAAATTTTTTCTTTATTTTATTTTATTTTTTGATAAACGCTAAAAATTGTTCAAGAAAACTCCCTCAAAAGAAAAGACCACGAAATGGAAAAGAACCGTCCAAATTCCCATGAACTTGGAATCAAAGAGCCCACAGCTCAAAACCTCTTCTTTGCCTTTCTTTCTTTCTTTTAGGCCATATTGAACAAACACCCTTTTCTATTGTAAACTCTTTTAATTGTTTTTTGGGAAAAGGATAAAAACCCCTTGAGTTATGTTCAAATGACAAATTCCCCCCCTCCCCCCCGAGATTTTGTATAAGGATAATAACCTCTTGACTGCCAAGTCTAAGGACAATTTGCCCCATGTTTTAGTATCTTAGTGAAAAAAGATAAAAATACCATTAAATCTAAAAATAATCTTTTTCATGAACAAACCTACCCTCCAATCAATTCGTTTGTTTTTTTTAAAAATCTTTAAACAGTTTGGTTTCGATTAAATCCGCCGATGACTCTGTTTTGATGCATTTCTCCCTATTACTGTTGCCTCAATAAAAATAAACCTGAGATTGAGAATTTAATCTATAAAAATCATAAATTCTATTTAACTGGGTTAAATAGAATTTATGGTTTTTATGGTTAAATTCTCAATCTAGGGCTTATATTTATTGAGGTGACAGTGATGGAGAGAAATAATGCATCAAAACGAAGTCAGCTACAGATTTACAATGGCGGATAATAAAATTTATAATTTTAAAAAATTAACGAGTTTGTTGGAGGACAGGTTTGGTATAAAAAAATTTCTTTTTAGATTTAAGGGCATTTCTATCTTTTTAACTAAGATTTGCTGATGCAGGGGGCAAATTCTCCTTTGACTTGGCAATCAGGGGGCTTATTGTCCTTATATGAAATGTCAGAGGGCAATTTGTCCTTTAGACATAACTAAGGGGGGTTTTGTCCTTACCCTTTTAGGTTTTGTGAATATTTTACAAATTGGTCATGGTTTAACAAATTAGCCATGGTTTAAATTGCCACCAATTGCATACTCCCGAGTTAGTTGATCCATAGTGGTATCGCAATTCGCCTTCAACAACAACATATTTGATAGTACTATCTTCGACTTAAACCATGACTCATTTATTAAAGTATGCAATTGGTGGCAATTTAGATCCTACCATACTAAGTGATACTATGTTGTTGCTCGCGGTAATCCCAAACACAAGGAGGCTAGGTACCCATGTTGTGTCCAATTTTTTTTTTTTTTGAGGATTATTTTTTTTAATTTTTTATTATTTGATTGAATTAACAAAAGTGATACTACATATTTTTGTCTTTGCTTTTGCAGGTGACGAAAATATTCAGGCACAGATCCTCTATACCACTTTCTTGTGACACTCGTTGTGACACAATCCAATTACTTTTTATAAATTAGATAATTTGTGCTAATACATATAACATAGTCACATATTTTCAATGTAGATAATTTTCATATTCTTATTTTATTTTTTATATCAATGTTTTATTTTTTATAAAATTTGACTATTTTTATTGAATTTTTTAACTCTAAAAATTAAAATAAATAAGCCCTAACCCGAAAAAAGTGAACCCTTAGTCCTAATATATATAAGTTCCAAAATGATTATGAATGGCATATATATTAGCTCAAATTAAATAACTTATAAGGAGTAATTGAATTGTGTCAGAGCGAGTGTCAAAAAAAGTGGCACACAAGATCATGTGCCAAATATAAGGTGGATTTGGACTAGTAAGGGGATATGTGTTTGAATAAAGCCTGTTCTTCTCAATATGGTTATAGAAACAACGATCCATCTTATAATCTAAATCAAAACTTTAAAGCGGCCGATGTATTACTTGTGTCGGTTCTAAGTTTCAGTGTCGGTCTTTTGTGATATGTTTCCAATAGTCAATGTTAATTAGAATCGCTCAAATCTAACCCCCAAGAAATATTACTAAAGTACTAAGTCGAGATAATGCAAAAATAATTTTTCGGGTTGTTTTCTTAATCGGAACATGTGGGAACCGATTAAATTTCCAACCTTTTAGGAAATTTACTTTTCTTTTTGGGGGGTTAAAGAAAAGTTTTACAATAGTTGAACATAGTATAATACTTTTAGTAGTAGGAAACCTATTGCTACTAGGATGTGATTACTTTTTCCCTATAAATAGTTTAATACTTCAATAGCAGAACTTTTCAATCTACTTCTATAGTTTGCTAGGGTTCGCAAAAAATCTTGAGTTTCTTTTCTAGTAGAAGGGCGAGCTTTTGTTAAGTATAAGCTATGGAGTCCGGGAACCTCAACAATGCCATGAAGCACTTCAGCCATGAGCATGCCCTAAAATATGAGTACATGCCAAAGGGTATCGAATTTCAATGTTCCGGCTGCAAATCGCCGGGTTCCGGCCACCTCTTCGCTTGCTGGACATGCAATTTTTACCTTCACAAGCAGTGCTTTCTCGCCGGCCGATCCCTGAAACTTCCTCACATCCACCCTCATACTTTGACACTGCTCCCGCATCCAACTTATCCCTACAATGGCTTCCGTTGCGAAGACTGTAATCTCGACGGGAATGGATTCTGTTACAGCTGTTGTGAATGTGATTTTGATCTCCATGTCCACTGTGCTTCAAAACACATCCCAAATCAACCTCCTCCTCCTCCTTTGCCCGAGAAGAATTCTTTCCCGGTTTCGCCTTTCCCGGAGCCGCCGAAGCTATATTCCAATCTTCAAACTGCAATTCCAGTTCAACAAACGGAAAATAACATCAACCGGAACACAATCTTTGATTCCAAATTTCCGGCACCGGCGCCGGGAAAAGACAGCAATCCTGTTCTTACTACAACTCCCCTGCCTGAGAAGAATCCCACCCCGGTTTTTGCCCTACCTTTCAATAATTATAAACCTACTACTCCATCTCAACAAAATGAAAACATCAATCAAAATACACCCTTCATATTTCCTACATCACTGACGGAGAAAGAAAATCAAACTCCTCCTCCTTCTCCTTCTCCTTCTCCTTCCATTCCGGGAAAGAATTCCGCCCCTGTTTGGGATACCACGAATTTCTTGAAACCTCCTCTACCTGCAAATTCGTTTCTACAAATCCGATCCAACAGTCAAAACACAGGCTTTGATTTAAAAGTTTCCACACCGTCGACGGAAAAGAGCAATGGAATTCCTCTGTTTCCTTCCGGGCCTGGAAAAAGTTCCGCCCCTGTTCGGACTTCCCCGAATTTCCTGAATCTTGGAAAACCTCCCAGTCCTCCACCTGCAGCTCCGTTTCAACAAACCCAATCCAACAATCAAAATACAGGTTTTGGTTTCAAAGTGGCTACACCATCGACGGAAATGAGCACTCTGTTTCTTTCCGGGCCTGGAAAAGGTTCCACCCCAGTTTGGCATCTCAATCATCAACCTGCAACTCCGGTTCAACAAACCCAAAACATCAATCAAACTAAAAGCTCTGGTTTCACATTTCCAACACCGCCGATGCCGTCCTTTTCCTCGGGATTTTCATCCAGCAATCACACGAATGGTTTTCAAGCTTGGAGGGCGAGTTGATATTCATGCTGGAAGATTTTATTGATTTTTGGTTACGCGTTTAGATTAAAGGAATAAGGAGCAGCAAACCATGTGAAATTAATGGGATACTTCAGAAAATGCTGTTCTCTTTAGCTTAAGATTACTTTAGAATTCTAATGTTGTTGACGCTGTCGGATAAATGCTCCACAGTTTGTTTCTCCATTTCCAGTGATTATATATTAATGAATTTTACCTCTTTAGAGCATCATCCAATTATGGCTAACTCTTTGTTCCGAAAGTTCAATTTATTCTTCTACATTTTTCTTCGTCCATTAAATGAAAGGTGCTTGTAACAAGCTAAAAGTAACCAGGTTCCAGCCCTAAATTTCTTCCAACTTAGATATTTGCGGTTCTTTTTATACATCCACTAATTGGTTTGTCTTTCTTAGGAAAATTAATCTCATTTGGTAGTCCTAATGAGCAACATAATTAAGAAACGGCAAAGCGCGCAGGCTGCTCCAAAATTCCATAAAAGGAAGAGAGGGGCAAAGAATATTAACGAAGGCTGATAATTAAATTGCTGACCCATAGGAGTTTGGTTGTTTCTGACTTGATTTGTTTAAAGGACGCTTTCGCCTATATGTTTAACTAACACACTTCGTGAATGGCCACTATATCATGCTCTACCCATGGTTTTATGGTTTATTAGATTTTATGTTCAAAAATTTAGCCTCTCTATAGCCATATTTGGTCCGTAAGTCATTCATTGCGTACCAAATCCTTTATTCCTTGGATCGATAAAAGCTTGAAAATCCTTTGAACTTTAACATTCATGGAGTTAAGAAAAAGCTATACTTGCATTAGATGTGTACTTCATTCATGGACCATGAAAACCATGATTATTGTAAGCCAAAGTAAAGCCGACAAATTTTAGATGGAGCATATAGCACTTGTATGTCACATCTAATAGTCTAACTCGTAACATCAACTGAATAAACTAGACTAGTTAATCTTGCTAGTCAAATTTTTTTAAAAATACTTTTTGGACATGCCAAAAATGGTTCAACTTTTGGAAATTTGGAACCGACTCAATTCCGCTCGTAATCTATTTTTAGCTATAAATACAGAACAATCCTATTAAATGTGAGAGCAAAAACAAGCCAGAGAGCCTTACCCGTTGCCAGAACAAGCATCCTCATCATCGGTACTTGTTAAAATTTCTTAGTTTTGTATGTTGTCTACTTAATTTATTCGTATTTACTGGCTTACTGCTATCAATATCTTCCTTCAATTTTTTTTGTTGTGTTACTGTTGTTTTGGATAGTTGCAAATAAACCCTATTCTAGTAGAAAGAATTTCTTAAGCCGTATTGTTTTATTAGTTGTGAGAACTGAGACCTAATTGCGTTTATGACTGCTTCCAGTTATAACTGAGACCTAATTGCGTTTATGACTGCTTCAAGTCCAGTTATACTGAAGGTGATTAGCGTTAAATGATCCTGGAATAATGTAAACAAAGCAAGCCTCGAGAGTTTTCTTTTAGTTTTGATGCAAGTTGGATTTCCTAACAAGAAAGTTGATTGCGGACTGAAAATTGAACACATGACAAGACAAGCTAATAATCAATGGTTCCTCCATCCCGCAATGATTGTCAAATTTTAATTTCACTTTTTAGTTTAAATTGTACTGATCGTAAAAATTTAAACTGAACAGTTATTTTGGATGAGGGAGTAATAGAAAAGTGAGATGGCAACAAACACCGGAAGTGTTACACAGAAGTATTAAGAAGAACTTAATCATGATTAGTCATAGATGTAATTGTTCTTCAAACACTTCAGTGATACGATCATCCTATAAATTTATCAGCGCATACCCTATTCGGCGTACTCTTATCACTGCATGCCATCAGCTAAATAAGCAAAATATGGGACAAAAAAAGAAGGCACAGCTTTTGTTGAAAATATGAACCAAATATGGTCAAAGTTATACTCCGTCACGTAGTCACATCACATGTCCAACTTTTGTAGGAGAGAAAAAGCATGTCACCATGTCGATGTGATTTGAGAAGATTATAACAAACTTTCTTTCCACTATTTTCTTTTACAAAACAGCTCATATTAATAATTCACATTAGAAAAAAAAAGTAGATGGGAGTAAATGAGATGCGGAAAGGTATTAAAAAAACAAAAATGTGGCGGAAAATATAATTTCGAATAATGATAGTAGTGCGTAATAACAAATTGTTGGAGAATAGACAAATTGTTCTATAACTATTTTCTTCCCTAGCACTATATACGTCAAAATGATTTGATCAACGTTGTGTAGATTTTACAATGCTTGAAATAGTGATCACTATGAAATTAATATTTGCTTCTGTAGTGTCATGACATATATGCTAAGGGTTAACGTTTTTTCTTGTAGGGTTGTATTCTTTGTAATCGTCATTGGAATTCTTTTTTTGTCAAAAAATATACTATGTACACAATTACGTTCAAAGTATTAGAATACTTAGTGGACATATTAATAAATGAAATAAATTGAAGGTTAAACCATGACTGGGAAGACAGATTTGTAATTTGTGGATACAGATTGTCATCAAGGGTGCGTGAGTTGACTTTATTTTGGCTGCTTCGTCAACTCTAAATATTCTGCTGTCCCAATTTTATATTAACAGTTCATTTTACTTCTTCAAATTAGACGGAGAAAGTGTATCGGAGTCGATAAACTTTTTCCTTAGTTCTTGAAAACACAAAGCGAGTGGTTGGGGTCAAGTTGAGGATTGTCAAGAAAGTCGACATAGCAATAGGCTGGAATCAAATAAAATTTATGCAAGTTGGAGGAATCAAAACTCCGCGTTGACCTTCATAATTGTCACATAATTTGCTGTAAACTGAAAAGTCTACAGTCAATGCTTGTTTAAGCCTCAACTAGGAAGAAAAATAAGAACATAGCCTGCATTACTTTTGAGAGATCAACAGTGGAATTCAGATCAGATCATATACTTACTTCATTCAATCCTCTCTCATTCAACATAGAAAAACACCAACAAAAAAGGCAAACTTATCTCGGATTTCATAAGCTTATAAGTTAGGGGCTGAGTTTGTTGAGCTATGGAGTTCAAGCACTTTAGCCATGTTCATGGCCTGGTTTATCACCAAATTCCGCAAGGCACCGAGATTCAATGTTCCGGCTGCAAGTTTCCGGGTTCCGGCAATGTCTACGCTTGTTGGCAATGCAGTTATTTCCTACACGAACAATGCTTTCAGGCAAGCCGATCCTTGAAACACCATTCTCACACAGCTCATCCTTTGACATTAGTCCCATACCCAACTTATCCTTCCAATTCCTTCTACTGCAACACTTGCAATCTCATCGGAAATGGCTTCTCTTATTGCTGTTCGGAATGTGATTTTGACCTCCACATCCACTGTGCTTTAAAACCCAATCCAATTCCTCCCTCAATCCCTGAAAATCCCTCCCCTGTTCCTGTTTATCCCAATTACCCGAATTTCAGTCCTCAACCTCCGATTCCAGGGCCTCAAAGTCAGAATGTTAATCAAACTGCAAACTTTTCCCCGAGTTATCTCCCATCGGCACCTGAATCTGTCGGCTATTACCAATCCATCCAGCAAACTAATGCTAACCCGAATCCTCTGCCAATTAATTCCCCTGTTCCTCCTATCCCACAAAATTTTACCCCTAATCCTCTTCCCACTGGCCCGAATCTTCCATCCACTACTACTCCTCCAAGTTTTCCGACTGGTTATCCTCAACCCAATGTTCAATCTAATCCAACCCCAAGTTCTACCGCCGGAATCAATTTTCCGGGAGCTAGTACTAGCAGTGGTAGCCCAGTAATCCCACCTGCTAATCCGGTAACAAATCCTCCATTGCCACAAGTTTCAGGACCGATTCGTATTTCATTGTTGAGTAATCCTTTAAAAGTTAAGGAGGTAAAGCATTTTAGCCATCCACATGCTCTGAAACAAATTGAAATTGCAGAAAGTGCAAAAAAGATTTGTTCTGGCTGTGAGGATGAACTCACTGGCTCAGCTTACACCTGCATTGAATCCCAATGCTATTTCAACCTCCACAAATCCTGCTTCGAATTGCCGATAGAAATCCGCCATAATTCCCACCTGGATCACCCTCTCAAACTACTTGCCAAACCCCCTTCCACTTACACAGATAATAAGTTTGCTTGTAACGCTTGTCTTCAAAGCGGGGGCGCATTTGTTTACAATTGCGAGATGTGTTCGTTTGATCTTCATGTTGAATGTGTTTTATTGCCCGAAAGCATTATTAGGCCGGATCATAAGCATCCCCTGAAGCTGTTTTACGCGAATCCTGTTCCGAAGACAGAAGGACAACAAGATGATGTGAAGTTTATATGTGATGTATGTCAAGAACAGGTGCACGAAATGGCTTGGACTTATTATTGCCATGAATGTGATTTCGGCACGCATTTGGAATGTGCTGCCTACGAAGTTAAAAGAGCTGAGAGAACTGAAGAAGAAATTGTTGCTGAAGCGGAAATTAAGCTGGCTATGCTTAACATCTTGATGAATGCAGCTCTTGATCCTGCTAGTCTGCGAGAGGCTAAATCTGCTTCGAATTCATAAAGTCATTGTACTCATTTTTCTTAATTACTTTTCTGCTGTGTGATTTCTTTCCTTGGGGGGGATTAGAATCGATTGCGGTTGTTTGGATTTCAGACTGAATTATTGTTTATTTTTTTTCACATAACTGGATTTTTTTGGCCCCTTTACAATGATCCTTTCAGTGCCTTATATTAGAAAAGTGTAATGTCACTCACTCATACTACACTTCGTTTTTGAGAGGGTCCATATCAATGTGATACGTGTATAGTTACAATCATCTTATAATTTCTGTAAAAATTTGTTGTTCCAATCAAATATAATCGGGTTTGAAAAGTTCTTGAAGAGGAACTAGGGTTCGAGGGTAACGAAGAACACATAGTAAAGGTGTGATTTAACGCAGCAGATTTTGGTTATGAAGCTCTCTACTTTCTGAGCTATTTTTCTATTCATATTCAGAAGTTTACAATTTGCTTGGAGGACAAGCTGCCAGCTCAGCATAAGTAAAACAGAAAACTAACTTCCTATTTTAATATATATACAAGGCTACATAAAATTAAAGAAGTGCAGCTATCATCCGTAATCTAGAATTGTCTTCATCACGTGATCATCAGCATCAATGTTGACCAATTCAAGATTCTGATCACTGTCTTGCAGCTCAAGGTCAACATGCTGTAAAGCATCCTTTATTTCCAATATTCCCTCCCCCCCCCCTCCCCCCGCCCAAGCTTCACCAGTGGGGCGATGAGAGACAAAGAGGTGAAGCTTGGACAGTAAGTAGAGGAATTGTGGAGAAAGAAGACATTTTGTGAAGACGTCTGCTGGTTGCAACGGAGCAGTGACGGAACGAGAATTTTCAAATCGCGGGGTCAAAAATAAGATTATTCAACCGTCACCGGAAGGTCGAACTGAAAAAATTTCAAATAACGGACACCCTACTAAGAAAAAATTTGGCCAAATCCGGCCAGCCGGGGGGTCGATCGACCACCCTGACCCCCCCCTTAAATCCGTCACTGCAACCGAGAAGGCACGTGGGAAAGCTCAATGAAACTAGCCTTATACAGATTACGAACCAAGTGACAGTCAATGTCTAAGTGCTTGGTTCTTTCCTGAAACGAGGGATTTTCAGCTATGTGAAGTGTTGATTCATTATCACAAACAAAAGGTATAGGAAGAGGAACTGAAACCTTCAGATCAGTGAGAATGTAGAAGATCCACTGAGTTTCACAAGCTGTAGAAGCCATTCTTCTATATTCAGCTTCACAGGATGATCTTGATATGGTCGTTTGCTTCTTGGACTTCCAAGAGATTAAGGAATTGCTAAGGAAAACGCAATAACCACTCAGTGAAAGCTGAGAAAGAGTGCAAGTCCCCCAGTCAGCATCGCTGAACACTGTAATAGAAAAATCATTGCAACTAGAATAGAAAACACCCAATGAAGGAGTTCCCTTGAGATACTTAACCACATGCAAAGCTGCTTGCCAATGAACTTCCTTTGGTGAGTTCAAAAATTGACCGAGCTGTTAAGTGGAGTAAGTCAAATCAGGCCGGGTAAATCCAAGGTAAAGTAATCTTCCAACCAATCTTCTATACTGTTCAACAAATGGATAAGGAGGACTGTCCTTATTGTAAAGATCAAGGCCTTTAGGTAGAGGGGTACTAACAGCTTTGCACCCAAGAAGACCTGCACTATCAATGATGTCTAAGGCGTATTTCCTCTGGTTAAGACTAATACCATCTGATGAGCTAGTGATTTCAACACCAAGGAAATACTTGGCTGACCCTAAGTCCTTGATGGTAAAAGCATCATGCAAATATTGCTTGACTTCACTGATGGAATGAGAAGAGCTGCCTGTAATCAAAACATCATCCACATATACTAATAGGATCAAAACAGAATCAGCAGAATGTTTAACAAACAAACAGTGATCATGGGGAGATTGATCAAAGCCATAGGCTTCTAGCTTCTTGGTAAACTCCTTGTTCCATTGACGCGAGGCTTGTTTAAGCCCATATAAGGACCTTTTAAGCAAACAGACTTGATGAGGAAGAGCCTTTCTATATCCCTGCGGAGGTTTCATATACACGGTTTCTTCAAGATACCCATGAAGGAATGCGTTGTTAATATCAAGTTACTGCAAGGACCATCCTTTGGCTGCTGCTAAGGCAAACACAATTCTAACTGTTACTAGTTTAGCCACTGGTGAAAAAGAATCTGTATAGTCCTTCCCTTTTACGTGACTAAGACCCTTGGCCACCAAACGAGCTTTATACTTATCCACATTCCCATGAGGTTTGTACTTACCCTTATAGACCCACTTAGCCCCCACAACCCTTTTCCCAGCAGGCAATTCCGTGAGCAACCAAGTATCATTCTGTTCCAGTGCATCTATTTCTTGCTGCATGGCCTTCTGCCATTTAACATGTCCTTGTGCCTAATCATAAGAAGTGGGCTCAAGAATCTTTGAAATATTAGCCAAATAAGTCACATGACTTGGTTTAAAATGAGAAGGAACTTGGAAGGGAAAGGTTTTAGGTGGTTGAAACTTAGGAGAGACTACTGCATTGTGAGAGACATAAGAGTCCATCCAGTAAGGTGGTTTAGTTACCCTAGTGTTGTGTCTAGTAGGAACCAAAGATGTAGAAGGAGGGAAGTGTGAAGTGGACTAGAGTTATGCGAAGAAGAAGTGTGAAGAGGTTCATGATCAGAAGCGTCATGATTAGAAAATATAGAATCAGAATCTGAATCAAGATTTCTAATAACAGAAATAGGTACTTGTTTTGAGTTTTCATGTGGATAAACCGATTTATAAGGAAATTCATTCTATCTGAATACTATATCTCTGGAGACATACACTTTATGATCTTCCAGATTATAGATTTTGTAGGCCTTTTGACCATTTGGATAACCAATAAAGATCCCTTTGAAGGCTCTAGGTGAGAATTTGTCTTTGTGAGGCAAAGTAATGGTGACAAAACACATACAACCGAAAACTCTCAAGTGAGAAAGGTCAGGTGGCTTAGAAAACAGAATTTCAAAGGGTGATTTCCTGTTCAATAAGGGTGAAGGTAATTGGTTGATCAAGTAGATGGCAACCAAAATGGCATCCCCCAAAATTTCTTTGGAAGGTTGAACTAAAACATGATAGCTCTTGCAACTTGAAGTAAGTGCTTATGCTTCCTCTCCACTGCGCCATTTTGTTGAGGAGTATAAGCATGACTTCTTTGATGCAGGATGCCTAACATGGAAAACAAAGCTAAACAATCCTGATTAACGAATTCGGTTCCATTATCAGTCCTCATAGGTTTAACTGATTCATGAAATTGAGTTTGAATCATAACAAAAAAAACTTTCAAGATATTGAGCTGCTTGTGACTTATGTTTGACTAAATAAGTCCATGTTGATCTACTAAAGTCCTCCAGAATGGTAAGAAAGTAATGTGTTTGAGAAATAGTTGCATGGGCATAAGGACCCCAAAGATCAACATGTATTAACTGAAAACAAGGAGTAGTATGAATGGAGCTAAGTGGAAAAACAACTCTTTGTTGCTTGGCAAGAGGACAAATATCACAATTGTCAATATCCTTTGAACATTTAACAAAAGAATCTGAAATATGACTAAGTACATTATTGGAAGGGAGCCCTAGTCTAGAATGCCACTGAACACTCAGGGCCACATTGAAGGAAGAGTTATCGAAATACAGATAAGAACTAAGCTCTGAATAAAGCAATAATCGTGGCAAATGCCTTTCAATCTGTTCTCTGATATGGAAAGGGTTGAAGGACTGTTTGGTGAGAGCATAAAGATCCTTGATCACCATGCCAATCCCCAAGATCTTATCAGTCACTAGGTCATGTAGGATGCACAAATCAGCCAAGAAAGAAAAGTAAATGTTTGCTGTTTGTGCTAATTTCCTTACAGAAATGAGATTATGTTTGAAGGATGGAACGTATAAAGCATCAGTCAGTGTGAGTCTAGAATTCAAAGGAATATCTCCTATTTGCTCAACATATTGAAGTGTACCATCTGGTAAACTAATTGGAGTAACTGAGGTAACTGGTTTAGGATTAGCAAAAACAGAAAGACTACGACACATGTGACCCGTGGCTTCACTATCAAAGAAACTATAAGCATCACTAATTATTTCACAAACACTTAAGGTAGAGTAAGTAGTGCTACCTGCGAAATCTGTGATGAGAACAAAGTTGAATTTGCGGTCAATAAGGTAGGGACCATCAAAACTCCAAACCATCCAATGTAAAGACGGTTTTCAGTGCTAGTTATCCAGTTGTAGAAACGATCCCACAGGCTTTCGTTTTCACGTCTCTCTAAAATTGCAGTCATGGTAAAATCTTGGTTTTTTTTAATTATTAAATTAGACTCTATAAATCTAACTAAAAATAATCATTTAATTTATTAATATTTTTTTTCCAATAATTAAATACTATATAGGGTGAGATATATTGGAGAGATTTATGTGAGTTGTGTATCATTACTTACCTAATTTATCTCACCTTATATGCATTTAATTGTTGAATCAAATTTACTAAATTAATTTAATTATTTGATGGATTTGTAGACTGTTTGAGTATTTTTATATCCAAAAATTTTAAAATAAATAGACGCTAACCCTAAAAACAAAGTAAATCCTTTTGAAAAATGTTATAATAATGCAAATGATTCATCAATTGAACCAATATCGATAAGAAATATAACATTTGAATTGAGTTGTTTAGATATAGAGTAGGAAGTAGTTTACAAATTATAGGGTAAATAAAGAATTAACATATAAGGTGGGATGTAAGGATGATCAGATGAATATCATTACTCTAAATTATTTTTTTCTGAAAATAAGAAAATATATGTAAAGAAGACTTCGAAATTAATCGATCAAGTCAACCATAGACTTTCCAGGGAAATTATTGCCTCGTCACCCTTTCCGAATTCCACTTGTGCAACTAGCTTGCAGGAGGAATCTTCACCGTGTTTAATCCATAAGCTGAATATTTATTTTTTAGTTAATGAAATGAAAAATAATGTGATATCTATTTATAGAATTGACTTCTCCTGGTTTAAAGAGTATTTTTTTTACTAAAAAAAATCATATAATGTCCCCAAAAAAATTCAAGTGGAATATGATAATTGTGAGTAACTAGCACGAATAATTGCGCAAACACCTATTACTCTCTCCGATAAAAAATAATGCAGTTTCAACTATATTTTTAGAATAAATTATATTAAAAAAATTCAAGTGGAATATGATAATTGTGAGTAACTAACACGAATAATTGTGCAAATACCTATTACTCTCTCCGATCAAAAATAATTCTGCAGTTTTAACTATATTTTTAGAATAAATTATATTAAAAAAAATCTAAACATAAAAATAATTTTAGATACATGGAGTAGACTAGTGTTTAATTTGTCGAAAAAGTCAATGGCTCAGAATGACGTAGAACCAAGAAGATGACTTCTGATGATAAACAACGAGTCAACGACTTTGTGATACCAAAGGAGGGACTAACCGACTAAGTCAATAACAGGAAAAGAATCTTGACTTTGTGTAACACTAGAATTAATTTCTTTCACAGTCCTTCAACTTAACCTGTTGCTAGTTCTAGCTACTTTTCTAGTTTTGGGTGAAAAAGAAATATAGCTTAAGTTTTCAAGTTATACCGATGTTATATACACAAGAATGTCGGTGCTTAGACAATGTATTTTAGGGAAAAAGAATGTTTCATAAAAAATTTTATTAAGTTATATTCTCACAATATGTTCGGACGTTTGACTTTGTCAAATAAAAAAATCAAATTTTGGTTTTAAAAGTGAGAGTAGTTAGCTAGGTTAGATTAGATTGAGGGTTCATAGTTACCAGGAATTAATTAACAATTGTCTTTTAAGAATAAAATGATTCATTAGATAGACTATTTGTTTGGGACGAAATGAAAGAATAAGATCATTGATTAGTGACTAAAACGAATTCCTATTGAAGATAAGGGTCTGTTCGAGCAAATATTTAATCTTTTTCTTGCCAAATAAATTTATTTGCATGGATAAGAATGTATGCAAGTGCAAACTGAACCACCACATCTTTCCTATAAAAAAAAAAAAAACCACCACATCAGCCTTCCTCGGCCGGCAAGATCGATAGCAATTCCGGCCAAATCAAAATGAAGCATTTCAGCCACCCACACCCACTAGAATTATCAGAAATCGTAGGAGACGAAAACGATGAAGAAGTGATCTGCTCCGGCTGTGAGGAGAATCTCAAACCAGGAGAAGAATTCTACTCCTGCATCAAAAAATCCGAAGAAGAATGCCAATTTTCCCTTCACAAATCTTGTTCTGAAAAAATCCCTGAAAAATTCCGGCACAAATCCCACCCTGAACACGAACTCATCCTAATCCCTGAACCTGACGTTTACTCCAATATTTACGGCTGCAATGCCTGTGGGGAAAAGTTCATTGGGTTCAACTACACGTGTACTGAATGTTACGGCATTTACACGCACCCCAAGTGTGCGTTTATGCCGGAAATTGTGAAGCGTGATGATCACGAACATTCTCTCTGGCTGTATTACTCGTCCCCTTTGCCGGAGGACGATCATGACACGAGCTTGGATTGTCACGTTTGTCAAGAATATGTTCCCAGGGATAGCTGGAATTATTACTGTGCGGAAGATGGTTTCGGAACGCATTTTGCTTGTATCAATGCCGAAGCAATTGTTCCTACTGTTGAAGAAGAAGAAGAAGGAGGAGGAGGAGAAGAACTACAAGAAGAAGAAGAAGTACAAGAAGAAGAAGAAGAAGTACAAGAAGAAGGAGGAGGAGAAGAAGGAGAAGTAGAAGAAGAAGGAGAAGAAGAAGAAAGTATAGAGGCAATGCAATATGCACTCCAGAATAGACAGGCCATTCTTGATTTCCAGGCGAATATGAGTCAGATGAATGCAAGGTTCATGACAATGCTAGCCAGCAACCCCTGGTGATTTTGATTTCCAATTCCAAAACTGCCGACCTAGGTGGTGATTCTATGGTGTTTTTATGGTCTTTTCACTCCTTTTTTTTTTTCTTTCTAATTTTCCCTTCTAATGTATTACCTTATTTTGGAATATTCATGTCATACAATGTTATGTGTTAATTGTATGAAGTTATATGCGTAAAATTGTACAATGTAATTATGTACTGGTTATGTATTGAAATGAACGTTCAGTTTGAAATTTTACTTCTGATATAAAATATACTAAAATCAAAATATAAATTAGATAATTATTTTGGAGCAGAGGAAATAAATTTATGATATTTAGGTGGACTTTTTTTTAAAAAAAAAATTACTCCCTCCGTCCTTAACCATAAATAAATAAAAAGAAGAAGAATTTGGAGCTCAGTGTTTCTTACTTTAATATTTGGGGTTCAAATTATAATTGCAGTTTCTGAATGTTTATACTTCTCTTTGATCCCTTAAATAAAATGTTAGCTTCTTGATAAGGGTATGAACAAGCCAGCTACCAGCTCTCCTTGGCGTTAACTTGGAAGTCAACGGGACCGATCGCTCTTGGGAGATATAAACTTAAAACTTGCCACGAGGAAATGCAATGATTTACCATTCGAATGGTTGACTTCCCACGTTTGCTCCGAAAGTTGACTTTTTAAAAAAAAAATAATAAATAAATAATGAATGTAAGGTCTTATTCATGATTTTATTGTTTTTTTTTTTTTTTAAAGAAATTTTCTTTTTTTTTACAATAAAGGATGCAACTGCCTAAGATTATGAAACTATTACAGCTGATAAGAGACACCAACAATATCATGTTTTAACCATGGTTTTAACCTTTGGGATGGATCATCCAATAATGATAAACCACCCAGACAAGAGGCGGCTAAACTGGAAAGCGAATCAACGGTAAAGTTTCGCTCTCTATGTATGTGTTTCAATTCGACCATCCAATCCCTCTCCAACAACTCTCTGATAGCCATTACTAACACTCGGTTCATTCCTAGAAATTTTCTTTTTTTTTTGTTTCAGTTCACTTGCTTGGTTGGGGTTTGACTTTGTTGAAACCCCATCCATTAAGTAGAAGTTTTATTTTCTAGGCAATTACCTCCTTCATTATACCAAACAAAAATAAAATAATGGATGTCCCAAAGAATAGAACGCATAACCTCTTGGTAATAACTATATATACCCATCCTAATCTTCTAACTATCTCGCCATAAAAAATTATTGAGTGCAGCTGCTGTATCACGTAGGATTGTGCTGCCAGACACAATAAATAGGGTAAAGTAGTAATTTAGAGGAGAGAGGAAACTTCTACGGGAGTTATAGCACCAAAATAGGGGTGCTAATACTTGCTGCACTAAAAACCAGGATACAACAGTTGTACCCAATAATTTTTTCCACACCACACCCTCCCGGCAAATAATAACAAGCACCTAGGTATACTTTGCAAGGTGCACCTCATGAGCATGTGTAATACACTCTCCTTCTACACAAGTGGAACTTTTAGTCCGAATTTTAAGACACTACACGCGCATAAATTCTCCAAATTTTATCCCCTTTTTTTAGCGCACGTTTAATTTCAAACTGATTTTTTTTAAAGGCTTATCCTATCAGTTTTTATATTATTTTATTTCATAAGATTTTTTTTTGTTAAAATGATGGATTTTTTTTGGTAAAACTGGATATGTGTACGAGTACATTTATGAACGAGTAACAATATTCACAAAGATGAATAATGATGCAAATCTTGATGGATTATGATCCCATCCCAGATGAATAACAATACTAAAATGAAGAATATATGTAGTTTTTGCAAGATGAATGATTGTATTTTAATAAATGAATAATATATCGTTAGTGGATGAATAATGAAAAACAGAATGAATAACTTTGATCAAGAAAACTAACAAAAGTATATTTTACAATTAGATAATGTTAGCAACTAAGCTAACAAAATTCTAATTATGAAGTAAACTATAACAAAATTGATCAGAAAAATTAGTCATTGTTTTTAACATATAAGGTCTTGAAAGATCCGCCGATGCTTAATATGTTTATGTTGATTGTTTGATTTCAGCAACTCCGCCAAATATTTGATTCACGACCGATCGAGTTCATTTTGATGAGCTTTTTTTTTTTGACGCTGATCAAACAAAAACAACATTACAATATGTGAGATTTCACATTCAATCAAAACTCTATTAATCATCAATAACAAGGCTATTGAAGATGAATAATCATCTTTAAAATGATGAATAACCATTAAACTATATAACATTTCAAGTTAATATGATGGATGAATAACCATTATACTAATGAACAACTATTTCACCAATGATGAATACCTTGACCGGTATGATGAATTATTATGTTTTATTTATTAAAATCAGAAAATGTAGTGTATTAGGATCATAAATTTGTTAGGAGGAATACTTATAGTTTTAATGATGAATAACTATATCTATATATATGCATAGATCATTCGAACAATACGTTGAACATACAAATAGATGAATAACCAAATAGTACGGATGAATATGACCAAAATATAATGTTCCATTTATCTACTCAGATGAATTACAATTAACAGAAAAAAGAATAACAATCGCATAACACCATTATTATGATGAATAATCCTATATTATCGATGAATAATGGCAGGGTAACTACTGAATAATGAACATATATGGAACCCTTCCAAAATCAACAACCTATGGATCAACAAATCTAACAAATTGGTGAACTACCATTTATAATCGAATGCAGAGACCTTAGATATACATAACCTAACCAAAAATCTAAATATGAATAACCAGCTAATAACACAATTATTATGATGAATCTGCTAGTTTCAAGGATGAATATCGAATACGAACTAATGAATAATGTCCAAATCTATTAGTCTTTTCCAAAACCAACAACAGAACAATGAAGAAAACTTAAAAATTAATGAACAAAAATCTATAATCGACTGCACATACCGTATATCTACATAACCCAATCAAAAAAATACATCAATTGTTAAAGAGATTATAACCCAATCATAAACCGCTGGTGATTCACAAAATCTGAATTTTGTTCTTTTTCGCAAGAGATCTAAATCTATAAACCTCTGGCAATTCATCGAATTGGTTGGAACTGGTAATTCGAATTAACCAATCAAAGATTTTGAGAATTTCAAACAAAATTCACCGGACAAAACACAAAACAGATGAATAATCTCAAATCTTACCGTAATTCTCATATTCAGCAGCGTATATTGTAGCCAAACTCACGGGATTTGATGCACAATCGGATTTCGTCTTCAAAAATACCGCCGACGAGAGGTTTCAATGCCAAATCTCTGCAGAGAATATTTTTTTTTTTAGATTTTTTAGTTTGAGACGTCTTTGGATTGGAATAAAAAGTTGGATGGATATGATTAATGATGGTTGAAAATTATGAGAGATATTAGGAAATTGAAAATTTGAAAAATCTGTTTTTTATCCTCTTTTTAGGCGCGTGAATTTCAAACTAGGTACACCTTGTATAGTGTATGTAGGAGCTCTATATTATTCCTGCACCCTCCCACCTCACTCCGACAGTTGACTATATTTTGAAAGAAAATGATTAGTGGAAATTGCAATTCTGTTGGAAATAAAGGAAATAGTTGAGAGAGGAAACTGATGGAAAATTATCAACAATGTCCAATTATCTAGTGACGTGAGAACACAATTGGGAACTCAATTTTATTTTTTTATTCTTTCAAAAATAAAAAGAAAAAGATAAGTTTCTAGTGGAATTACAATGATATGCAAGCTTGTACTAAATTTTTTGCAAAATTTTTGCATGATAAACTGTCACATAAACAAACTATAAAAAAAAATCATATGGATTCTTATCCCATCTAAGTCATACCCATAATCGATAGGGCCAAAGGTCGTTTTGAAAGGTTCAATTGTGTTTTGCCCCTTAGTATTTTGATAACATGATCACGACTTTGTTAATGTACAAATTGATGAGAACATTCATGTAAACTGACACATAAACAAAGCTATACAAAAAATCATATGGATTCTTATCCCATCTAAGTCATACCCATAATCGATAGGGCCAAAGGTCGTTTTGAAAGGTTCAATTTTGTTTTGCCCCTTAGTATTTTGATAACATGATCACGACTTTGTTAATGTACAAATTGATGAGAACAGTCATGTCCACACACGTACGCAAACCCGTTTTCTGTTTTTTTTTCTTAATATCTTTTCCTCTTTCTTTCCTGAAGCAGTATATATATTGGAATGAATGAGTAAAGATGAAGAACTTCCCACTGAATTATAACACAAAAACAATACAGACAGTCACACACACACACACAAAGCTATGAGAACAAAGCAAGAAACCCAACATTTTAGCCACCACCACGCATTGGTTCCTCTCGAAGGCGAGGAACTCAACTGCTATGGTTGCAAAACCAAAATCATAGAACCCTTCCACGGCTGCATTTCCTGCGACTATTTCCTCCATGAATCCTGCCTCAAAACTCCCCGGTTCCTTCGCCATCCGTCCCACCCGCAACATTCTCTAACCCTAATCCCAACTCCTACTTATTCTTCCCGATCTTTCCTTTGTGACGCTTGCGGTTGTGAAGGAAACTCATTCAGCTTAAGCTGCGCAGAGTGCGACTTTGACCTCGATCTTTACTGCGCAGCTTTGCCTACAGCTCTCGAACTTCGCGAAAAACACGAACATGTCGTGACGCTGGCCTTTGAATCTCCGCATAGTATAATTTGTTGTGACATCTGCGGTAAGAACATCAATCCAAAATCGTGGATTTACTATTGTGAAAGCTGCGATTTCGGGGTGCATTTGGTCTGTGCAGCGCAGCATAAACGCGAATCCACGAAGAAGAACGAGAAAGAAAAGCAAAAGGATACAAATGTCGAGAGTTCTCAGAGGGATGAGACCGAAGAAGAAAAGGAGGATCGTGAGAGATCTGGTAATGAAAAACAAAATAAGAAAGCAAAAGCAAAAGATAAGAATTCAAAGAAGAAGAACGGAAAAGAAAAGAAAGGTAAGGCTGCAAAAGTCGAGAATTTTCAGAGGGATGATGAGCCCGAAGAAGAAACGGCGGAGGATCATGGGAAATCTGTTTCCCAAGAATATCAGAAAATGCTGATGCGAGATATGGAAAATCAACTGATTCTCCAAGCGATGGATAACGCGAATGATTATATTGGCTATGGGTCAACAAAGTACTACTACTACTAATAGCCGTACTAATGTTGTATTAATTTGTGTGTTTCAAATGTTGTTCTTTAATTGTCTATTTCTCAAAGAAAATTAAAATGGATCATCTTAATTAGCTATCCACAGTTGCTGTCTAGATGATCTTTTCCGTCTAATGCATTATGTTATGGTACTTTTGTTGAACAGAGAATCAGTGTGATGTTGTTTTTGAAATGTTTGATTAAGAGCAAGTCTTCAGTACTAACGTTAGCAAAATGAGTATTACTGATACTCATTACTACGAATCAATCTGTATTTTAATTGTACTGATATTCATGTGGCAATCATCTATATATTGCTTGTCACTTGTTACCAAGATTGGAAATTATTTCAAAGATTACAATATTATGAGTTATGATCATACAACAACAGTTTTGTTCACTAATGCTTGCTAGCATTTGGAGAAGATCTATTTTTATTTTTAGGCTCTATAATTTAGAGTTTTATTGTCACAGAGAACTGAGAAGTAAAAGCTTCATGTGTTCCACTTAGCTCAGATGATCCTTAATTAGTTTGCAGTCTTGAATTGTAATCCAATTTAGATAACTAGCTGTCTCATATTTTTCACTTTTTTCTAAAAATATTTATCTCCAACTTTTATCTGACATTCATAAATATAACTAGTAATAAACACGCGTAATAAATAAAATATAAAATAAAATTTATAGATTAGACAGTTCGATTGGTGGATCTCATCTTCTGGAAAACAAATTTACGGAAAGACTATTCAAAAAAAATTAATAAAAAAAGCATAAAGAAGAAAGAAACATTTAAGGAACGACTACTCAAACTTTCAAGATGAAGGATCTAAAACAGATCCACCAAATGAATCAAATAAAATAATGGAAGCTAAGCCCATCAAGTCAACTCACGAACTTACGAATGAAAAAGAAGTATATATAAACCGCATCAAGTGTAATTTAGGACATGATCCACTCCACTCCAAAGTGAAAAGCACAAAGATGAAATATCAAGACAGCCGACATTTCAGTCATGACCATTTCTTGCTCAGCCTCAAGATCAACAATGATGAAGAAGCACGGCAGGGAATCCATTGTGATGCATGCAAGGAGAAAATCACCGCTGAGAAGGAAGAAAAGCCCTTCTTCCATGGCTGCAGAAAATGCGATTATCACCTCCATGACCGCTGTTTTCGAGCACCTCGTTCCATCCAACATCAATCTCACCCTCTTCATCCCTTATCCCTTCTTTCCATCCCCACTTATTCTTCTCGCTCCTATCTTTGCGATGCTTGTGGGGACGAAGGCAATGGCGAGTTCAGCTACGGATGCGCTCATTGCGGGTTTGATATCCATCTGAAATGCGCGCTTTTATTTCCACCTTCGGGAATTTTTAATGTGATTCATCCTCATGAACTTACGTTGAAGTTTGATAAGAATGATTGCGGAAGGATAAAATCGTCGTGTGATGTTTGCGATGGTGGTTTGAGGGAAAATCTATGGCTGTATTACTGTGGTGAATGTGAATTTGCTGTTCATTTGGACTGTGTGAATGGTCCTAAAGATGATGAGGAGGAGGATAAGGAGGTAGAAGCAAACAAAGAGGAAGATGATGATGATGATGATGATGATGATGATGATGATGATGATGATGAAGGTGATGATGAAAAGGAGGTAGAAGAAAAAGAAGATCAGGAAGATGATGATGAAAAGAAGGTAGAAGAAAAAGAAGATCAAGAAGAAGATGATGATGATGAAGCAAAAACTGAGGAAGATGATGACTCAGATGATAGCAGCGAGGGAAATGATGATGAAGAAGAAGCATTGATGCGGGAGAGGAACAGGAGTCTAAGGCAGCGTATTAGGACATTGATCAAGCTGCACAAGAAGTAGGTGATGGTGGTTCGTTCAAGATTAAGAATATTTTGTGTTATCTGTAATATCTGTTTGTTTAATTTTAATATTACCATTTCAGTTGTTCCAAGTGTAATTTGTTTTTTTCTTTTTTTTTTCTTTTCCTGTTTCCTCTTCTTTTAAGTAATGGTTGTTTGACAACGAGATTTTTGTCATAAGTGGTTTGTTCTTCATGTTTATTTGTCTCCGAGTTTCTTTCTTGAATTTTGTTAAAAGGGTAATGATTTCTTTTCCTTTAAGTGATTCAAACCCTAATTCCTAAGTCCTAAAAAAAAAGGTTCTCTTCATTCATTAGTGAGAAGGTACAACTGTTATCTCTCTCTCTCTCTCTCTCTCTCTCTCTCTCTCTCTCTCTCTCTCTCTCTCTCTCTCTCTCTCTCTCTCTCTCTCTCTCTCTCTCTCTCTCTCTCTCTCTCTCTCTCTCTCTCTCTCTCTCTCTCTCTCTCTCTCTCTCTCTCTCTCTCTCTCTCTCTCTCTCTCTCTCTCTCTCTCTCTCTCTCTCTCTCTCTCTCTCTCTCTCTCTCTCTCTGTTTTTTTCCAGCATAATGATGGAGATGAATGCCTAATACATATCAAACCGAGAAAAAGATTCATAAGTGAACAATTCCGATCGACAAGATCGTATTTTATCCATCCCGGAAGCAGCCATCTAACCAACGTAAGCCACCACGACTCATACACAATAAAGATATAGAAAGTAATTTGTACTTGTAATGTATAGTAATAACATCATTTAAATTGAAATAGCATAAAAAAGTTCTAAATCTTGAAACAAAGCTCTCTTTGAATTCTTCCAAAGTTGCTAATAAATAGCAATTATACATTTCAGTTCTTATTGGATTTCAAGGAAAATTCGGTCCACTGGTATATCTTTATCCTTTGCTTCACCGGTCATATGATTCCTTACTCGTTATCAAAATGAAACGTGAAAGAGTAAATGATTGATTGTGTAGATCCTAAATGTCGCAAACATTTAGCACTTAGCTTTAAAAGAAAAATGAAAATGAAAACTTTACAAATATGTTATTTGCCCGATCGGTTACGATGTGAATGCGAGCCAAATAACGTAAACTCACCTTTTGATACATTTGAATTTTAATATTAGGCATTGTCAAAAATGTCTAGTTCTCGTACAGGATGTTACTAACCGCTGGTAATAGTACTGCAGACGTGCACACGAACTGTAACTACTTGGTGCAGAGCTTAACTAGTGAAGATCAATGCATTTAGTCACCAGATCCACATGCACAACCCTAGACTCTCTGCATGATCATTTGTCATTTCCCAGTAGTCCATGTGTTTTGATTAATTAGGCTGTTCATCGTAGTACTATATATATTATGTTTAGTTCTCTATAATTATTTACTAACTTACTTCAACTCGTACCATTTATTCGCGTCCCAAGAAAAGTCCTCGTCAATGTTTTGTTTCTTCTCTTCCAAAGATAATTTTCAAGTGAGAGTTGCAATTATTATTTTTTTGGGTCGATTTTTTTAATAGGTCAATTACGTACCTCCCTCAAAAAAACATTGATTAAGCAGCTGAAGTCGTCGTCAATGTCTTTTCTTTTCGCGCCTCTTTTATGTCAATCTAATAATGAGCAGTTTTAAGTCGTATGGTCAATGTTTGTTTTTTTCCCATTTCCAGGATCCAAATGATCTTGATCAAGTTTGTAGTCAGTTTTAGAAGGAGCCTGCAATTATTATGAATTGAAAAAACAAATTCCTTGTCTCACCCGCCCACTGAAAGAACCAATGGCATGTGCCCATGGAGACAATTAAGCACCCGATCGATTAAGGAATAATATTGTGTATTCGTTCCAAATGAATATCTAATTTGATATAATTATCAAGGTATTCATAATTCAACAAAAGTATATTAATATTTCTCCTGTCCCATAATAATAGTTCTATTAACTAACTTTTAATATAATTTAGCAAGGTGTACACGGTCAGACTAATTTCTGTGGATCAGTTGTAGATAGAACGAAATTACTCTCGTACAATATCATGTGCCTGCACGTTATTTGGACTGAAATATGAGAATATGTGATTGTACCCAGGCGATCAGCTTGGCCTTAGACTTTATAACCATGATTATTCTGTTTTCTTTTTTTCAATTCTCCTAACAAAAAGGGAGCTAATCTAACATGATTTACTGTAAGTAAAAAATACTTTATTAGTGAACACAAGCCAATTTACATCTTATTCCGACTACAGTTTTGTCTCGGTTGCCATGATTTGCTAGATATATGCTGTATAGATAGTCATGCCATAGGGTCACAAAGCCTACTCTTCTTGACAAAGAATATTATCCCAGAAAAAACAAAGAAAAAAAAAACCCTCGAAATTCAGAAGCTCAAATGGCATATGAAGAGCAGCATTTCAGTCACCACCATCCATTAGTTCCTTTAGAACTTGCCGACGCCGACGGAAGACAAATATGCAACGGTTGCGAAGATCCAATCACTCACTCGGAACAACCATATAAAGGTTGTCTGAAGTGCTGCTATGTCTTCCACGAAAGATGTGTCCAAACTCCTCGCTCTCTAGAGCATCCATCTCACCCTAATCACCCTCTTACCCTTCATCCAACTCCAACTTATTCCACTCATTCCTTCACTTGCGATGCTTGTGGGTCCCCGGGCAACGCGTTCAGCTTCGGCTGTGCGCATTGCGAGTTTGACCTACACTTGCAATGCGCGGCCCTGCCTTGCTCAACGCGGCTGCCTGAGGACAAGCATCCCCACGAACTCAAACTGTGTTTTGATTTCCGATCCTTTTCAGAGGCGATGAAAAGGGCAACCGTATCGCCGGCTTGTGTTTCGTGCCACGGGAAGTTGGAAGAAAACCAATGGCTTTACCGCTGTGAAGAATGCGACATTGGGATTCACTTACAATGTGCTAAAGCAGATCAACAATGTCCAGAAGAAGGTGGTGAATTTGGGGAGATTAATGAGCTGCAGAGGCTTCACAATAAAATGATTGATCAGGAAATGCGATTCAGGGATTACTACATGAAAGCAGAACAACAGAGGATTATGTTTAACTTCATGAACCAATGTATTTCAGGAAGTAGAATTTGACATATCCCTTCAACAAATTAATCGATCTATTATTCCCTTGTTTCTTTCCCTATAGGTATCGTTATTCCAAGTGAAACAATGTTTTATTTGCATATGTCAAATTAACAATGCAGTTAATTGTTGGATTTGTTCAGGCGTTTAGCCTCTTATATTGTACTCTAAAAAAATTGCATGTTATACAGCTTTTGTAATCGTACTTCTTAATCACGTCCTCCATCATTTCCCACAATCACTACAACAAAAATGAGTAGTTTAAACACTTTTTTGTGTCTCAATAAGTGGTATAATAGGACACATGTGATTCACATTGCGTGGGACACTACTAAATAGTGTCTCCTATAATCGAGTCACAATAAGTCATAAAACATTTGAAAGTGTATTATTAGATTGTCACTTATTAAGACACTTTAAAGTGACCTATTAAGTAAGGTAATAGTTCACAAGCAACCCCACATAGTACACTTATGATAGTGTTTCATAATATGCATACACTTTTTCATTTTTAATAAGACATTTTTTAGCAAATGTCCTAATACACATATAATGAGACACAGTTTGGAAAAAGTGTCCCACTACAAAGGTATTAATAGTCCATTTTTATTGTAGTGAATGTACTCTGACGATTTTTCAATAATGGTTTTTTCCCATGCACGACCATTAGATATGATTATCCACCTTTCTTTTAATTACAAAACAAAGATTATGCGTTTCATAATTTTCCAAGAGACTATTCTCTCGGTAACCAATTTAAGAATGCGAATATATGAAAAACTTTTTCGGTCTGCAAGCAGTAATCCTTGACTAGGTGATGGTGCCCATTCCTGTTAAATGCCCAAGGAATTTTTCTTAGAGACTAGTGGGCCACACAATGAAGGCCCATAAACCCATATCAGTTGAAGACCCACGACTGGGCCTCACTTTTGGACACATCTTAAATAATGTCGCATATATATCCCAAAATATTTATTTTAAAGGGTTAATTCACACTCTTTTCTCTCTAAGTATGTATTTTGATTATTTTCTCTCACTATACTGACTTTGGCATCGGAGTGCTAACCCTTATCTTGCAGGTTTCCGTCCTAGATGACCGTTGACTCGCTGCCATCGAGATTTGCGTTCGTCAAGTGGCGCCGACTGTGGGGAGGCATATACTTGGTCGAGGGCGAGCCCAAGAGCTTTACAAGAGTTATGGTCTCAACTAGGGCGAGACCTGAGGAAGACCCTAGCAGACGCCCTACCGCTAGATCTGAGATAGTGAGGGAGTCAACCAGGCGCTCACCGAGGAGGAGCCCAGAGGAAGACCAGGAAGAGGACCGCGCCTCCCAGACTGGAGAAAAGGCTATGCACTCGTGCCGACGCTCAGACAAGAGACGCAGCCATTCTCACTCAAAAGGGAAGGAAGACGATCGTTGACGAAGACGATCCCGACCGTCCTCAGAAGCAACCAAGACTCCACGACCATCCAACCGAAGCCGCGATGAAGATTTCTTGAAAGCATTCTCCCGGAGATACCCAGACTATGCAAGAAGGGTTCAACGCTTCGAGGACGACTACTACAGAAGGAAGGATCGGGGCCAGAGCGCCAGCTTACAATTCATGGGAGAGAGACGACGCTCCCACTAACGTTCGGAGCAAGGGCGGGAAGAGCCAGCAACCAAGCATCCTAACCGAGAATCCTCACGGATCACCACTCCGGTTGTGGAAGAAAATCGACCTCCTATCACTCTCGGATTAGATACGCGCTTAGAGGCTATTCTCGGAGGACATGAAGCTAGCCAGAGTCCTTTCGTGAAGCATATCCAAGTTTGCACTAAACCTGACAACTTCAAGTTACCCGAGGACATCAGGAAGTACTGAGGGAACACTTGTCCCGTCAATTTTCTAGCCGATTATACGGTAGCTACGGACCTACGAGAGGCGTCTAGAGAACTTATGGCCAAAGCTCTGCCGACCTTTCTCACCGACAGGGCCAAGACCTGGTTCTATAGTTTGCCACCCAGGAGCGTCGGATCATATCAGGAACTTGGACGCATGTTGCATGTTTGGTTCTTCTCCAGCAAGAAGACCTCCAAGTCTATCCACGAACTAGCATATGTGCGTCAAGGGAAGAATGAGACTGTAACCCAATACTATGACCGGTTTAACAAGGAGTTGATGTTAATTGACCAAGTCGACAACCTTGTTGTGCGGATAGAATTCGTCAATGGACTATCTCCCTATGGAGCTAGGGTTGCACTTCGGGGGAAGCTAATGGATAAGCAACCCGGAACCACCCAGAAGCTCTGGGAGATTGTCGAAAGGGAAGTCAGGAAGGAAGACTCTCTGCGACGGGCTTGAGAAACCTTCCCTGAGGACAAGAAGGAGAAGAGGCCTGAAGAACGCAGGTCGACCTCAGGCCCGCCGAAGTACGACGTCAAGCTCACACCACTCACTAAGACTAGAAAAGAAATCTTGTAGATCCATAAGGGGGAATTTAAACTTTCCCCGAAAGGAAAGAACTTGGGGTCGTCTGATGAGTGGTGCGACTATCATCTGGGAAGAGGTCATGACACTAAAGACTGCAAGAATCTCCAGCAGGAGATTGAAGACGGTCTCAAAGCCGGGAAATTCAAAGAATACATACGCAAAATTGGAGGTGGTGGGTCAATCTTTCGAGGACGACGCAACCAAAAGTGGAAAAAGAATGGTGCCAAGCCCCAACCCCCCAAAGCTGAGGTTGAAGCTACCGAGAAAGTCGAGGATGAAGCTCAAGCGCAGAAGATCTTGGCCGCTCCTGTAGGTGCTATCTTTGGGGCCTATCTAGCCGTTCAAAGTATGACGGCCCTCAAAAGAAATGTCCGGCCAAGGCCTTCCGGGGAAAGCGGAAGCTGCAGGCTGTCCTCGACCGAGAATATTACCTTCTCCGACCAAGATGTTGTTCTCAGTACAACTAAAGGGTCGGACGCATTGGTAATTGAAGCAATAGTAGCCAACCGAGAAGTGCGGCGAGTGTATGTGGAAAACGGGAGCTCTGTGGATATCATGCACCACGACTGCTCAGAAACTGGGTCTTGACCGAAATATGCTCCGACCAACTTCCACACCACTAGTGGGTTTTTCCAATCATGTGATTATGTCTTTAGGTGTGATTATTCTTGTTGTGACTGTAGGAACACAACCGCGGGTGAAACCTATGATGTGTGACTTTGCTGTGGTGGATGTGGTCACACCATTCAATATTATCCTCGGATGACCATGGATGTGCAAGACCAAGGCTGTTTACTCTCCTTATCATTTGGTGATGAAGTTCCCGACTCCCTCCAGAGTAGCTGAGGTTTGAGGAAACCCGCAAGTGGCCAAACAATGTCTAGTCGTCGACATGAAGAAGGGAAAGGAGCTGTTGCTGAAAGGTTCAGAGCTGAACATGATCTAAAGGTCGACTTCTCACCTGCCTAGAGGTCGTGCTGATGAGGATCCTATAGAGGGTGATATTCTTCTCGATAGGGAGTATAACGTGGTCCCCATCAACCCTTATATGGAAGGACGTGTGATACAGTTGGGATGGGCACTACCACCTAGCCTTTGCGAAATGGTGATCCAGCTGCCGCAGGAATACCAAGACGTGTTTCCTTGGGAGCCATCAGACATGACCGGAATCCTTACAAAGCTAGGCATTCACTGCCTTAATGTGGATCCCGGTGCTCGTCTGATCAACAGAGAAAGAGAAAGATGGCCCCCGAAAGGAGTGCAGCTATTGATGTTGAGGTCGCCAAGTTGCTAGCCGCCTCCGTGGTTCGAGAGATTCTATACCCGACTTGGCTGGCTAACCCAGTGATGGTAAAAAAAGCCCGATCTATCATAGAGGATCTGTGTGGATTTCACGGACTTAAACAAGCATTGTCCAAAGGGTTGCTACTCCTCGCCTGCCATCGAACAGAAGATCGACGCTATAGCTAGGTACCCTGTTCTGTGTTTCCTCGACGCATCAAAGGGGTACCACCAAATCTTGATGGCTGCGAAGGATGTGGAAAAGACGGCGTTCATTACCGATCGTGGCATATATTGCTACAAGAAGATGCCCTTCAGTCTGAAGAACGCCGGGGCTACTTACCAAAGGATAGAGAATAAGGTGTTTCCAACACAGATGGGGCGAAACATGGAAATCTATGTTGACGACATGGTTGTTAAGAGCGCTCGATTGGTGAACATCGTCAAAGACCTCAAGGAGACCTTTGAAACTTTAGGCCAGTTCAACATGAAGCTGAACCCAAAGAAATGCATTTTCTGCGTAGGGTCGGGAAAGTTCCTAGGAGGGATGGTTTCTCAACGAGGAATCAAAGTAGATCCCAGTTAGGTGAAGACCGTCCTCGACATGAGGGAACCGCATTCTGTGAAAGAAGTCCAAAAGTTGACTGGATGCATGGCGGCCTTGGGATGCTTTCTATCCAAAGCCGCGGAGAAGGGTCTCCCCTTTTTCAAAGTATTGCAAAAATCCAAGTCTTTCGAGTGGGGCGATGAATGCCGGTTAGCCTTCTCCCAGCTTAAGGATCACATAACATCTCTCCCGACTCTTACGACCCCCCGAGTCGGAAGAGGTCTTGTCTCTGTACTTGGCCGTGGGGGAGACCACCCTAAGTTCAATCTCGTCCATGATTTGAAAGGTAAGTAGTCGCCGGTCTACTTCGTCAGCAAGGCCTTGAATCGGGCCGAAACTAGATATACCTTGGTTGAAAAGGTGGTCTACTGCCTGGTGGTCGCAGCCCAAAAGCTTAGGCCATTCTTCCAGGCCTAATGGATCAACCAATACAGCACGTGCTAAGAAAGACGGGGATCTTCAGCATGATGACGAAATCGGCAATTGAGTTGGGTGAGCATGACCTCAAGTACGAGCCGAGGACCGCCATTAAAGCACATGCTCTTGCTGACTTTTTGGTAGAAGTCCCCAGAAAAGAGACCCCTGTAGATGAAGCCGCGAAACCCCGGGCAGGTGTCTGGCAGCTTTATGTTGACGGGTCATCAGCTGGCTCCGGTTCAGGGGCTAGTCTCATCCTAGTCGACCTAACGGGTCGGAGATCACTTACGCCCTTCGGTTGGAGTTCCCTACCACCAACAACGAAGCTGAGTATGAGGCTCCGGACTTAAGCTAGCACAGGAGATGAAGGCCTCCTCAGTTTCTATTTACAGTGACTCTCTGGTCGTGGTTAACCATGTGTTGAAGCTCTATGAAGTTCGTGAGGCTTTGTTGCAGAAGTACCTGGATGAAGTTCGAAGGTTGGTTGGTCAGTTCGTCCAATTCAAGATTCAGTATGTACGGCGGTCGCAAAATAAAAGGGCTGACGCACTCAGTAAACTCGCCTCTTCCGCCTTCGCTCACCTTACCCAGCGAGTCCTTGTTGAAACTCTTCCTCGTCCCAGCGTCGAGGTTGAAGAAGTCTTAGCAGTGGAAGGTGAGGAGGTTGAATGTTGGATGACCCCTTTTATTCGTTACTTAAAGGAAGGAACATTGCCAGAAGACCCCAAGGAGGCCAGGAAGATCCGTCTCAAAGGGCCAAGGTATATGCTTAGGGACGGGATCCTATACAAGCACGGCTACTGGTCACCTATGTACCGTTGCGTAACCCCAACGGAGCCGGAGCTGTTGATACGAAGCATGGATGAAGGGGCTTATGGGGCGCATTTGGGAGCTAGAAATTTGTCAAAAAGACTCTTGAGGACTGGTTATTATTGGCCGACCAAGGCTCAAGACTGTTACGAACTCGTCTTAAAATGTCCTTAACATCAGAAGCATGCCCCCATTCCTCGGCTGCCTCAGCATGAGATGGTCCCCATTCACAGTCCTCGGCCATTTTATAAGTGGGGGATCGACATCCTAAGACCCATCACTATGGCCCCTGGGAAGATCTGTCACCTCATTGTTGCCATCGACTACTTTTCTAAGTGGGTCGAAGCCAAGCCTCTGGCATCGCCCTCGGGCAAAGCGGTGATGCAGTTCTTTTGGAAATACATCGTTTGCCGGTTTGACATTCCTAAGGTGCTTATCTCTGATAACGGGACGCAGTTCGAGTCCGGAACCTTTCGACGTTGGTGTGATGAGATGAACATAGACCGGAGGTTCATGGCCGTGTCACATCCTCAGGCAAACGGGCTGGCCGAAAACATAAACAGAGCCATCTTAAGGGGAATCAAGAAGCGTTTGGAAAAGGCCGAGGGCGGATGGGTAGACGAAGTGCCCCATGTCCTATGGGCAATCCGGACTACCATGCGCACTGCGACCGGGGCTACCCCATTTTCTTTGGTTTATGGAATGGAAATAGTTATACCTACTGAAATAGAAGTAGCCAGCCCGTGTACAGTGAGTTTCATTGAAGAAGAGAATGATGACCTGATGCGGCTTAGCTTGGATTTCTTGGACGAAATGAGGGATTGTGCCAAGGCCCGGGTCCGCTATAAGCAGTAACAAATGAAATATTACAGTGCCCGAGTTCGGCGTTGGGACCGTGTTGTTGACGACCTCGTCCTCCGAAGGAATGATGTAAGCCATGCATTGCCTGCCGGAAAACTCTCCCCAAACTGGGAAGGCCCGTATAAGGTCGTGGAAGTTTCTCCCTCGGGAAGTTACAGGTTGCAGATGTGTCATGATGACCCCGTCCTCCTATCCCGACGGTGGAACATTCAAAACCTTAAGATGTTCCATGTGTAGTCCCTGTTCGAGGGTACACTCTTTTGTATTACCTATCTTTTTGACGGCGTAGCATAGGGAAGGCTACACCTCTTGTACTCTTGACAGTATTATTTGGTCGATAATACAAATATCCGACCTCCTGAAAATACTTGTCGAACGCAAAAATAAACAAGTCAGACGGCCCCAAAAGCGGTCGATAACCGGTGACTGGCCACAGGCTGACGCCTTCATCCAAAAAGACTTTGTCTTGGACTTCTCATGTCGGACGGCCCCAAAAGCGGTCGACGACCGGTGACCGGCCACAGGCCGGCGCCTTCGTCCAAAAAGACTTTGTCTTGGACTTCTCAAGTCGGACGGCCCCAAAAGCGATCAACGACCGGTGACCGGGTGCTGGCCTTCGTCCAAAAAGACTTTGTCTTGGAATTCTCAAGTTGGACGGCCCCAAAAGCAGTCAATGACAGGTGACCGGCCACAGGCCGGCACCTTCGTCCAAAAAGACTTTGTTTTGGACTTCTCAAGTCGAATGACCCCAAGAGCTGTAAACAACCGATGACTGGCCACAGGCCGGCGCCTTCGTCCTAAAAGACGGAGCGACAATATAGCACTCGGGGGAAGGAGCGTGAGCGAATAACAGAATCATACACATCCCTCACTATCTCAGTCCTACATCGTCGTCCTACACAAACATCTGGCCAAAGGAAAGAATAGAGCAGCCGGAATATAAAGTAAAATATAAATACTTGAGAAATATAAACAATTAAGGTCTTGGGGTTGTTTCGTTGCAAAATTTACAACCGGGGTCGAGTAATATTCCTCGAACCACCTGATATTCTTATATTTTACCTATTTATTATATCCCTAATTTGTAATTTTTGCAATATATTTTGAGTACAAATATGCTATTTATGTGATTTTATCTTTAATTGTAAGAATTGTACTCAAATGAAGAATTGTTGAAGTTTTGAGCTAAAATCGAATTAAAAGAAACTCAATGGGAAAGAATTGAAGATTGGAGCAATTGATGGGGACGAAATTAATGAGTTTAGAGAATTGGAGGGCCAATGATGCAATTTTGGAATGTTTAGTTTTTGGAAATTGGCCGAACAAACGATGATGGTGCGGCTGATTTGGGATTGGAATTGGATAAGAATTTTAATCCCGATATTATTTGGGAAACAAGTTTTCTTCCTCTCCAAGAAGTAGGGTTTTGACGGAAGCCTATAAAGGAGGATTAGGGATTTATTTTTACAACAGGACCGGACTGAACTTGACCGAAAAACCACGCTTCCTTCACGGCTGCAACTCTTCCACCGAACCAGCCACTTCTTCTTCTCCTTCACGCAGCACACACCATCTTCTCCACCATCATTGATCACCGAAGAGCCAAGAAAATTCCACCAGCAGCAACACCATCAACACACACCTTGAGCTCCTCATCTCCAAAACCACCCCAGCTCCTCAATAAACCAGCACCTCCTTGCTCATCACCAAGCACACAGATTCCACCGTCATCGTCACCGGCGCAGCCTTATTCATCCACCAAACCCCAGCCACCTTAAGCACCATCAACTGTCCAGCATCATCACCATTAAATCTGAAATGGCTTCAATCCGAGAAGAACGGCGGAGGAAGAAAGCGTTTGTGCGGAACAAACCGAAGCAAGCAGCAGATTTTGAATTGATTTCTAGCTTCCAGTTTTGGCGCAATCAAAATCTTCCGAGTTCTTTTATTTTAATTAATTTAATTTCAAATTTGTGTGGCTGATGTCTCTAAATATTATTGAATTATTTTTTATAATGTTTAGTGGCTAAATTCTTTTAATCTAGGGCTTGGGTGTAGCCACCGAATTTATTTGGTTTATTTGGTTCATTATTATTTGAGTTTTCCATTAATTAATATTTGTTATTCTTGTTTTAATTCGTGTAAGTAATTGGCCACTATTTGCATGTCTGAAGAATCGAAGTAGCGAGAGTGGAAGATTAGTATTAGTTCGTAGGAATAATAAACTTAGATTGTAAGCTACGAGAGTAAGATTATAACCTTTGTAATATTTGATTCTTAATGGTCTTAATGTGCTTTTGTTAATCCCTATAGTCACGAGAGTAGTCATAGGGTTAATCTAAGTAAGAGAATTATAACACGAGAGTGAATAGTTCTTAATTAGGTGAATCGTTGTGAGATTAATGGAGGTTAAAAGTCAAATACTTATGAACTGAACTAACCCAAGTATTCGGTAGGTGAACCCAATGTCCTAGGTTTTCTTTGTCTGATTATTTGAATTAATATTATTTGCTTTTATTTTATTTATTTATTTTAGTTTTAAATTTTATAAATCTGAGATCATCAATTATCTAGATAATAATATGAGTAATTTATACCTGGTAATTAGTATTCCTTCTCTGTGGGTACGACCTTATTTTTCGCTATACTAGTGTTAAGTAGGTGAATTTATTTGACTAGTTCTGGCGACGGCTTGTCACCACCGAACAAAAATAAGCAACTATACTATCCCCAATGCTAACTATACTAGTGGGCGCGACCTAGTCCATAGAATAAGGCGTCATCCTCATATATCTTTTTCTTGGCCTCTGCGATCGGAGAAACGGACATGTCTTTCATCGCGTCGCAACCATCTAGCCACTGTGTCTTTGGATTGAATGTGCCTCCCAATTCTATAAAATCGGAGACAACTTGCTGCAAGGCTGATGAAAGACGGTCCACATAATCTCTCTGACTATTAATCTTCTCAGACGACCTGCTCCACCGAATGGCGACCAAGGCATATGCCTTTCGGAGGTGAGAGAGGACGCTCTCGTAATAAGTCCGGGGTAAAAAGTCTTCCGGATCTGGTGTAGTTTGGCCGTTATTCCTCTTTTGCTTACGGAGGTTAGCCTCTACCTCCACGAGCCTTTGGTTGCTTAAATTGTCCATCTTTATGGCATTTTTAAGATGATCTTCCCAATACCATTCGTGGTCTTCGTTGAGTTGACGAAGATTAGAGACTTCGGCTCCTAAACCGGCAATGATCTTCTTAGCCGCCTCCAATTCCGTCTTATAGATTGCACGAATAGTATGTCGAAGAGCAGCTTCTAAAGTCGACAAGTGTCCTCTTCTCGTTTCAAAAAAGGGTTTGACTAAAACCTTCCCTATGACTGAATAGTACGGATAGTTATCCGGGTCAAATTGAGGATCGGGTAGTGTGACGTGGATATAGGGAACACTTGCATCCAGTTTCTTCCTAGAAGTGGATGGGGCATCAGTTGGGGTCAAATCGATAGAAACTTCGACGTCGACCTCAGGTGTTGGGTACAGCACATCCATGTAGATGGTTGTCAGACCCTTGGTGCATTTTAGAATAAATAATCGAAAAAATAGAATAAGAAGATCAAAAATCAAAATAACTTTCATTCATAAAAAAAAAAAAAAAATCGAACCCCAAAAAGGCTCTGACAAAGGAAATCTACAACATTCTATTACACCAAGTTCAAAAGTTACTCGGTGCTCACCTCCACGTCTTCAAAACCCCGTGAGGACTCTGTCGTGTTGGTTCCTGAAGTAGTAGTCCCATTTGCGTCTCCTGACGAGGGATGACTATCCAAGGAATCCCGATGCTCCTGGTCGACCGCTACATCATCTGGACCGGAAGGCATCTCTGCAGGAGAGCCTATGTTGTCCGGCATATTGTAGATGAAGGACGGCCCTGCCGAGGTATTCAAGAGGTCCACAGGAGAGGTTATATTAGGCAAAATCTTCTCCATCTCCGTAAAGAAGTCTTGCACACTTAAGTCCGCGTCCCGAAAGTACCTCCTTGCCATGAAGCAAAGACGGATGTCCGCGGTCTTACCCCCCGAGAGTCGATCAGCGTACTTTGCCAAAATCGACTTGATGTCCTTCTTATCCTTTAGGGCGTCCTGGATTTCCCAGGCTGCCTCCATCATCCCAATCTCGATGCCGGGAATAGCTTGATTGGAGGTAGACACGGAGCGCGGCCAATATAAGCTTCCCCAAGGAAGTCTTGGGGATGCATTCCTTCTTCACTTTTTTCATAGATTCCTCGTAGGCCTTCGCCTTCTCTGTGAGAGCCTTAGTCGCAATTGTCAATTGATCCTTCCAACACTGGGCCTCCTGCTTTGCCTTGTCCAACTCAGACCTGACCCCTTGAAGCTCCTCGGTGAGCCTGGCCACCATATTCTCATTCGTGGACCCAAGGTCGACGTAATTATGAATAAGACGACCAAAGGAGGCCGCGGTCTGCACAACCTGGAATGCAAGAAAAGTGGATAAGCACGACTAAAGAACATATTCGACGATCTAGGAACGAATGTATTTGGAAGGTGAAGATACCTATCTCATGCAATCATCGATGGTTGGGGCTTCAACCTCTTTGATGTCTGGACCCGACACCTTGGGGGGGCTTGAACTGCACAAAAGCCGTACCCCTAGGGATGTCCGCCGACTTCACTTTCCGCGGACGGGGGTCCTTTTCAGTATACGTCTCCTTCAGGAGATCGTCAGGGGTAAGAATTAGCCCTCCTGAAACAACCGTGGAGATGGGAGTAACTGTCACTTCAAATCGGACCCGCTTTGAAGCATCCTCTGAAGGCAGAGCGGGTCTCTTATGCTTAGACGCAGGACCTGTTGGTGGCTGTTGATTTGAGGGTAGAGGGTCCCGCACAGCCACAGATGGCACCACCTTCTCTCCACCGAAGGCCGAGGGATCTTGCTGAGATAGGGGCATGCTTTGAGACTCTGCAGGGGCACCAAAAGCAGTTCTACTTCCCATCAGTTACAAATTACCTATAAGGAAAGAACAATTGACAATTAGTGTTGCTAGTCAAAGGAAATACCTCGCTCAGAATTAGTAATGGCATCACTCATGGCAGCTATCTCAAGATAGCTGTATGACTCCGTCCACGACACCAACTTGTCGAGGTCGGGTTGTCTTTCAGTCAGGTCCGCCTGATCAGACGTGGACCAGGGATCTAATATCTTGTCACCCTCAAGTGCGTAGTTCCAATCGGGAAGGTCAGCGAGTGAGGAATTGATATAGAGATACTCAGCCTTCCACGTCTTATATTCATTTTTCCGTGGCTTAGAACCTTCACTCGGCATAGCTAGCTCTTTCTTGGGTCCCTTCTGATTTTTTGTGAAGCTGAGCCAACTTGGAAAGTTCTTTGGTCCACGGACCAATTTATGAAAACACCCAAAGAGAAAGACGTCGGGGACGACCTCCACCTTGTGGCACACATGTATAAACGTCAGCACCGAAGTAATGAAATTCGGAGTAAGCTGTGCCAAGGGGAGCCCATAGGCGTCTAGAATATCTCGAATGAAAGAAAGGACGGGGAGATGGAGGCCGAGCTCAAAATATTTGGCATAGACGGTGATCTTCCCAAGGGGAGGAGTATTCGCCCATTGCCGCCCTTCAGGAAGGGTTGGGTCGTGTTTGGTCAAGCTAAACTTCTCCTCTAAATGCTCTAGATCCTTCTTCTTGAGAAGGTTACGAACGTCCCCAACCATGGTTACATCCTTGTCCCCAATATTCCAAAATATAAGGAGAAACGAAAAGAATAAGGACGAGAACTTACTGAGTAGTTGTCCAAGGGTCGAACAAGTGATTTAGCGTCGAACAGTGGGTCGTTCACCGAGACCGCCTGAGTAAGTCGCCAATATTAGTATGAGAGAAGAGATAAAAAAAAAAAACAAGAGTGGGAGCAAAAGAAGTAAAATCTCTCAAATGAATCTGCTCCACCTTTTTATAGTATTACCCAAAGTAGGTGAATAGTCGCCTCGGTTCCCACGACGTCATCATTACACCGGTTGGAGTTTCGGAGTCATCTGAGCCGCTCGTTATTTCCCTCCAAGGAAATTCGAAAAGATGCTTAACTGGAACTATTAAAATGGTTGGGCCTCACAAATGGGCTTTCCAAATAAAGTATCAAGCCCAAAACAGATAGTCTTTTGAGCTTGACAGGGGCTCTTGATGGTGCCCATTCCTGTTAAAGGCCCAAGGAGTTTTTCTTAGAGACTAGTGGGCCGCACAATGAAGCCCATAAGCCTATATCAGTTGAAGACCCACGACTGGGCCCCACTTTTGGACACATCCTAAATAGTGTCCTATATATAGCCCAAAATATTTATTTCAAAAGGTTAATTCGCACTCCTTACTCTCTCTCTCTAAGTGTGTATTTTGATTATTTCTCTCACTATACTGACTTTGGCATCTGAGTCCTACCCCTTGTCTTGCAGGTCTCCGTCCTAGACAACCGTTGACTCGCTGCCATTGGGATTTGCCTTCACCACAAGGGGAGTGGCAATACCGATTCATTTGACTCCATGAATTCACTATTATCAGTTCTAGATGTATCCCAAGGGTTTACTCGATTTAAAATAAAATAATAAAAATTATTCTCTTTTTACAAAAAAAAAAAGTCTAAAATAGAAGGCGTATAAAAATAAATATATATACAATATAAGGCTAAAATTTGATCATCTAAATGGTCAATTTAGTTGATTCTCTATTTTTTGGCAGAGAAAAAAGATTTTATTGGGCTTTTGGAGAAATCCTTAGGTGCAATATTATAAGACAACTAAATACTGGTATCTTTTGGTATTTTTGAATTTTACAGGTAAAAATTAAAATTTTTAAAAGTCATCTTAAATTACACTTAAGGTGCAGTTCCAAACAATTTTATTATGTACTTAATAATATATACTTAGATATTCCAATAGAAATAATCATAACTATAAATTTTTTTTTAAGATATTCAAACAAACTAATGCTAATTACGCTATATGTACTGATGTAGCGAGCGAAAGCCCTAACAAGTAACTCGTCACTGTTGATTCTATGAATACCCGAAAATACGACCTTCCTAATTCTTGTTGATTCTGAGAATATCCTGGAAAAGGGATCAAAGTTCAACACCTTGGGATTTTCTGATATGAATTCTCAACTTTTATAAAAATCAACAAAGTTTACAATGACGGCTAAAGTCTTAAATAGAAATCAAAAGAAGTAAAACTTAATCAACTAAATCAAAATGACAAAAATATCCTTGGACAAAGAAATTAAAATAATCTAAATTTATTCCATTACTAATTTTTAAATATATATATTAAAGAAATTAAAATAAAATCATAATAATTAGGGTTTCAAATTTTGTTGTGTGAATAAGAACGGGCAATCTTTGCTTTAAGTTTTATTATTAGAATCTTATTTAATAATGTCAAATTAATGTACGATTTGATGAAATATAATAAATAATTTTGACCTTGAAGCATTAATTGCAACTTTAATTTAACCTCCTTATATTTTTTTTTTACATTTTAATGAAAAACGAATCGAGTGATGACATGAGGCACAATAACAGAGATTATTTTCAAAAATAAAAATAAAAATATTATCTGCATTAATTTTCATTGAAGTCCCCATTTTCATCTCCTCCAATGATCTCATTTTTAGTCGGTTTTTTCTTCAACCAAGGAAAAAAAAATATACTGAAAGTTTTGTATACGTAGTGAAGCTGCTACATGAAAGTAAAAGGGGCTATATTCTTGTCCCATAGCTCGCAACCCATGGATTTTGCCAAGAATATGACAATGTAGTTGCGCACCATGTATGAAAGACATACACTCGCCCGTCTAAAAATGAGTCTCATTTGAGAAAGGAATGTATGATTTGCGCCACACGAAGTAAGAAGAGGACTAGTGTCAAGAATGCTATATCGGGATGCACTTACACAGTGCAAAAGATCAACAAAAGTGCCAAGAAGGAGATGATGAGGAGGATAAGAGAATGGCAATAATGAGAGGTGAAGTAGGTCAGAAATAAATTAAATTCTCAAGTAGGATAAGACTGTTTTAACTTCAACTGCCAAACTATTACCCTTTTGAACGTAATAATTTCGAGTTATTCACATTTTCTTCGCTATTCAAGACTAAAATGTGGCTTTTCGTTCTTTTTTCCATCACATGAATCTTGTCTGGCTCGTAGGCCTGATTACTGTTAATGTCCGTGTAGCTTATACTCGCTCCTAGAAAAATAGTTCCGAGAATGTAAAATTTTGTTGCAACTTATGACCAGTTGTGATGAGGATTGCAAATGAAAGGCATCACTAGAAGGCTGGATGAACCTCAATGGCGTCATCTTAAACTCCGGGCTGAAAAGCATGATTGTATATGTTTCTCTCATTGCTATATGATCTACTTTGATATCTTCTTCGATACAACTCAAAAGTGGCAGCTAAATTTGTAGCTTGAAAAGCTTTATACAAATGATACGGCTATATTTACAATATAAAACTCCAACCTATGAACTCTTGATATCACAAGAAGTGAATAATCACTGTCCAGAATGCATCAGCTGCGATTGAATTTCAGGAGCAACTGGCACGGCGAAGTTTACAGTGACATACCATATATATCCAATATCATCACTCTTTGTTGTTGGAAGATTTGTCTTTCTTTGGCCCGCCAAGGATACGAGAAATCTGCAGACCTCTGCTAAATGCTTGGTTGAATAACATTCGCGTCTGGAACTCCGAAACAAATGGGAACCAAGCCAAGAAAGCGACAGGTGTAAATAACAGCAAGCCCATTATCATTTCATAACCTCGTGCAAGTGTCCGGATTGATCCCCATATACCAATTTGTTGAACCCATGACCTCAAAGCTTGTGCAATCTGATAGTTTGATCATTATTCAGATGTCATGTTATATCATAGACTCAGAACTATATCAGAAATAAGAGGACGAGGTTCGTAGATACAATCACAACCATAATCATGTGCGACAGTTAAATAGTGTTTCCACTAGGTTCATTAAAATTAAGATAATTTTTGGAAAGAGGAAGGAAGAAAGAATTTGCTCACCAGGAGTAGTCCCCATCCAGTTGGCATAAATGCTAGGATGCAAACTATGATATCACGAAAAGTCAAATGCGTTACTACAATTAGTGCAATCAGAACAGCAACCAGTGACAGGAACACGAATCCTTCGAACAGTCGAAAGAGAAGTTGAAAATCAGCACTAAATCGCTTTCTTCCAATCGATATAACCTGCAAAATGTGATTTGGACAAAATGGCAAAAAAAAAGTAGATTCTTAAAATTCTGTGAAACAAAATGTATTGCGAGCAGTTAATTCGGCAGAAATCATTTCGGAAAACAAAATCCATGATTTCACTTCCAAAATTTGAAAAGCATAACATTGGCATCCAAGAATTTGGAACGAGAAAACTCCCAGCACGCTAAATCATCTGCCTACAAATGTCCTAGGAAGATAAAACCAACGGAGGCATAAAAAATAACACCATCCTCTTCCCAGAAGGGTGAAAAATAACAAATATAAGCAAGTAAAATTTCCCTTTGAAATAATACTTCAGACAATACGAATATTGTCTAAGTGAAAAACTCACACACAAAAATAAAATTACTAAAGAAATTAAACTCCACTCACCTTCAGGAACATCAATATGGCGATGATCACTAACCATGAAATGCCATAAACCTGAGCACAGTAACAACAAGAAGTTAAAATGACTTTAGGACTAGCACTGTCAAAGATGTAAAAGATTCATGAAAAGGTGCATATGCAACAGAACACATGATAACGATGGTGTACGCACCAGAACACTTTTGCTATTATTAATGATGCTTAGGTGATATATAAGCCCATACTGATAGATGAAAAAGCGCAGAGACAACAATACTTCCATTGCTATGCCAAGCTTGCCAGAATAATGAAGATGCTCTTGTTCTTTCTCCCACCAAGATTCCCAACTTTTTTGAGGGGAAACCCCGATACCACCTTGATTGTTTATCCATTTAGTCCAATCATTCCAATCATCAAGAATCTTCTGCCATTCGAATCCAGAAGGGTTGAAGAGGAAGGGTGCAAAAAGCCAGGTACCCACCAAAAACCATATCGACACAGTTATTAATACGTATGCCACAACACCCCTATATGCTTTGCCAAAAATGTGGTACACGAGAAGTAGAATCATCAGTTCAATGCCCTTGACAAAATGAGTCCTTGAATAGAACCTGTAGTTGTCGGCAAACTTAGCGTGAAATACAACAAACCCTCGACCCGTACCTCTGTACTGTGCACCACCATGAAGCAGGGTTCTCCCATAATAGTGGGTTCTTGTTCCTAGAGAAAATGTGAAAAAGACAGGAGCCAGCTGTAGTTGCATCATAACAAAATCAGTTAAAGCCTTGCGAAAACCACTTTCAAGGCCAATCTCCATCATCATAGGCAATGCCATTAGAAGTCCAATTTGCACAAAAGACTGTGAAGCTAGAGCTACTTGAAGAGGCTTATTTTCTCGAATTGCTGGATGATTACTCAGCTGTTCTTCAAGCCCACTTAGGACAAGATAGAGACGACCATATAGAAACACATACACAATAAGGACGGTAACCTGTAAGGCAAAGCACAGCATTTTAGGTAACAACCTTAGGAGATACCTTGCTGAAAAACTTCGTGTGCAGCTGTGATATATGAAATTGGGAGTTGATAAAATACAATACCATGGTACAAATGTAGAACCCCACGGTTGTAACAAAGCAAGACATCATGCGGAAAAAATCAAATCGGTGCCCAAGCCTAAACACATCACGACTCATCGTCTGTTCACCATTACCATTAGCAATCTTTGCCTCAAAAAGAGCGATTTGATTAAGGCCCACGTCTCTCCCTTTACCAACTTGTATGTACTCATGATGAGTGACATTACCACCACGAAGTGTGGAATTGAAACCTACGACAAACAGCAAAGAGTTACTTCTAAAATTAGGATTTTAGTACTGCACAAATAGGAAAATTGTAGTTCCGCCTCATACCTGCAAAAATATCCTCGCTTAAGTTAACAGTTTTGGAAGCCTTGCTCACACCACCTCTGGTTAGGTGAAACAATCTATCAAATACATCAGGATGGCCATAGTGGAAACGGACCCTGGAATTTTGCAAGAGAGGAACAAACAGAAGAGAAGAGAATGCCATATTAGCATTGGCTTAAAGCCGGTTTAAGCATTATACACTGCCCCACTCACAACTGTTTTTTATATTTTCTTACAACGCCCAAGTTTGATGATGATGATTGTTTCTGTTCATCCCTCTCTCAAACATAACAGAATCTTAGGCTCACTACAGAATAAATTTGTTTCAATCAACACTGTTCCTCAAATGCAAAAAGATACTAATATTGCCATTCATTTTCAGTGTGCTATCAAGCTCAACGCTTCTTTCAATCCAGAAAAATGCAACAAAAAAGATCTGGCTGGCTTATCTCAAGGGGTTCAAAACCCCACTTTTTAGAGAAATATTTTCGAAGAAACTAGCACTTTAAGCTTATTTTTGCGTAGCTGTGCACTTGCAACTTCATAACCTGAAACCTTAAAAGTACTTACTTCAGTGGGTTCGCCAACAATCTTTGACCAATTGTAACAAAGCTGTGTTCCTGGTTTGACATGAACCACGCAAGTGAAGAGACACTGGAGCATACAACACCATACACAAGTCCAATGGTGAGAATCGCAGAAGTAGATTGGAGTGCAGTGTGTAAATAACTCAATTTATTTGATCTGGACTAGTGTTTCACATGATAATTATGTTTGAACAACATTTGTCTCTCTGTACTGTAAATTTGTTTTCCTTAGACGCAAGGGGTTTTGGACTACTTTTTTAGGTGTTTTGTAAGTTCGTATAACGGCTGCGATCCAATTTTCTGCTAATAGTATCGTTCAAGTACCTGCCAGTGAATATGTGCTCCCTAAGTCCCAATATTGTTGGCTTCCTCACACCATGCTTCTTCAAAAATTCTTGCAACAGATTCCTCATTTTCAAAGCCTCTTCCATGTAATTATCCTGTTTATGACACACCATTAGTCTTCCAAATGAAAAGATAAGCAGGACTTTTTCACGAAAACCCACGATTTTTTTGCCAAAAGCTTCTAGCCATACCTGGTTCATATCTATGGTTTGCAATCCTTCCCCACGGGTGAAGATAATGGCATGGTTCTGGTTCTCTGGTTTTCCCTCACCTATTAATGCAGGCCCTGGTAATTTTATACGATATATAACCTGAAAACACAAGTGGCTACAGTTAGAAGTTAACCATGTGAAAATGAAACAGAACTTTTGCAATCATTTATCTGAAAAGAGATCATACAAGATTAAAATTCCTTGCACTTATGTTCTAGTTCAAAAATAATCATAACAGAATTTTGCCATACAAATACATTCAGGTATGAACTTGTATATAGAAAAACCAGTATCAAATTGACCACATACTTCATCACAGATGGCAGAGAAGGGACAGCAATAGAACACGCATCATTGACAAAAATCTTGCTTTTTTATTCGATAACCATCCATGCTAGAATGACAAAAAAATGGATAAAATTTGGAAACACACATTTTTGGTATTAAAAACTCGAAGTACTGATCATCAAAATTTCTAAAATAGAACCAATCTCCAAATAGAGTGATTTTTCAAAAATTACCTGATCTAACTTTTGATCAGGTTCAGAAGAGTCAACAGACTTAGGGACCGCTTTCACAAGGGCTGAATAATAAACCTTCTCAACTTGATTTCTTGATTTATCTTTACTAGTTTCCTCGACCTCGTCAATGTAAGCAACACGTAAGGATGGATATCTGGCAGAAGAAATAATAGAGTGTAACCACCAGGAACTTCTCAAACAAATATTCTAACCAGAAAAACTATTTGAGGAACATACTCTGTCATAAGCCTCAAAATATCAGTAGCTTTAGGGTCACCAGATCTTTTTTGAATGCCATATATTTGACATGAAACCACATACGTGAACTTCATGTCTGCAACTGCTTGACATTGAGCATACAAGGATCGATTATTTCTTAGCTGCTCTTCAGTATTTGATTCAACAACCTTATAACCTTTCAATAGATCTGGAAAAATGCAAACATGAAGTTACAGTCTGCAACTGCTAATGTGATAATCAGTTTCAATAGACAAAAAGCTTGATTGATTCTCTACAAACCATCATCCTTGGCCATATCTAGAAACGCCTGAAGTTCCAAAGCTTGCCGATAGTACATCATGCCTCGCACTAGTATATTCAGCCAACCAGAACAGGTAAGAGTTTCCGACGAAACAGACACCAAAAAGTGAACCCCAAAAGAAAAGGATACGAAGTTGTTAATTACTTATTCCCAACTCACAAGATTTCTAATATAGACCCAAAAAGATTATATTTTCATACCAGTTTTCGTAAGTGTCTGGCCTCTATAAGATGCCCACAATCGAAGTTCTTCTTCAAGTTTTATGTCCCCCATAAGATCTTCTTCACCGCCGCAACCAACGCGTTCAAGAAAGTTGTCCCATTCATCTGTGACAAGTTTTTGTGGTTCACAACATACAAATGCCACCTTAGGAAAACACAAGGTAGCAACATTAAGAGATCATACCAGGATATATCTTCTGCAAGTAGAAAAGAATTGAAACACCATCTTCATTAGGCTTCTTCAGCGAATTTATAGAGAACAGGACCTCCTCTTCGTAGTAAGGAGTTAAGGTACTGAAAAGAGGTTAACATGAACAAGGTTAGGCTTAGAACCCAAAAATACCGTTACCAGAACACCTAACCTTGTTAATCTTATGTTGAAAATTTAACCTCTAATTGCTGTAGTAGATTCGTGCAGTTTTTAATGATTGGTTTTATTAACCATTGGCATTTTCCAGTGTAAAATTATTGAAAAGTACGCACTAACTCAGTATTGGGAAGCTTCATGCTGTATAACTCAAAAACAAAGTGCCTAGAGTCGGGGGTGGGGGGTGGAAATGGCCACAAATACAAAACATATGCCCCCTCAGAAGATTACCAACCCGAAATTAAATGATCCGGATTTTATGTGCCTTTTAACTCCAGAAAAAAAATAAACAAGTTCATGTGCAAGGAATACGACACATAGAACACATAGATTAAAAGGATTCACTATACATACAAATGGTAGTGCTTATCAAGCAAATATAATTCAATACAGCAGACATCCTCCTATAAAATCCACATGTCCAGAATGAGAACTTATCAATCATTGAAATGATAACAGAGGCTAACAGAGGACTGGGATCTGCCCAAGTACAAAGAGTAAGATAGAAAGAATACAGTATACCGATTACGAGTAACCAACTTGTATTTGAGGTTCAAACATAATCATAATCATAACAATTATCACGCGCGCCACTCTTAAGTCCAACTCATGTGACAACATAGAGCACGCATCAGATAGTCCACCCAATCCCACCAACAGTAGAAGAACATAGAATTAAACCTATATGGCATGAAAACTGACAGTAATATAGGTCATGAATTAATGCCACCCTAGCCAACGTGTATGCAATGTGCACACATACAATAGACTGGCAAACATCACAACATTATCACATGGAACTGAAGAATCAATTCAATGTAGACCCTCATATTACGAAGAAGAACGACAATGACGTTAGCACAAAAAAGGGCACTAGATGGTCGTGTATGGCAACTTGGCTTCACAGCCTTCTGATTACGTGATATTTTCAAATTATTTTCATCTTTATAATTCAGTAAGTACAGGTAGAATCTCTTCAGTTTCCTTTTTTAGGCGACCAATGTTAGCATCAGCAAACACATCTCGATGGGCAACAGGACAGGCATGTTAGATATTCTCATTAACTTATTCGGGTAAAGTAATATAAAATTGTTTAAACATTTGATAAACAAAATGTCGTTAGAGCTCTTCATGCCAATCCAACCAGATATTCTAAAAATATAGATGTGATGCTTTAAGAAAACCCAAGTTTTTGCAGCAAAGTTGTCCAACAAATACTTCATCATTCAAGATTTTCACCTTATTCCTGGGATATATTTTATCACTATAAAATCATTTGCTAATTATATGAACTGCAAAATGGGAAAAAGGCCTGTTGTTATCGTTGTTCCTAATTATATGAATACTACACCAAGGCCATTCCAAAACAAGAAACTCGTCTTTTTTTCTCCATGGCTCATCACGAAAATGAACTATGGCCCGGAGCCTGAGGAAGCTAATCATAAAAAAGCAAGTGTGCTTAAATAAGACTTGATGTTTGAGTAATACAAGGGAAACTCCTTTTGAAGCAAAAATATGAAATCAGGATAATCCTAATATCTAAAACTTGACTGAAACCATCAATGTATCTGGACAGTACTTACGAAAAGGAAAGCATGTTCCGCACTTTCGGAGCATCAGGCATGTCCATAAATAATGAATTTGAAAAGAAAGAGATACGCCTTCGAGCCTCAAGGTTTGAGGGTACATCCATCGCTGATTCTTTGACAGTAAGCAGCAAATGGAGCCTTTGTATCTGAAGACAACAAAAGATTCAAGTTCATGTGGAATCTGAATACTTCCTTTCAATTGAACAATTTGTAAGATCAAACTTCCTACACATATAAATACACACATACAGATATGGAAGAACAGAACTACGGAACAGAAAGAGGACACCTCACTCAAAATTTTTATATTTTCACAACTTCCACAGCTCCACTGGCTTGGGAATTTAATCCTAGATTCAACGAAATACCTTTTCTTTCCATGCATCAGTTTCCTCCGTGACTGGGAACTTCACAGTGCCAAAAAGTTGATATTGCTCTTCAATAGGAGTCATACCACCTTCATGCATGCCGTGTGAACCACCATGACTTGAATCTAGCAATCTATGGAAAAAAAGAAGGGATCAATCAGTGAACAGAGCCTAATAATATGCATTAATCAATGGAGATCAGTGTCAAAGAACTCACGTAGGAACTAAGTCGTCCATTATATCCCTAGTCACAACCTCAAGCATGTTGAGCAACACAATGACCACTTGATCCTTGTCCTCCTTTTTATTTTCTTTCTGCATTTTCCATTATATGCATTTTCCACATCTTTACGAAGAATAACACCAAAAATAAAATAAAATAAAAATAAAAATAAAAATAATTCCTTGAACTTGTACGCACCAGGTACTCAATAAGCTGAACGAAATGCTCACAAAGGTTAGGAAGTGCAGACATATTGAATTCCAAAATTAAATCACCCTTCTCTATGTGCTCATCCATTTTAGAGAAAATCTCATTTATGACTCTACATTTAAGAAACAAAAAACAATATGAGAAACTAAACAAAATGTATTTGTCTACACAACCAAAAAGGATGCAGAACTTACCCTTTTTCACGTTCACCTACAACCAAAGAGTTAATTATGCTTTTACATGAAAGGTAGCACTCCCGAATCGCAGAGCGCATGTAATGATCTGCATTTAAGCTCTTGTTCAACTCTCGAACACGATCTTTCCCAATGCAATCTTTAGCCATATCAAGTGCAATTGGAAGCTAGACAAAGAAATACCAAGCATCAACAAGGTTCACTTGAGAGCGGAGTAAAAAAGAATAACTATCCCTTAAATGAGAAGCTACCTTGCTAGCTAACAAAAATGGCGGCCACTGAATAATGTTTAGATCACGATCTACCCAGTAGGGAACAAGTAACAGGTCCTTTTCCCTGTCACAGATCTCCAAGATTACTTATCCAGCCTCTCTACGAAGGTACGGTTCTACAAACTTATTATTCTCAAGTACCTGTTGTTTATCAGATCCTCCTCTCTGAAGCTTTCAATAATTTTGTTCCACATTTGTGCAAACCTTGCACCTTCCTTCTCCTGGCTAGACGGGATCTGTAAAAACACGCCGTAAATACCAAGCCATACCTTAGAGAAATCCAAAGCAGAGAACAATTCTGGCTTCATGTATTATATTTTAAAGTTAGAATTCTTATATGTACCTCATCAAATTTGCGCGAAAATGTGGCTTTCAGTCCCTTTTTAGTTACAGTCTTCTCCACAGGAGTTAAGCGAGCATTAAAAGCCCCAGGCAGGGACTGGAAGCGAGACCTCAGCATACCCAAGGTTCGAATCTGATAAAACACAAATGGCAAATTTCATCAACAAAAACAAAAATCAACAACAGGAAAATTTAACTTCAGAAATACTTCGGTATCTCAAGCGATGACCACTTTATTCGAGAACTTCATAGATTTCGAAATACTTGTGAAGCTTTATGGAACAAATCATACATGCTTTCTGAACTAACAAAATAGCTACATATACGATATTATTGCCAAATGAAACTTAATATTCCTCTAGATTTACTGTCTAGGCGGGTTTGTGACTAGAGGCCTCTGCACAGCTCACAATTGAACAATTCTATCTATATGTGCGTTATCAATGTGATCAATGCAGCTATTTAGAAGTCCTGAAAAATGGATCTTCTATATTCATGAACAGGAATCCACTCATACACATTTTTTCGCTAAGACTTTAATCTTTGAACTTGGAGTGGAATGAACAACTAAGACCAAACAAATCCGCTGACTGGACTACAAATGCAAGGAACAGAGTAAAAGAAGCTGAAGCAACCTCTCCAAGACGACGAAATGCTCCATATATACCTCCAAATATAGTGGAGAAAATAGCATACCAAATCTGGGTGTCCATAAAGTACACCTGAGAATGAAATTTTGTTACATATCATGAAGATAATTTCAAGACATTCTTGTTTTTATGAAGATAATTTCTTGAGAACGAAATTTCTACACCTGAGTGTGTTCACTTGATCAATACAAATTATCCCAAAAACAAAAGCATGAACTAGTAAAGTATAATTAGAACAAACCAGAATGATTGGAGCCCAGAGTACAATCACTACTCCTAAGTTGTTCTTTGCTGTAATGAGGAAATCAATAAGTTGACTCAGTATCCATATACTGTCACAAGATTTTGGAATGAGATTTTCAGCAATACATACCTCGTGGGAAGAACTCATGCCACTCATACTTTGACACGTGCACCTTCATTATCTCCTTTGTTGGATTCACAAGAGGCTTGATCTGAAACAATGCCACATGTTAGATCTCGTTTACCACCAGCGGTCAATATTACTTAGCTTAAAGTAAACATATGTATTCAAGAGCCACCCAGAATGGTGATCAACATCTATCTGCAAACTACAAAATATGATCCATGTTGACCTCTATTTCATACTCTCAATCAATGAAAGGATCACTATTGTTTCCTCACTTCTACTTTCAGCCTTTTTAGTCTGTTCACATGTGTACGATGTGTGAATTAAAAGAAAAGGAGAAAAACAACCACAAATTTGTCCAATCAGGTGAAGGAAAAAGATAAAAGGGACTACCCATTGGTAGCCATGGCCCATGCTACGGAAAGGAAAAAGAGAAGAATTGAGGGCAATATGGTGGCGCAAGCAACCAGGTTAAACAGTACTGCTTTATTAATCTCCCTTACGGAAAATAAAAAAAATGAATCATTTCTTGGTTTTCCACAGCTATAATCCACATAATTCCAACTGAGAAATATTACTATGCTGCAAAGAGAAATACTGCTAAACCAAAAATCAAAACAAAGCCTGTTAAAGAATTTCTCACTAACACAGTAGACGAGATAAACTTAAAAAGAGGAATAAGCATAACCTCTACAAAGTAGCTGAAAGCCAATTTTGCTGCTAAAAGGAGTACCCAAAACAGAGAATATCTGGAAAAGATGAAATTTTGAGATGGTAAGCACATTGAATACAACCATACAGGCAATGACACAGATTATAGGCTTACTTGAAAATGGAAAATGCACTCTCTTGCATTCCCCTACCCACAAAGAGCCGAGGCTGCGATTCATCATCAAACCATGAAAAAGTCATTTCTAACATCAAATAAAACATTCCAACATCAAAATTCCAAAAAAAAAAAAAAGAAAAGAAAGAAAAAAGAAGGGAAAAAAAAAAAAAAGGAAGCATACTAACAATGCACTGGCATTAGATTTTTTACATACATGTGACCACCACATTATGAGCCTCACAATCTTGAAATCTGATCTCTCAAGATAGCGGCGGATGGAAGGAAAAATAAATAATAACCCCGAGAGCATATTTGGAGACAGGTATATCAGAACTGCAATGATGAACAACGAAGGGGAACCTTCACCATTTCCGAACCAATTCTTGATCGTCTGAGCCAACCCACTTGCATTTTGCCAGCTGTATGCATAAGTTACAGGCAAAATGATCACCCATGCAGCGGCAGAAACCAACTTCAATATATATCTTAGCTTCACATGCAGTGACATGCTGTGCCTTGCCTTCCAGCTCATAATTACATCCAGAGTAGCTGTTTAAGCCATATGAGAGGGTGGAAATAGTCATCGACTTGATATATCAAACTAATTTAGCTGAAATTCAAACATGTGAATCAGTAAAATAAGTTCAGGACTGCATACATCAAACAAAATCGTTGGCTACTTAAATTTCTTAAACATCCTTCTTGAAAAATTGTAACAAAGTTCGGATATCTTAAACGTCAAAATCACACAAATAGTCATTAAGCTCAAAGAGAAACAAAACCAGAAACAAAACACAGGCATCCAGCAATTACACAGAGATGTTCCTACTGATATCTCAACAGGAAAACTTTTTTTTAAAAAAAAAAAAAGAAGGAAGGAAGCACGTACATGATGTAGTTTCAAGACCGGAGTCGAGATGAACCATAATTTACTAGTAGGGCAAAAGTTCAGAGACTAATGAATACAGAACAAACATCAACACTATTAGCCATGTTTACCTTGGATAAGTTTCAGTACAGCAGCTGTTATGAAAATGCTCAACACCTTCTTGAATACATTCCCCTCAAATATAGAACCCAAATCACCTGAGCTGTTCCAAGCAATGATGATCATAGCCTACGTATATTACACCAACGGAAAAAAAAAATTAATTAATTAAAAAAAAACTAATAAGAAAGACCCCAAAAGAAAATGGTATTTTGTGAAAAACATTTAATTTAGAAGGCAAAAAAGGAGGCCAGAATATGTGTTAGCATTATGATTTAGCACCTCAGACATTCTGTAAACTTTCGTGCAAGAGTATCAAGTAATATATTCTTTATGCTACAGGTCAAGCACATGAAGTAGATAGTTGCACAGAAAATGAAGATTACTCTGAAGAAACAAAAACCCAAGGAACTCAAGCAGTCAAAATGGGAGAAAGGCTACTAATTCTTTTATGCTGTAAGTAACATGAGTTTCTCTCTTTTATTGAAAGATCAGTCTCCTACTTTCGCGCTAAAGTTTCAATTTGTCCCCTTCAGAAAATTAAGTTGTTGTAAAGAGATTAACCGTGCATTTAATAGGAGGTCGGTGACCAGACCTTAGCGGTGAACAGAACTGAAAACACGTAGAACAATCAATTACCTGTAAGCACAAAATCAAAAAGCTCCACATTCTGTCAAAGCTCCTAAATATGTGCCAAAACGAGCGTATCTCAACAAAATTAATCTTTCCCATCCAGCGATTATTTGTGGTTCTTTCAATTTCCTGATCACATTACACCACAAAGAAAACAGAAGTATAAAATTCCACAGATATTCATAAAGGCATATAACATCCAATACTGTACGAATGATCAACTGGTAAAATGATGGGTTATATAATATCCTGAAAGCTCAACTACAAAAAACCTTCTAATGCAATATAAATCACTGGCATTATGAAGTCATAATTTAAGATTTCCAACTCGAAATAATATTTGAATTGACCAGTGAAAAAAAGTTGAAACCTTTTTGCTAAAATCAAATGGGCTTGGATAATGCATCCTAGAGAATTCATGCAGGAAAATCAAATATCTGAACAAAGGGATGGTTTTTCAGATGTGTAAAATGTACAAAACTAGGTAATGAAACCAACTTTAACAGAGACTCAACATTACATGCTCTTGTCATTCTATCAAGTTTCAGTAATTTTGCCTTGACAATACCTTTCATGTCACTGAGTTCATTTAATTATTGGAAGTTCAAAACATACATTAACATCAACGTACCCATCATCAGCCAAATTAGGGTCTGCGGGGTCAGGTATAGGCAGCCTTACCCTTGTATTTAAACAAAGAGGATGTTTCCGTTGCAACCAAAGATACACTGCTTAATTTGATGTATTGGAAGTTCCAAATACTTTCGAAAATTGAGTTTAAAATTAAGTAGGATTTCTGAGTTGGTAGAGAATGAGAACCAATGGGTGATTGAGGAGTGTTCGTCTCGAGTGGTAAACTGAGACGAGGCATCCACATATTCCAGGAAAAGCGACATGATCTCCGGGAACGCAAAACTCATTGTGAAGATTGATAAACTGTTTTGATAAGATCATATTTACGAACCAAGTTTCCAGGCCAAAATGGACTCTCTAAACCTCCTGCCAGAATTACCTCTATTCTCTACAACCAGAATAACATACTCTTCTGCCCAAGAAATTGTGGTTTTTTCAATGTTCACAACATTTTTTGGGATTGGAAGGGGAAAGGTAGTGGGGTGATGTTCGCAGCTTTGAAAGAACCTCGAGGTTACTACAGGCGCCCACTTCCTCAGCAGGACAGCACCAAATTTGTTTTTAAAAAAATGATTTTCTCTTCAGGTTTTAACTCGAATAAATTCAACACTCCTGTTTCCGAATGATCAACTTGATGCTCTCAGGGACTTAATTTAATATTCACACAAAAAGAACATAAACTAGCTCCCACTTAAACTTCAGGTTCAACAATTTGTCATGTGCAAGGTTTTCCACTCCACAGGTTCACATAACTCAGAAACATTACTAAATCTGTTTCCATGTCAGTTGTCAGTCAGATGAAAGGACCCATAAAAATCATATGGCTCATGCAGCTGACAGCAGGAAACAAAGTTTTAGCACAAATATATTTCTAGCGCTTTTTAAGTGTCAACTCTAACCTCTTACCGGAAACTTCAGAACTACTTAACGCATGAAAAAAGTTTAAGATGGTGCCTCCATAAGACTATTGCTTCAGAGTTTTTAGCTTGAAACAAGGTAGGTTATAAAGATGGCAATGCATAAGTAGAACTCTTGTAATAACAAAAGGCACATACTTCTTTTTCAGTGTGAAATTTTTCAGCAGGGATCCAAAAGAAGTCAGCATCATCGCGCATCGGCCATCCTAGTCTGAAACAGTCAACTGACCTGCAATTCAACCCCAACCCATGTTGTGAATGAACAAGTTTTTGGGAGAGAAGGAAGAAGGTGTGGAAACATTTGAAAAAACTTTACCAGAAGTACTCATTCAAATCATCATAGTTTCTCCACTGAGAATGCTTCGTCTTTCCATTTTTGCTTCTTTTAGCTTCCTGTGAAGCACCAGTACTGTTAACAAGAAAACTCCAACCATGCATGAAAATACCAATTTATTCAACCAGGAGAACCACAAAGCATCGCACCTCAGCTATCGTGTTATAAATTGGAGTCACAACTCTCTTCAGGAAAACCTCCTCTTCACCACCATAGGCAGGCTTAATAGTCTCACCAGTCGTGGGACTAACACTTCCAGCGAGCAGACCATAGAGTTCAAAGGCCATCTGGAGGAACACCAAAGCATTAAATTAAGAGAAGTACTATTGGGAGAAGAGCCAGACTTGTACAATCAAACAGCATTAGTAGTTGAGCATAAATAAATAAACCCTCTCCGAACATCCCCAGGGATTGAAGAGCTTACGTCCTCACCCATAAGAATGATTAAATGCAATAAGAGTTTCGCCAGCTCAACAATAATTCCAGATTTTTGCACTAAAAAATCCATTTAGTACCGAAATTTCTCCACAAGTACAAGCAATCCTAGAACAGCAATCATGCAATAAATTATCATGATGACTTCTATAAATTATCATGGTCTGCCATTATACAGCAGAACTGGATCAAGCTATAAATGCTTTCATTTCGTTACACGAACTTGACTGGAAGCCATATTACTGTACTATTATCAGTTGTCTATATAGTCGGAGAGTCGAGATTCACAATCTGACAGAGGAGAATGTTGGTTTATTGTCATCAATGTGTCCTCACATTGGCAATCTGCTCAGGTGACATTATTTTCTTTCTCCTTTTTATTCTCTTATATTGACAGATATTGCTCTAAAATAACATTCAAATTTTACGAAGGCATACACTTTACGAATGATAATTAAGGCAACGAAAAATTGCCTAGAACAAGAAAAAGATTTCTATAATTTATTATGGTAAACAAAGTAAGAAACTTATATTATTAGCACGTGAATGACCTAAGTAAAGACTCAATTTTACTGATTTAAGAACCATAACTTGTTTCTACTCTATCCCTATTTCTATGGTCTGATCTCATTTTCGTTTCAAACCTACTTTGTAACTAAGCCGACTTTAAAAGATTTCTGAAAAAAAAATAGGGAAAAAAAAAGTTAAAAATTACAGTAATTGCCTAACTCTTCCCAAAAAGTAATCAAGATGGGAAGAGAGGCCCAACAGAAAAAGCATTGAGGGTAAATAAGATAAACATAATATACGACATACGGCCAAGAAAAGGAAAAAAGGATATTCATACATGATGATAGATATAACAAAGGCATTCTGGCATAAATCTCAAATTCGCAGCTTCACCCCAAATAAGTAGGTATAGGCCCATATACAGCAATTTCCTTTGCTGCACTTCCTGCTGGATAGTTGGCAACCTACAAATGGAAAAACAATTACAATCTATGACTAAAGGACGGTTAACAAAATGATAAAGAGGCATTTTGCCATGGTAGATGTAGATAAAGCTACAGATACTTGTAGATTAGAAGAAAATTTATCATCCAATAGTAGACAGTTTCACCCACCAAAGACTACTCTTCCGACCAAGATACTTGCACCACTTCTTGTAGTTTTTGAAAAGCTTTTTCATGACATCTGTCAGGGCTCTATCATCCAACTGACACATAAGCAAAAGTCATCTTTGCAACAGCAGCTCAAATTCGATACTTATCAAATTTTGAAAGTACAAATACCTTGGGCTGCTGATCAGGCTTTTGAAATGTGCGAATGTGCACATTTGCTAACAACAAAATTAGATGTTCCCTCTGATTTGCGACATTGTGCTTCTGTGCATCAAAGAAATCAGCAGGCACAAGATCAGTAAATCAAGGCATTTCAGATGAGCTACTTGTAGTTACATGACAATTAATTAATTTCTACTTCTGAAAAGAATGACTATATACATGTCTATAGCAAATAGCATTACCTGGAAACCAAACATAACCTGAAGCCAATCTAAAATGTCCTGGTCAGCTTTTTTCTTATGACCCTTTGGCCATGGCAGTCCTCTAATGTTACGAAGTGCAGAAACAGAAGCTTGAATCTGAGCTAAGAACATTTATTTATTAAAAATCTAGAAATTCTAGATCTTGACAGGCGATACAAGAACAAATCACAAAAACCAACCTCCGGATATTTCATTATTGCTTGGTTTGCACTATCAGGATCAAGGGGAAGTATGTTATAGGGTACATATATAGCTGTTTTCTCAGCAACCTTAGCTTGAGCTTCTAAAATCTGCATGCACAAAGCACAGTAATTTAAAAAGGGGAAAATGTAAGCTCAAAAAAAACACAAATCATCAGCATGCCTAAAAAACGACCATGAAATCTTAGGTTGCTCTTAGGTTCGTAGACAATTATAATCGCTTTTTGGTGCATTGGCAGGAGCAGGAGATGAAACGAAAAAATTTCGTGGAAATTGATTTATGAACCAAAAAATCAGGTAATTTGAGAAAATTTTATAACAATCAGAAATTACACATTCAAATCTGCAGAAATAACACTGTTGAAACCATGCATCATTATTGGTGAGAAAAGATAGTGAAGGTCACCTCATCAGCCACTTCAACAGATTCTGTCAAATTAACAGCCCTCAGAACCTCAAATAGTACAGCAGCTGTTTGGTATGCTTTTGTCAGACGGGCACTGGATGGGAACAGGAATCAGAAATTATTTAAAGGTAATGCAATGCATTTACCATATCAGAAAATGTGCTTGCAGATGATTTACCGGTCAGCTTTGTCAGCAGCATTCTGCAAAGCTTCGATATACTTCCTGTAATATTGCCGATAAAAACTCTGCATTTCACGAGCATCACTTTTTGTTCTTCCAGCTAATGTTGTCTCATTTTCCTGCAAAATATACTTAATTTTAAAATATGCTTAAGCAATTTTATCAGATAATCATAAGAACCAAATAGCACGGTCAATCTTATTTTGGTGGACACAAGAGCGCCAACATCATGGTGGATTGCATACTTCAAGTAATCCAGCTCAAAATACAAGTTACATTGGCTTAGACTCTTGTCGGGTGAATACGAAGCCTTTGAACCCTTACCTATACATTATTTTTTTGAAAAAAAAACACATTTTTTTAACCCAAATGCATAATGGTTCTTACCTCAATTACAACCTGTTAGCTACTTGATCCAATCTCTATAAGATTAGAAATGACAATATGCATACTAATCTCTTTACGGTTGAGCCAAAACAAGCCATCATGGTCACAATTATCTTAAAACCTTATTCAAAGAGAATGATGCAAGAACCAAAACCAGGACAACTTTAACCAAAAAAACAAAAAAAAAAAGGACAACTTCATACTCTCTCCAGACGTTGAAGCAAGGCTGTCTTAAACTGGCGGACTCCTCGTCCACTTGAAGTTGGATCCAACCGGTGGGCTTTCTCAAAGGCATAAAACCGACCTGATTCAAGCAGATAAATTGCAGTTGCAGCAGTCATAAGAAAAGCCGAAAAGCAGCTACAACAAATATATACAAATTCCAAAAAAGGAAATCAATGATACTCCATATGATTTACGAATAAATGAGCTCAGGTCCTACTGAAGTTGTAAGATACGTAATTACTGAAATGTAAGTAGACTCACAGAGGTAAGCAACCCTTGGATTGATAGATTCAACCTCATTGGCAACACGAAGAATTGGCGCAATCTCCACAAGTGATGATGGCACTACCTCACTATCCATCATTGATTCGCCTAAATTACCAGCAGTCTGAGTCCGCAGAAGCGGCCTCTGCGGTTGAAGTTCTGAACGCCTCCGTTGGTAAGCCATTGAAAACCTCCACAAGATAAAAATTTACTCGATTACACCTGTCAGAAATGATTAAAATCAGCACATTACAGACCTTACTGTACTCTATAGTTCCGAAAACAGGACTTGCTAAATCATTTAAAAAGGAACAATTAACATAATGCCAAAAAAAAAAGGAGGGGGGGAACCTACTACCAAAGGGGGTCTACTCTGAATCAATTTCAGGGGAGAAATCTTGACAAAAACGTCATCTACTTAAGTGATTTTCCCAAAAACCGTTAGGCTCTAGGAAACTATCAAAAGTAATACAAGGGTGAGATGTTGTAGAAATATATTAAAAAGCAAAACTGTACAAAACCCTCCACAGCTCAGCTCCTTCATGCTTTCTTATACTCTTTCCATCTGAGGACTCCAAATTATACCAGCCAGAACACTCATTCTGGTTAAGAGAAGAATTAGGTCTCTAAACCCAATCAAGTTTATGCCTTTTAATAATAGGAGAACCGAATTACAGAACTAATACCAAAGAGAAAACCTTTTCATCATATCATTTCTCCAAGCAACTGAAAACCCGAATTGCTCAATGAAATACTAACTTACTTTTCACTATAAAACACTGCAGTAAAGCTCAATCACTCGCTCTCATGACAGAGCCATAAAATGATTAAAAAAAAGTCAGAAACAGAGCAACTCCAGTGAAAGAAGTAGAGTCCAATTAAGAAGCCAATCACAATTCAAAAAATGAACCCATATACAAGAATAGAGAATTCAAACATGAATTCATTTCAGTAAAGTGGCAAAAAAGGAAAAAAAGAGGGGGAGGACTGACTTATTCACAATCTCCTACTCTCTGGAAGTTACAGCTGCTGCGGGTCTAGTAAAGAAGAAGCTGCAGAGCACAGTCGTGCCTGCTTCAGAGAAATTCTGAACATGATCAAAACAAATAAACTGAAAAAGGGGTTCTTTCTATTGAGGCATAAATTAAAGTAGCAATAACAAGGAAGCTTGCTGGTGAGTGGTGATTTCTTTTGGGTTTCGGTTTGATCATTTGGTGGAACAGTGTCAGTGTGTGTGTGTGTGTGTGTGTGTGTGTGTGAGGGAGAGAGAGAAAAAGAGAACGTAAGGAAGGTTACGTGGAAAGGGTAATAATGCTAATTTTAGATTAGTAGTGAGAGCGCCACCTAACTGAACATCAAACTACTGTCAGCTAAGAAGGTAAAGGGCCGATGTATAGTACACTTTTGAAATGACCATTTTAGACCTCAAGGTTCACGTTTTTCTTTTATCTTTTTGCATCTTTTGAGTAATTTCGGTTGATTTTACTTAGGATGGGATGACTTAATGGATGATACAATATTTATTAGAAAAATCACAGATAATTCAATTTTTATATTACAACAACGAAGTGTTATATTGTTATTGTCTATATGTGCATAATGTTAGTATTCATATGCGATAGTAGCCAAAGAAGTAAAGAAAATAATGTTATCTTGTTACTTAAATGGATATTATAAAATTAATTTATGTGATTAACTTATAATATTTGCGAGCAACTACGTATGTTTAGGAAGATCACAAGTTTCTAATGTGGGATTTAAAAACAAAAATCAAATTCTCAAATATCTTCTTTCTTTTTTCTTTTTTTGGCATTCAAACAAAGCAAAACTTTAGCATATTCCAGCAATACAAATGTACAATAAAAGTTTATCAATACTTTGAAGGATATTTATGAAGAAAAAAAATTGTGGTCAATTGTAGTGTCATTGTGGTCCAATAAAAATCTTATTGGGGCAAATTCGTCATTGATTATCTGATTATTCCAACTAAACCGACAAATCTTATCCCATGAAAAAAGGCTAGCACACAATCAACAATTCTACATTATTCAAAAAGCATCCCACCGCCATGAACGACTATTTTTTTATTCTTTTCCCAAAATGACTAAAATCGTCTCATAAATTGCACCCTTTTGGTGGATTCATTTCATTACTCAAAGAGTCAAAAGGCCCAAATAGTTTCCTTTAAAAAGAAAAAGGAAAAAGAGAAGAAACGAACGTAAAAATAACTAGCTCAGGCTCCGTTTGATAATCACTGAAGTCTGAATCTGAACACTTAACACTTAACACTGAAGTCTGAAGTCTGAATACGGAATTTATGTTGTTTGATAAAAACGTCTTAATTTGATGTCTGAATACTGAAGTCCGAAGATTGAATCTGAATACTCAGGTCTGAAAGTTATTTAAAGTTTTAATATTATTAAAATTGAATTATAAACAAAAATTTTTTAAATGAAAAAATAACTAATAATTTGTTCTAAATAGTGAAATAATAATTTAAAAATAAGTTTTCAGTAGATATAATGAAAGTAGATAATACACTTGGTAAATAATCAATATATAATTCAATTTAGATTATTTACATATATCGTTATATATATATATATATATACATTGTTTATTTAGCAAATTTTATGTATTAAAATTAGTCTAATTTAAGTTTGAAAGTTTGAGATTTTTTATACTCATAATATAATTTTAAATTTAAGCGCTCTTAATTAATTCATCTTAAGAAAATAAAAATTCTAAGACAATGTAAAAATTAGCATCAAAATAAAGACGAGGGAAAAAAAGGGAAAAAAAAGGTATTACAGAAATTAAGTGTTAAGTAATAAGTGGTATGTCTACCACTTAGTTTTTGACTCACAATTGAACTGGTCATTCAGACGCACTTAATTAATTCAAACAGTGAAATTTTAATTATCAAACACACTTAATTTATAAGTATTTAAATAATTCAAAACTTAATTCATTAAGACTTTTTAATGGCGATTATCAAACACACTTAATTTCATTAAATACTTAAATAAATTAAGTCACTATATTAAATGATTATCAAACAGAGCCTGAGTCTGTGTTCTCTCGTTCCGTTTGCATTAATATTCGCAATATCAAACTTCCTGAATGTTGTGACTTATGGGACTGCTGCAAAAGTTTGCTTCGATTTTTCTTAGTATTAAAAGTATGCTACGGATTTTCTTTGTATTATGAGTAGATTAATTCTCACACAGATAGTGTTGTAGGTTTATAACTGATCAAATAAAAGTGTTTGAAGGAATAGCATGTTTGAAGGGTCTTCAAGAGGCAATATCACAGGTGCTGGGTACTCATCCCTCTGATCAAGGATATTAGGCCGTGCTTTTCTTACTTTTGCTAGATGTGATGTTATCAAAGTAAATAAAGAGATTATTGAGGGTGCACATCGGTTAGCCAAGTTGTGCCTTCATACAAGTTCTCTGGATACCTGATGTATTTATTTTGATGAATTTATATGAAAGTTTGAATTCAAAAAAAAAAAAAATCAAATAAAAGTGTCTCTTAATCATTCAAGATTTTTGTTTTTTTCTTTTTCTAAAGCATCTAAGAATGACGAATACAAAATTTTAACCTAGCTAGAGGTGTACTATTCGATGTAGATTAAAACAAAAGTAAGTGAATACATTTGTGTAAACATTTCATCATTGTTTTGGTTCAATGGAGAGTCAACGAAACAAATGAAAATAAATTATTAGGTGGATTGAACATGTAAAATTCGGGATGACTTCCGAAGCAGAGTGCTCTTCCACTAATAATATAAGCCATATAAACGGGGTAAAAATTTTTTTTTTTTTTTTGCCTTTTTTTGTGCTTTGGGGTTTAAATAATTATAAAGATGCAACAAAAGAAAACTTGACTGGTAGTAAGCTCAGCTCGAACTAGTCTCTGCTCTGAATGGGCAATTATTTATTCCAAAAAAATGTTTGCTTTCTTTTAGTGCGGGAAAGAGCAAAAAGACTAGTCCGAATGTTTCCTTATCGTTAGGTTATTAAATCATACTGAAGTATAGAAGTATTGACTTCAAGGACATGATAACAAATTAATGTTGTAGCAGTGATAGAAGTAGAAACGATTGATTGATTGGCCTTTCGTTTTTGTTACAACATTTGAAAAAACTATTTGCTTTGCTTTTTTTTCATATTTGTAAAGTGTCCACAAATATGAAATCATACTGAAGTATAGTAGTATTGACTTCAAGGACATGATAACAAATTAATGTTGTAGCAGTGATAGAAGTAGAAACGATTGATTGATTGGCCTTTCGTTTTTGTTACAACATTTGAAAAAACTATTTGCTTTGCTTTTTTTTCATATTTGTAAAGTGTCCACAAATATGAAATCATACTGAAGTATAGTAGTATTGACTTCACGAACGTGATAATAAATTAATGTTGTAGCAGTGATAGAAAGTAGAAATGATTGATTGATTGGCCTTTCGTTTTCATTACAACATTTGGAAAAACTATTTGCTTTGTTTTTTTTTTCATCTTTGTAAGGTGTCCACAAATATGAAATCATACTGAAGTATAGTAGTATTGACTTCAAGAACGTGATAACAAATTAATGTTGTAGCAGTGATAGAAAGTAGAAACGATTGATTGATCGGCCTTTCGTTTTCATTACAACATTTGGAAAAACTATTTGCTTTGTTTTTTTTTTCATATTTGTAAGGTGTCCACAAATATGAAATCATACTGAAGTATAGTAGTATTGACTTCAAGAACGTGATAACAAATTAATGTTGTAGCAGTGATAGAAAGTAGAAACGATTGATTGATTGGCCTTTCGTTTTCATTACAACATTTGGAAAAACTATTTGCTTTGCCTTTTTTTTTTCATATTTGCAGGGTGTCCACATCGGCAACAGTGACTAATCACTCTTGTTGAATTGTAGGCATCTCAATGGGTGGGACAGATGCAAAAGTATTTAAGGTTGAACTCCCGACCTATGGTTACGAGTAGAGGAGTCCCTTCCACTCCACCACAACCACTTTAGTTACTATTTGCTTTGCTTCTGCACAAGAGAATAAATAGTTTTCCTTCCGCCCGAAAACCAAAAGAAAAATAAATTAAATCATATGTTGTGAAATTATTATATTCACAAATTATACTCCCTCCGTCCCATAATTATTGTCTAGTTTGATTTTTCATTTCTAGTTCAAATTGTATTAAAAGTGAAATCTCAAATTAGACAATAATTTTGGAACAGAAAGAGTAATATAGAAGACTATTTTTTATACAAAGAGGAGAGCATACTACTGTATTCCGTAGAAGTAAGAAGTTAGGTGTAAACTTTCTGATTTACCTTTGAATAACATCACTAGTCTCTTTAAAAAATTTTATAAGAGGTTACCCGAAGTGTCACTTTCAAATATTTTTAATATTTACCCTTACTTTAGTTTGCTTTTGGTCAACAGTAAATTACAAAATTAAAATGACTTTATTATTTTACGTTATAAACAATCGCAGATAGAGAGTTTTTTACCCAAATAATTTTCAATAGAAACACCTAGATAAAAATATATGTCCCAGAGTGGTATGAACAAATCTAGTTGTCTTGGATTTGCCAAATCCGAATCTATCCATTTTGTGCCAAATCTGAATCTCCTTGTATTACAACTATGTGATGAATCAATTCTATTAGATAGATTCGGATTTGCCAAATCCGAATCTAATACAAAATGGATAGATTCGGATTTGGAAAATCTGAGACAACTAGTTTTGTCCACTAAAATTTTTTGGAGTTATTTTCAATATATTGTACGGGCACAATTAATATGTTGTGCCAATTGAGTGTTTTCAATATATTGTAGAGACACAACTAATAGGTTGTCCCTATGGACTCCATATGAAAAGACATTAACGAAAAGTTATGTATAGGACCATAACCAAGTGTTATGTCTAATTCTCAAGAGTTTCCTCTAACTCTATAAATATAGATCATTTGGATGCTTTTATAGTACAATGAAATCACCAAATATTTGAGATATTTCCAATGACATTTCTTATCATTGTATCAAGTTGTTGGTTCACTAAAGTGCATAGTTAAACAACATGATCTCCATTTTATCTCATAGGGAATTCGCCTAGACAATTGCACTGAGTGGACAAATTTTGCCTAAAGGAAAGCAAGTTTACTTGTGACTTGGAGACAAAACTTTCTTTTGTCCTAACCATAAATTCTTTCTCTTGTTCTTTGATCTAGTGCAGCCATTGTTGTCCACTATTCTTGAAGTAGAATTCCAACAATCTTTAGGCTAAATTTTCCTGTTAAACAATGGCTAGTACTTAAAGAATTAAGCAAGGATATTTTCGTTGCATATGAAAATGGTAAAAATGTTGCAGATCATTGGATTTAATGGAAAGGGCAATGATTTTATACAATGGACCTCGTCATCAAAGTAAGAATTATATTTTACTTGTGAATTGTGACATTCCAAGTTCAAGATATGTATATATTTAATAAATACATGAACGTATTGATGAGATCTATGACTGAGTGGAACATGGTTGTAGAAATCATGAACTTTTGCATGTAGAAGAAATTTATTATGTATTATTTGTTGATTGCCCAAATGTGTGGTTTCTATCAAAATAAAATACTTAATTAATGTGATGATTAATTAAGAAAATGTATGTCATAAAAGGTTTGATAGAGAATTTGGTCATGTTTTTATCATGCTTTGAAATGGAAATGCAAAATTGGCATTTGATATAGCAATAGTGCTTTGAGTGCATGTTATAAATTTTTATAAAGTCGAAATCTGTTGGAATTTATTTGGTGTTTTGTTTGGTTGTGTCGGCTTGTTGGTCGACTAGAGTAACTTTGACATAGAAGTTGACGTTCGTTGATATGTTTGACTATTTGGCTTTGTCGACTTGTTCGTCCATAGAATTAAAGTTGACAGAAAAGTCAACATCTGTTAAAGTATTTGGCTGTTTGGCCTCGTCGACTTAGTCGTCGCCTGGATAAAGTCGACAGAAAAGTCAATGACCGAAACCTAAGAAAATCAAAATAAAATAAAATAAATTTTAGTGTGCAGAATTTTTGTGAGTGCATCACATATTAATTATTTGATTTTGGGTTAATCAAATAAAAAACTTTGATCCCAATAAAGTGCTAATTTTGTGTATTTGTGTTTGTTACATGGAATATTTAATTGCATAAATGAATTTTGTAATTTATATGATAATTTCATGTGATACATAGTATGATAATAGTGATACATTTATGAATTTATATCATATGTGTTAATATATGATTTGAAATTCATGTCTTACTATATGTTTGAGTTGTTTATGTCAATACTTTAAAGTTTCCATGAAATCTTTAAGAAAAAAAGGAGATTATATGTTTGGAAACTTGGAACTCTTTATATATAATAAAAGAGTTTGAAGAGAACGAAAAATTCTCCATTAAAGTTAAAAAAGAGAATAATCCTTGACCTAAGTTCACATAGTGGAAAATGAACAAAGCATCAAGTCCATATTCGAAATCATATCAACTAAAATAACAATGAATCAGTATTAGGAAAGCTACGTACCATATTGTAACAAAGAATGACACTAAGAGCTTAAGTGTAAAATGCTTGTAACAAGAGAAATGGAGCTAATTTTTCCAGAAATATGAAGAAAGAATTCATGACATGGTGATTTCAAAACTTCATATTAGGGAAGATGATTTCATTGTTGGGTTGATTGCGAAGTTTGAAAGAACAGACTAGTTCTTCAATTTTCTAAATATGATCATATTAATTAACAGCTTGGATGCATTATTATTTAAATTGTGATCACAAGATGAGTTAATGAACTCAAGTTAAGAATTAAAATTCTTAACAAGATTTGAGTTAATAAACTCGTGTGAAGAGATGATCCTTAAAATTTGAGTTAACGAACTCATAAGTAAGGGCTAAATATTGAAAGACATTTGGTCTAAAGATTGAATGACTTAAAGGGATATGTCTAAAGTCTAGAAATGATTACTTGTATTGGAACCTCAATTCAATGCTAGTAAATACTCTAGTCTTGAATTCAATGAGCGATAGTACAATGTACAAGTAATTGAGCACTACAATATTTATCCCAAAGTAGTTAGTGATGTATATTTCCCGCTGGTATCAGGTTGAGAATTGACTCTTAACAAACTCTTGTAAATGCTAAAATGGCGAGAGCATTAAGAAGTTTGCCTATATGAATGTCGGACTGAGCATCTACAAAGCTTGGAACTTGACTTTGTTAACATTCATGAAGAGATATGGGTACAAGACCTTACGTACCATACGCACTGGTAAGGTGTAGGCAAGTTGAGGAGAAAGAACCCTATGTGTGTTGATAATAGTGGCTTGTAACATGTACACACGGTTCAAAGCTAGTCTACCGGGTTGTATTACAAGTTATGAAACCGACACTAAGATAGTGGTTCAAGTCTAACAACACTATTATTTTATGCATGAGTTTTGCTTGAATTATTCTGGATCCATTTAAAAATCATTTTCAATATATTGAAAAATGGCGGGGGATTGTTGGAGTTATTTTCAATATATTGTAGGGACACAATTACTATGTTGTACTTATTGGGTGTTTTCAATATATTGTAGACACAACTAATAGGTTGTGCATGTGGATTCCATATGAAAAGACATTAACGAAAAGTTATGTTTAGGACCATAACTAAGGGTTACGTCTAATCCTCAAGAGTTTCCTCTAACTCTATAAATATGGATCATTTGGATGCTTTTAGTGTACAATGAAATCACCAAATACTTGGGATATTTCCAATGACATTTCTTATCTTTGTATCAGGTTGTTGGTTCACAAAAGTGTATAGTGAAACAACATGATCTCCATTTTATCTTATAAGAAATTCGCCTAGACAATTGCACTGTATGGTAGGCGAATTTAGCCTAAAGGAAAGCAAGTTTACTTGTGACTTGGAGACAAAATTTTCTTTTGTCCTAACCATAAATTCTTCTTCTTGTTCTTTATCTAGTACAGCCATGGTTGTCCACTATTCTTGAAGTAGAATTTCAACAAAAAATTAGAAAAAAATTATTTTTGTCCATATCTTTTTTTGGAATTTTTTTTGGCCGAAGCACCCGCAGATAGACCATATTACTTTCTAAATTTTGGTATGATACAAAACAATTTTTTGTGTTATTTTTTATGTGTTTTTTAGAAGGAAAATTTAGAAATACAGGAATGGATTTGGACCACCAAAAAGAATAAGGGTTAACTTAGCTCAGTTATTTCTACGTTAACTTATCTCTGTTATTTGGAGTATTATTTATTATATTTGGTGTTTATTTTTTTGACACAATAATAAAAACTATTCATTACTTGCATCCAAAGAAATGAGAGGATGCTACATCTTTTCGCCACGCGTCCTCTAGTTTAATCATATTGCCATCCATTGGAATTGCAAATTCTCTGGATATGTTAGGCGGACCAGAAAATAATACATTAGTGCGCATTATCTTTTTTTCTCAAATTCTTTAAACAAATGAAAACGGAAAGCAAAAAAGGAAAAGGTCGATAAAGACTTGAGGATCCAAGTCCTCCAATTAGAGAAATATCTTAGCCAATGTCTCCCTCATCTTATTTTCTTCTGGTTAATCACATCCACCTTCAATCTTTAATTAATTTTTACCACATCTCACACAACACTTATTAATATAGTTTTAGGAAAAAATCACATGTGATTCAAGGGTTAATCGATAATTCAATTGAAGAAAGGTCCCTAAGAATACATTGGAAATCAGACATTTCTAAAAAAAAAAATACATTAATTTTGGTATAATTACACTTTTATTAGAACATAGGGAGATTAATGTTTATAGTGTGACATATGTCTTCTTGGACCCAAAACTTACATGGGCAGAAAAATTAAATATTCGTATGGATTGAGATGATGTGTTAAGAAAATTGTAAGGAAATAAAATAAATTTATGAAATAAATATGACAATTATTTTGGAGAAAAGGAGCAGTAGAAAGTAAAAGGTCTGGAGCTTAGCCTCCAAAATACATTAGGGACTAAACTGACAATAATATGGAAGAACAGTTAACTATATAGATAATATGCCGTGTTTGGCTACGTCTAAATTAAACTGTATCAATGGGGGGACGCCCAGATGGAGATATGGCTGAAGGTAAACAACCCCAAGCTCCCGATGCTCAGCTATTTGGCCTCCTCTCCGATCTTCTTCAACAGGTAATTTGCATTAAGACTTGGATTATATTTCTGGGATTGATGATTTTTACCTTATCTTGATCCCTGCTGCGACGTAATTTGTTGATTATCTATTTATTTATCGGTTAGAAAACTTGATTAATGTAGGCAAGTTAGATTTCCGTACTCATTTAATTGATTAGGGATCTCGTCAGTAGGCCAAAAGGATTTATATTTTTATGTTAGTAGGCCAAAAGGATTTATATTTTTATGTTAAAGTATCTCAATGAAAAAGATCGAATCTTGACGACTTACAGACTTCAGAGTATGATTGAATCGTTAAAATGGTGAATTGTAACTGTGATCGTTGCTTATGTTTGTAGAGAATGGACCCAACTCAAATTAATGCACATCATTAATTTTGTCTTTGAGGTAGATGCTCCAGAGTGGAAGACATGAGGGGAAGCTTTCCCCTTGTCAATTTGACTTTACAACATTGAACAAAGCTTATAAAAGGAATCCATATGAATGTAGTCTGTGAGAGTGAATGAGTCATATTTGATTGACACAAATTATGGTATAAACTCTTTCAGATCATTTGCATGGAGAAGTGCTTGTTTCAGTGTACCTAATGCTGCTTAGCCAACCCTTTTGACCCCTTTCTGTTGAGATGGATTCATGTTCCTCTAAACGCTTAACGTGCTCCCTACCCTGTCTAAAACTCTGAAAAATAAAATAAAAAAAAAAGTTAGGCCAATTATCTATCTAGCCATTGTTACTTTTCCTTGAATTCTGCAAATCATGCAAATCTTACCACCTGATACAGAGGTTTAGTATGGGTTGTTTCTGGAGGGTCGATGTTCTCAGGATTATTGATATGTTTGTTGGTTTATTAAACTTTTTCCCAGTGCCAACTTAGTTGCTAACGTTGTTCATAATGATCTATTTATATGTTTAGTTCTTGTCTTGTGATTTGGACAAGCCTGAACTCTGTTAGTGGTTTACTCAATTATTATACATGATATTTGCAGGTTGAATCATTAAGCAATCAGGAGGAAGTAGAGTTGCGTGCTAAGATTGAAGCATTGGGATTGGAAGTCACAAAAGACCCTTCAAAATCTGCACAAAATCTAGATGAGGTACTTCCCAAAGGATTTTGTGGCTTAGGATTGCTATTATAGTATTGTGATTCGCTGGTCGAAATGCTTCCACTGGATGACTGTATTGCTTTGATGCAGATTGAAATAGCTAAGGAGTTGGATAAATTGTCTTCAAAACTAGATGACGTTGATAAGATGATATCATCAACAATTGCTGCAGATCCAGAGGTGCAATCTCTATTGAGCAGCACCGCTGATGTATGGATGCCTGTCATCACAGCATCCTCTGATGAAAGGAGAAACTTTATGTCTGCTTTTGGAGATGATAATGCTGAAGTGAAACAAGATAAGGAGTCTAAGTAGATCGGTTATTTTACCCTCTGAAATCTGAGAGCCGTTGATTGTCATAGTGTAGGTAAAAGGTGTTATTTTGGTATGTATCCCACCCATCCCCTGTTTTTAAAAGGGTGCATAAAGTATACCACTATTGTTTATCAGCATAAGGGTGAATTTCAAACTCTTTTGAATGATTATGTAAAACAACTACTTACATTGTTTATTCTCACACTATTTCCATTAATGAGACCCTTACTGAACTTGATTTGTTGCCATCATAAGCATCATTTCAAAGTCAGATTACAAATTGGAAAAAGTAAGCCATATCTTGTTCAGAAAAATGTTTGTCTTGTTGGTGTGTCTGTGTGCAAGTTAAGCAAACACAGTGGCAATTCACTGGAAGAGAACAAGAAGCTAGCATAAGGAGAGTTTGTCTATCATAAGAGAAGGTTGTCTTGATAATTGATTAATTAGTAGTCAGAAACATCATTTTGATGGAAGAATTAGGCTGAAGAGCCACAATACAATCGATCCTACAACCCAACACACGGCCAAAAAGACCAATAAGCCAGCCAAGATGGTAAGCAGTGGAGGCCCTCGAGCTGTTTCAGAATCAGCTTCATCAGATGATCCAGTGGGAGGATTTGTCTTTGCAGCAGAAGTAAGGATCAGCCTCCGGAATGGTAAAGTCACATGACTCCTCAACCTGGAAAATGGCAACAACAGATAAATCTGAAACCGATAATCCCACAGATAGAAAAATAGAAACTAGTAAAGATTAACAGGCGCCCGATCATGCTTCATCACATCCTGATTAATACTCCTACATACTACTATGATGATTAATTCAAAACCTTCAAATTTACCAGATGCTTCATAAAAGCAAGAATTCATCCTAGATACTTTTTTGACACCTTTCTAAAAGCGTGCATTAAAACTTTCTATCTGGAAAAAGGATTAATTTCTTGCAAACACTAAAATGAACTCCCAGAACAATTTCAAATTGAACAAAACTGTCCTTTTTCTTACTTTCAATTTTCTAGTCCCAACTTCCCAGTCCTAGAATCGCAAAAGACTAAGCCCAGAACTCAAATTGCAAGTATAATTTCGTTGGAAAAAAAAAAAAACAGAAAGCACCATGAATTTGATTATTGTAATTACACATATCTGAAAGTGTGAAGAAATGAACCTGAAGTTGAGATGGGTGGGTGGAGAAATTTGACGAGGAGGGAGTAAACTGATGCAGGGACAATCAACTCCGAGACGTGGGCGACTGAACCCTGGAATTGATTTGGATGCCGGAGCTCCTCTTGTAGAACACTGCATTCTGGAGTTGCAGGGGATTGAAGAAAGACAAGAATGGTGAAAGTAAGTGGTGGTGATGATAACAAGAAAATCTGGGGAGTGACTGGACTGGACCTTTGTTTTGCCAACACTCACGTGATGACATTTCACTATTCATTTTCCTATTTTTTCTTTTTTTTTAAAATCAACGATTAAACTATTTTGGGCATTTATTCAATCAATCATTCGACTTCTTTCCCATCTCACTCTTTTGTTTTTTTTTCCCCCCTTTTATTCTGCTTTGTTAACGATTTGAATAGTAAGGTGGATCAAACAAGTGCTTATCATTGGCAGAGCTTGCCTCCAGAGCCCGGGGTATTTCATTGATTGCCAATCCCGCAGGGGAAGTTATACCTGGCTGAAACATGACATTGTCGAGTTTTTTATTTTCGAAATGTTTTATTTCTTGTCACTAGGCTTTGTCTCCTCCACTATATATATATAAAAAAAAAGCAAGTGCTTATCATAATTAATCCATCTATACTACCAAAGCAATTAAAGATTGCACCGAAATGATAAAACATATTATTTCTCTGATATACTCTCTCCGTCTTATAATTATTATCCAGTTTTACTAAAATAAAAAATTTTATTTTTGGTCAAACTTACTATATTTTACCTTAAACAACCGGATATACCCCTACATAAGTAATTGTTTAACCATTAAGATTTTATGGATAATTTTTTTACTAAAGACAAATGTGTAACTTGATCCATAAAAAGTCAAATTGGACAATAATTTTGGGACAAAATTTTTTGAGCAAAGTGGACAATAATTATGGGACGGAGGGAGTACTATTTTTCATTTCTTTCAAAATTTTGATGTTACATAGTGAAACTAGCTTTCTATAATTATCATCACTAAGAAGTCAATAACCAAATGCGTTTGTTTTCTTTTTCTTTTTTTATAATAAACTTATATTAATTTAGCCAAAATAACAAGTTTACACAGAAATATTTGAACGAACGCACACTTTGGGTGGTAAAAAAATTTCCAAAAAAAGATGTGGTCAAAAATAATTATTTTTTTGTGAAAAAAACTAGTTGTCTCGGATTTGTCAACTCCGAATCTATCAATCAATTTGTACTAGATTCAGATTTGGAATTGATTTGTCACATAGTTGTAATACAAGGAGATTCGAATTTGCCAAACCCAAATCTAATACAAAATAAATAGATTCGGATTTGACAAATTCGAGACAACTAGATTTGTCCACACCACTCCGAGACATATATTTTTGTCCAGGTTCTTCTATTGAAAATTATTTGGGTAAAAAACTGCACACTTTAGCTAACCTAAGTGCGCCTTCTACGACGACTTACTTTCATAGCGTTTCTTGAACTACTAACTCTAGACATAAAGTCCCTAATATCATCTATCAGAGGGATCAAAGGATAAGGACATAACTTTTTCCCCAGTAGGAAGTCCACCATATTTTGAATAACCAAATGAGTTAATATTGTAAAAACTTTGCCTAGAATGGCCTTAGATTAAAGAGACTATTGTCCCATCTCTTTTGTATTTTGCAGGAAACAAAGCAGCACTCCTCTGGTTCTAATTTTATCAGATGTATCAGAAGGGACATAAGAGAAACACTCTGGCGAAGTATTCTCTAGTTTTCGAACCATTCCGGAATGTATTGCAACTTTCACATCAGATGGGTTAACAAAAACACTTTCATGTCGCAACTCTATTGAGAAGCTTTATTATTCAAAAAATACATCATATTGACTAGTGAAACCTAATCAATAACGCGAAGGTATAAAGGCAATTCACAGGCTAATAATACCTAGAGATCACAATCTCATGCATTACAAAAGCATGAAAGTATATTTGGGAATCAAAAATTCGTTAATGAATGTTTCAATACCCATGCAACTGACTCAGGAACTACTGTTTTTTCTTCTTACGCTACAAACCCTTTGTCTCAGCCAAATGCAGTTTTTCAGTTTTGAGCTGCTGCTTTCTTGCAGTAATTTTCGAGCCAATCCATGGTTACACTCTTTGGTCTCTCGAGTGGCAATCCAAGAGCACGATCCCATATTAGCTACATACAGCAGGAGCAAATCAGAAGACGCAAACGTAGTCCTATGAAAAGCTTAAGAGATATAGAGAACAAGACAGAGGAATAGGACACAAAAAAGTACCTGAGAGCAAATGCCGATGGCCCTTGATACTCCGAAGAGAACTGTGTAATACCTGTTCACGAATATCCATCAAGTTGTTAGGGAGATCTAAACCTGATACACAGTCTCGGAGAAGTTAAAATTAGTGAGAACTTTCAGTACCTAGCTTCCGTCAAACCATAATGGTTCAGCAATACACCACTGTGGGCATCAACATTCGGCCATGGGTTTTTAACCTACAAGAAGGCGAGATCCCACATATAAATTAAAAATCAGATGCTTAGACCGAAAAGAAGAAAACATCCAGTAAACAATTGAATTAATAATTTTACAAAATCCATCTATGGTACTTTACCTTGCCAAGTTCTGTCAGGACTGGAGGGACCACCTCATAAAGCTTTGAAACCTGTAGGAAGGGATAAGAATAATCAATGTTAAAAGCAGTAATTCATAGTACTAACTACTTGGAATAACCTTTTACCAAAAAAAATAAAAAAAATACTTGGAATAACATATCAAAGTATCATTTTCAAAAAAAAAATAAAAAATCAAAGTATCAACTAATTACCAATTGGAAAAGTGGATCATCAGGCAAGTGTTTCAATGCAAATTCTCTCTGACATGTGTATCTTGGATCTGTTTTACGCAAAACTCCATGTCCAAATCCAGGAACAACCTGTGATTCAAAGTCAGAGAATCAGACATCAACGAACAGGTACAACTTGTACCAGGGAACATGTGTGAAAGAGAGATATGAATACATCTACTGATAGCACCCCGTGCCCATGATAAAATTTTCTCTCCCTACTTTATTTTATATCTCAATCCCTGGGAAAGGCTTTAAGAGAAATGGATCCCTTTCACGCAAAACCACAAAAGTTGGCGAGGAACGAGATTGGTCATGTTATCTCATTCTCACTCCACGCACAAGAAAAAAACCTAGTTTCCAACAGAAGAAACACTTATCTGCATCTTTTGAGAATCAATGAATGTTGTCATAGCTCATAAGTCATAATATTAAAGTTCTTTTCAGTTCTAAATGTGTAAATTTCCCATATTTCTACATGGCCGTCTCCGCTCATATAAGAACTAAATGGTTCAGTCAAGCAATATTCTGATACATGTTATTAAAATTCAAGGCTTGACTGCAGAGGAAAATCCTTTAGCATTAAACAGTTAATTCGACAACAATGCTCTGTGAATGGGCAAATGCATGCATGGAGAGGATAAAATGAGATTGCAGAATATTGCTTTACATACGTATAACTGCAAATGGAAATATGCATTCAGAGAATGAAATGCTATTACCTTTCCACTGTTCAGTGTCTTCCAAACATAGTCTTTCAATTGTTCTTTGGTAATGTTTTCCCCACATTCCTCCACCACAGATTTAATCCAGAGCAAAACTTCCTACAAAAAATGTAAAAATAAGCACAAAAAGGGAAACTGAAAACTGCAAGCCAATGTAACAGGACAGCTCTGGACTGACAAGGCAAATCAACTACCCACTACAAAGTTTCCTAGAATCAGCCTGACAAAACATGTAATCAACAGAACCATCAAACTTGTCATATTGTGTAGCCTTACAACTCATGAAGCTCAATGAGGCTTATAAACCGATGTAAGTTAAGAAGACATACTTTGCAACCCCTATCTTTGAAAACCACATAAACATCTGACCCAAAAAAAAAACCACATAAACATCTGACCACCACCATGCCGCTTACAGTCAAGTTTCAACGTAAGAGAAGCAAATGGAGTAAATTCTTGACAACCAACAAGCAAGCAATTGCAGAAAATTCAACAATCACCACAAGAAACCCGTAAGGAGGAATCCAGAGACATGCTAGAGCTGGATAATTTTATATACTAGCTATATGAAAAAATGTACTGGAATTTATAAATCAGTCACATAAGTAAGAGTCGCTTTAGAAAGGTGTTATCAGCAATTACCAGAGATCGAAAAAATCTTTCCATGAATGCAAGTGATATAATCAGATATCGCGGGAATAAAACTGAGAACATGGCTATATAAACTGATTCCAATTGTCAAAATAAGGGTTGATTTCTATCATCTTAATCACAGATTGCCGAGATATTTTATATATGAATCATTGCAATTACAGCAAACCCAAATATGTTCGAAGGAGAACATTGGAAAGTTTTTACAATGCAAGGTGCTTGCATTACAGAACAGGAGAACAGAATAGAGTACTCCCACTAGCCGAGGGGATGTGGGATTATTTTGTGTCAATAAAGTACAATCATGTGCCAAACAAAAGCATCAACTAGCTTGCCGCCAATGAGATAATTTTTCGCACGTCTAAGAATATCATAAAATTCCAGTTGGGAGAAATCAAGGGCACAGGATCAAAAATCACCATGAACAAAGAAATCATAAGAAAACAAATATGAAGAATAAGTCTCCTAATGAAGAAGATGCAGTACCTGATTTGCCAAACCATGGAGAGGTCCAGCTAAACCATTTAATGCCGCAGCAAATGAGAGATATGGGTCTGAAAGGGCACTGCCGACCTGATTTAAGCATAAGATGGGGTGTGACATGGACAGGATAAAAGAAAAAGTCAGCGACATGTAAATCTAACCTAAATACATTCGAAGTTCTTAAGCAGCTTCAAGCAAAAGAGTCCAGATCCCAGGCAAGGATAAATTGTAGATGGATTGTTAGCACAGAATGAGGTTACTTACCAGATGACCAGTGTGAGCACTAACATTTCCACCTTCATGATCACTGCAAGATAGCACTGGAAATTAGGGGCAGAAACAAAAGACCATTTAAATCCAACAGACCTATTGGCACAGCATATCCAGCATAATTAGCATCAACAGAAATAGATATCTTCTTACGTATGAATGGTAACATAAAGCCTCATAAGCTCTTTCATTTCAGGGCTTCCAAAGCCAAGCATGTGAGCAAAGTTTCCACCATAATCCAATGAATCATCCATAGGTATAATTTGACCATTCTTGTATATCCTTCACCCAAAATATAAAATAATAAAGTTAACATCAAACTAAAGGAGAGGATAACTGAAAACAATAATCATAACGAATACTCGTACTAATAAGGCTGTTCAAGCCTCATAACAAATACTCGTACAAGGCCCTTCACCAGAACTCAAAGACATTTGGAGATAAGCAAAAGTAAATCTACGCAGGCGCGCGCGCACACACACTTACACAAGCTTTGGGCTGTTTGATTGGACATTTTGAATTAAAATTGGGAGGATTTCGGGAAGGGTTCTACTTTTGTTTCTATCATTCTTTGTCCTAACTACCAGACTCCAACACACAAAAAAAAAAAAAAAAAAAAAAACCAACCAGCATTGAAGAGTTTAATGGAGAATATCCCAGAAACAAAAGCCAAGAGGATTGTTTCTTTTATTCTATGTTCAAAAGCCTAGGGAGATAAGCCACTGGATAGTGTTTCTCAGCCATAACCCCAAAAGATCTACCGACGAAAAAAAACCAATTGCACCAGTTAAAATGAGAAACTGATTTCTGATAAAACTAACATGCAACATTTCTCCTGTTGTGTTGAAACAGATAGATAATCCAACAGCTTCATTGCAAGATGCATAAATTACCTTAATGAATATACAGAACAATGTTTCCTCCCAAAAAGTGGGACTTATTAACAGTGAAATCTCCTCCCAAAGTAATTAAGTTTTTTAGTGGAATCAGATGTCTTAAAATATAAAATTTAGTTAGAAAGCATTAAGATATTCTAATGCATGACTCTGAAAATGGAAGAGCGATTGAACACAAAGGATGCCTCAGTGTCACTAACCTGCGATAGATGTAAGAAGCAACAACCGGAAGCTGTGCAATCAAGCTAAGAGAGTCCTCATAAGCTGGTTCCCAGTACCTAAATCAGTCAATCACTATGAGATTGCAAGAAAAAATGAAATGTAATTCTCTATCTTGTATCCATATATCGTGTTAAATTAGTATTACTTTGATTTGTGTATTCCCTTTTCATATGCTTTCTGGAACTCACTTTGAACCTGCAGCAATAAGAGTGTAGTGAGTTTCTGTCGCATGCAAGACCATTAAATTCATTTCTTAGCCTATCTTCTTGTTCTAAAAATCACAAAAATGACATCCATATATCACATTAGCAACAAAGCAAGCAAGATAGGACATAAAACAACAGAACTTCTCTTATAGTTGATGCGTGCCAAGTGTCATAACTACACCCCTCCTCTACCAAATACAATTGTAGACACAGCGCCACATCAACTTATCATAACCTTTAATAACAGCCCTCTCCATTAACTGTAAGACAGTGCATAACAATACTTTACATGATAATGTGATAAAGTTTATTTGAGCAATACCAGATGTTTTTCCGGTCCAGAACATCACTTTTCCTGTCTAGAACGTCGTACTCGCTAGACGGAGAAAAATCAAGTTCCCACTCACACTATTTATTAACTAGCAAGAGGATTAAGACCAAAAGACACGGAGAACAGAAGGGAGTCCCAAAAGGACCACAAAATTGCTATTTCATGTTCATGTTAGTTCCAAATTCAGAAGAAGAAAAATATAGCACAAGCAGCTGGGAACCAAGAAAGCTAAACTGGACATGTTAAACTATGCAACCAAAAACTAGTGCAATGAGTAAACTAAAGAAAGATACCTGTTCTTGCAAATAATTAACGTTCATTGGCACAATTAGTAAGACTTCACACGCATAAAGAGATACTTTAAAAAGGGAGATAAAACAGGGTATATTCTGGAAAAGGATTGATTCGTAGAGAGGTTAAACATTAAAACAATTATTTAGAAAGAGCAGCAGATGAAACCCAATGATGCATGCAGTAGAGAAAAGTGAGATGAAAATGAAATTACACAGCAAAGCTGGAGGTAAAGTTTAAAACACTAACAGTTTATAGTTTCGGTAGAAATTATAAAGAGGAGAGTTGTTCAGACCTGAAGAGCCATAACACCAGTCGTAAATTGGGTCATTGGATGAGCACTAACAGGTAAGGCATCGATAGTCTTAAATACATGATCTGCAACCAGAAATAAGATTCAATAATGACCATATTAGTGATGCATCATTATTATTTAATGCACTCATGCGGACAAGGAAAAGAACAACGAAATCAACAACCTAGGATTTCAGTAGTGACCAAGTTTTGCCATAATCCGAAGATATTCATCATTTGAAATAATTTAACTAAGTTGTAATCAACTTTTGGATGGAGGAATTTCATTTGTAGGTAGTAATCTTTATGTTTATATGATAAAAGTATTTCCGCGAGATTGCTGCTTACACATCCACGTATCTAAAGGTTATGTTCAGGCAAGTCTTAACTTTTAGCAACTGTTTCTCGATAGGGTATTCATACTTCACTAATCTCAATCCGCTGTTGGTTTAGCCCCCTGAGTGGACGAGAAAGAAAGGATTTCTCAGAGCAAGCCCCAGGTTCCAGGAGTTCTTCAAATATTCGATCTAATAGAATTATATTCAATAAAACTTAAATAGTGGCGTCTCTCCAGTAATCCTAACATATAAACGTCCTATTTTGAATGCTGATTTCTAAAACTTTTAAAGAGTGTTACCTTTTAGCAGATGAGCCTTGATGGGAGATTTATTCTTTGGGAAAGTATAGGATGAATATTAATCTCAATTGGATGTGGTTAGGGAGTCTATAAACAGTGTATTTCACTAAAGGATATCATAGATTTGAGTTCAAGAAAGATTCCGGCAATGGGTTGCAAAATGCAATTTGATGTCCCTAATTGTGATGCTTGTAGATCTAGGATTGATTCCTACGGACACTTTCGATCCTAATTCAAACTTTACTACTGTTTCATTGCCCTTATTTAAAACCCAGACTTATCTCCTTCTACCATCCTAAAAGGCTAAAAGAGTGTTCCCAAGATATGTTCCTACGGACACTTTCCATCTAGCTTAAATCGATGGACCGAATATAAGCAGCAAATGAAATGAAAAATTATCAAATCACAAACAGCTTGAATTGACAGTGCAAGATAGTTAACCTGGGACAGTCGCACGGCTTCTCAGCTCCTTAGATAATGAGTCAACTTGCTCTTTTGTGGGCACCTGCAAGAAGATTTTAAACAATGTTCAAAACACGGATAACTAGGCCAAATTGTTTTTTGTACAACATGTTCTTAGTTGTTTAGCAAAATTTCAGCAAAAATGCACCGATACTTTTAAACGTCGTGTGCAGTACCTTTCCTGTCAAGAGAAGCCAGAGGAGGCCCTCTGGTAATGGTTCCCCACCAGGCTTTGCAGCGGGTAACACTTTTTGACATTCAGGTATTGACAAACCACGGAAGCGGATTCCCTGCAGCAAAGAAGATTAAGTTAAAGATAAAGAGATGGAGAGAGGGTAAAACAGAAAATACATCAATAAACAAAATCCAAAACATGTAGGAGGGAGCATCTACCTCATCTGGATCAAGTAATGAAGTTTCCCAAAGCAATCCGGTCATTCCTCTCATTCCGCCAAGTACCTTCCCAGATGCACAATAGCACCAATAAAGCGAAAACATGTAATGAGAAATCTAAAATAAAGATGTAAGAAAAATAAATATTCACTTTTGACAAAGAGAGAGAACTCTCACCATATCCACGGTAATGTTTCCCAGCTGAACTTTTCCATATTCTGACTTGAGCTTTTTCAGGCGATCCTGTAACCATGAAAAATAGGTCAATATAGCAAAAGCAGTTGTGAATAACCTGGCATGCTTTTCAATCTCACAGTAACAGAACAACTAGCAAATATACGACAGGGTGGCCTACCAAAAATCAACCATGACATTTAACAGTGACAAAGTAATGAATAGGTGCACATAACATTGACCCTATAGCCACGTGTACATATAGAACAACTTGAACAGAAATCCCAGAACATTCAAAATGATGTGAACCAGAAAAAGGTACCTGTTGCTCTGGAATCAGTTCCTTCAGCTGAGAATGCAAATCCTACAATAGCCGAAGATACAGAAAAGAGGTTTAGGAATAAAAATATAATTATAATTGCACGAGAAAAACATAGGGCTATGCGTTTCAAGAAAGAAAGACGGAAGAAATCTAAAAAAGAAAACTTAGCAGCAAGCATTCTCAATATGTAACAACCATAACTCACACTGAACAATCAGTGAATAGTAAAGTAAAATACTTCTTCATGAACAAAACGTGTATACTCCATAGTCCTTCCCGGTGAATACAGCCTAATTTTAATCATGCAAGCACAAAACTAACATACAAAAAATTATCATAAGATGTTATAATTGTAAATACTATATAATGCCTCTCTCACAAGGAAAACCAAAAAAACTATCCTTCATAATTTTTGAGGGTACACATCAAGTAATTATCACACCAATTCTCTGACTTCAAAACTTATCCGAAGGTAAAAAAAAAAACAAATTCAGCACTGCATTGCAAGAATTTCCAAACAAAATTTAAGAATTATATAAGGACACTAATGTATAGATCATACGGGGTCAAACTGTTGAGCGAAAATAAATTTCTAGAGACAGTGAAATTACTAAGGAGCCCTACTGTGCATCATTGGGTGCACCATTAACCTCCCATAATTTAACTCTGGAATTCTCACAGGCAGACAGACTGGGATACTCTCAATCCTCAACACTGAAAATGCTATCTCTAGCACTGAAGTTATTGAAGCTCAGGAAATGATTTAAATGCCATTTCTTACTCTTTAATTTATGTCCTCGTGTTAAAATCGAAGAGTACAAGCAAACAAATCAAATATATCACTTCACCTAGCTTCCCATTCCTTCTTCGAAGTAAACACAGTCCATCAACTAGGTCCAATCAGGCTCGACATATTGAATCGATTGGTAAATATAAGTAAACTCGCAAAAAAGATTCAACAACATTTCATGTTTACCTAATAGCAAGTAAACTCACACACAAAGAACCCACAGATTTCAGTACAAACAAGTTGGACGCATATCAAACGTAATCAGAAGATAAAGAATGGGAAAAAAAAAAATACCAAATCAGGAGAAGAGGTCTGAATTTGAAGCCAGCGAACGGAATTACATAGATTATTCTGCCGGAACTGCGGAACAGATCAAAAGGTCACCCAAAAAAAAAAAAAAGGAAGTGAAAAACCTTTCGAAAAGCAGTTAATTACACTTATGATCGAAATTGCAGTAAAAAAAATTACGATCGCATGAGCAAAATTAAGATCGAACACAAAAACTGAATAAAGAAACTTACGGATTGAGACCGAAGCTTCGAAAGCAGAGAAACACTGCTCTTGAAGAACACCATTACTGCTCCTTCACTGTAATCAGAACACTAATCAAACCAGAAATTCTACAGTACGTCAATTCAAACCAAAGCAGAAACAATGATTCAGGAAACAATTTCAACGATTGATAATTAAAAAGAAAAAAAAAAAAGAGAGAGTACTGAAGAGCATACCTGCTACGTAACTAAAGTAATAAACCTAATGGAACTGAAATGAAGAACAAGAACAATGATGGATCAAAGGAGACGTGGGGAGAGGCTGCGATTGGAAAACTATATATATGTATATGTATATATATATATATATATATATATATATGTAATAAAGGACAGAAATTTTGGCTGGATACTTGAAAAGTATTTAACAATGTATTTTCCCGTTTGTTCACTCGGACTGGAAATTCGGTGTAATCTAGACGCACAGCTGAGTGAGCATGACGGAATTCATCACGCGCCTACCAATTTTTACTTAACCTAGAACCAAGTAATGCCGGTGTTTTTACCGTCTATATCTACTACTTTATCCTTAAAAAACAAATTATTTTAAAGGTAAATTGATGATTTATGTTTGATTTTAATTAACCTAAAAGGAAAAATATTACATTTTTTCCGTCTATACTTATACTTTATCCTTACATTTTATTGATTTATAATTTTATCATTTTACAATGGATCTTCTTCTCCATTAATTATATATATCGTTAATTAATTAAAAGAGTTAAAAAAAGACCATTCTTTATTAACATATTGACAACAAGGTAATAGCATATCCAACAGAATTGATGAAATACCATCGGTTTATTTTTACACTTCTTTATTGGAATTAAACTTTCAAGGGCATGTATGGTTTGAATTTAGTCACATTATTTATTTAATATATTATTACTCCTACAAGTTTTTCCAAAAATTTTTCATTAAGTTTATCTCTAATCGAGTGAACAATTTATCCCAAAGAAATTTCATCCCTTAGCGATAAGGACATAAAAGAAATACAGTGATTGCATGTCTAAATTTGAGTTTTTCATTTGGATTGTAACTCTGTAAGTCGGTTTCTAATCATAATTTAAATGAAGTATAAGATAAGAATTGTTATATAAAGTATATAAACCCGAAAGTATAAGATATCAACGAGTATTATAATTTAATTTATCGCTATCCTTTTTCTTTGTTTTCATTTATGAAACGCGTATTTTTTTTCTTGTAAGTATTTATCAATTATCACGATGGCAAATAATTATAGTAGGTAAAAGGGAAAAAACAAAAACATTATAAAACAAAAAAAAACAATTTGGAAAAAAAAGGAAGAAAACAGTGGCCAGCCTTTTTTCATCTGGTATGAGAATTTGGTTAGGAACAGAGGATCATCATTAATCGTTGACCGTTGGCGTAAGTAAAGCCCGTCTCAACACAATCCCCAAAAGGCAAAAGCCGTCCGACCAAGAACCGAGGCAGCAGCCTATTATCAAGAGTCAATTCAAGAATCTTTGTGTTTTCCCCTCAATTTCAATTTTCTTGCTGATAACAAAATGAGACCGACCCCCTTGAGAAACTTTTTCTGGCATCTGGGTTCCAAAAATCTCAACTTTGTACGTTGTTTATCTCTTTTTATTGTTCTTTGATGTCATTTAGGTGGAATCTGCAGTGTTTACTTTTCCAGTTTTTGATTTATCGTGTTAGGAATTTGATGATTCTGGAGAGAAACTTGACGGAAACATTGTTATAAACAAAATTTGCTTCAAGTTTGTTTGGTAATAACTGAACTTTAAGCAGTTTGGGGCATAATCATGAGGAAATTTGGTTTCTGAACATAACCCTTGTTATTTCGAATGTTAAAAATGAGTACAAAGTTGAGCATGAACAGTCTAAATGCATTAGCTGCCCAGCCCACTTCAGCCGTGCAAAGTTTGAATCTCTGTTGCCTAGAAAATGCAGCAACTTAAGGCTCTACGAGCTTGAGAAATTCTTTCTGGGTTAGATGCTTCAAATGAAACTGTTTAGTTTATTTTGCTGTTTATGTTGATGGAATGAAGCCGATCCCATATTGTTTCATAAATGCATGGGTTCTCGTTGCGGTTGATTAGTCCTATGAATCAAACACTTCTTAGGTCTCAGTAGTCAGATTCAAAATGACATTGCAGGCTTATTTTAAGCTGTTTTATGCACCTTGTCTTCCCTTTGCTACTAAATGATGTCCAAGATTGGTTGTGATCCATTCCTTACCAGTTGATCTGATATAAGTGTCGTATGAATTTGTGATGCACTGAAATCTTTGGTTTTTGAAACAGGCAAATGGAAAAGTAAGATCATTGTTCCAATCAGCCACTGTTGAGAGGCAAGGTGTGGTAAGTGATGCTGTGGATGGATCCTTAATTGAAGAGCAGACATCTTCATGTGGAAGATTATCAGAAGACATGCCTAAGCATAGTAACATTTCTGATATGTTAGTTGATTCGTTTGGTCGGCAGCATACCTATTTAAGGATCTCGTTAACTGAACGTTGCAATTTACGGTGTCAGTACTGTATGCCAGCTGAGGGGGTAGAACTTACACCCAACTCTAATCTTTTATCACAGAATGAAATTCTGCGTCTGGCAAATCTTTTCGTCAGTTCTGGAGTTAACAAGATTAGGTTGACTGGTGGAGAGCCTACTATCAGAAAGGATATTGAAGATATTTGCTTACAGTTGTCAAGCCTAAAGGGGCTTAAAACCTTGGCCATGACCACAAATGGAATTACTCTAGGAAGGAAACTTCCAAAACTGAAAGAGTGTGGACTGAATTTACTGAATATTAGTTTAGATACGTTGGTACCTGCAAAGTTTGAGTTCATGACTAGGCGTAAAGGACATGAAAGGGTAATGGAATCAATTAATTCAGCTGTTGACTTGGGATACAATCCTGTCAAGGTAAATGCCTTCCTGAATCTATATTTCTGTTTTAGAATTGTACTTCATCTTAGTTGTTGTTTCTCACAGTGTACATTCTTCTATGACCTCAAGTTTCTACAAAAGTATAATACAGATTGTTTGGACATTTACAGGTGAATTGTGTTGTAATGCGTGGTTTCAATGATGATGAGATATCTGATTTTGTAGAGTTGACACGTGACAAGCCAATAAATGTGCGCTTCATTGAGTTTATGCCTTTTGATGGAAATGTTTGGAATGTCAAGAAACTAGTGCCATACGCTGAAATGTTGGACAGAGTGGTAAGGTAGAATCCTCACTTTGTAGTTCACTTGTTTTCCATGTGTCAGTACTTTTGTGCTGGTCCTAAATCACCCAATATTACTGAACAGGTTAAACAATTTACAGGAGTTCAGAGGATCCAAGATCATCCCACTGAAACTGCAAAGAATTTCCGGATAGAAGGCCATCAGGGTACAGTTTCTTTTATTACATCAATGACTGAGCACTTTTGTGCTGGTTGCAACAGGCTGAGACTTCTAGCTGATGGGAATTTCAAAGTATGTCTTTTTGGACCCTCAGAGGTAAATTAGTTTTTCCCCTCATTCTATGTTTCCTTTCAAAGCTATGATTAAAGAAGTAGTTTGCCTTTTATTACAAAGTGTTCTCTGGTTCTGCTATTTGTGTGCTGTTGGTTGGATCCATTGTGTATTGGCTGCATTCGATTGACACCTTTAGGAAGCATTTTCGGAGGTATAAGAGTGAACAAGTTTTCCTGTTTGTTGCTAAAAAAGAACTTCAACAACGATAGAGGAAAATATTATTTCATAAAGCCCAAATCCTTAAAGATTTAAATCCATTGTATGATATAATTTTCCTTATTAGGAATTTAGGATAGTCTTTGTTATTCACCATTTTCGGCTCTGCTGATTTCGAACTGGAGAACTAGAGCTGCGACGGTATTGGCTGCATTCGGTTGACACCTTTGGGAAGCATTTTCGTGATAAGAGTGCACAAATTTTTGCTGTTGTTAAAAAAGAACGTCAACAACAATAGATGGAAAGATTTTTTCATAAACCCCAAATTCTTTAGATTTAAATCCTTGTTGATATAATTTCCTTATTAGGAATTTAGGATATCTTTATTATTCACCATTTTCAGATGCTGATTTAGACTGGAGAACTAGAGCTGTGACAGTAACGCATTCATGTGTATCTGGTCTTTTAAAACTCTTGATCCTCATTTCACTTATTGTACTGGTCATCTTCAGGTTAGCTTGAGGGATCCACTTCGTAGTGGTGTTGATGACAATGAGCTCATTAAGATTATTGGGGCTGCGGTAATTCCACCTTCTCTCTGTCAATATGTAATTGATAAAGTAAGATTGATTACCGTTAACCGAATTGATTCTTTCTTATTGCTTTCAGGTTAAGAGGAAGAAAGCTTCTCATGCTGGCATGTTTGACTTAGCAAAAACGCCAAATAGACCAATGATTCATATTGGCGGCTAAGAATTGATTCAAGAGAAGTATTGTAAGTCTGTTCATTATTCTGGTCACTTTTCTTATGCAGCAATTATTCACATAAACTGTTACTGCTAAGTTGTTATATTTCTCTTCTCCTTTGTCTTTCACCACTATCTTTATCTCCTGAGTTTCTAATTAGCCCTCTTATGATGGTATAGTCTGTGTAATAAGTATGCATATTTGTTTTGGATATCTCCTGGCTTGAGCTAGAGCTCAGTAAGTTAGCATTCTTTCAATGTTATGAAGTTTGATTTTAATCCTGATCTATGAATGATTAAAACTATATTTGTTGTTATGAGTAACATTATCCAGAGCTCCTATGTTTACATAAATTTTGAGACTTGTCGGTGTTTGACCAGAACATATGAAAGATATTGGATATCTCCGTAATAATTGCTTTGAAGTTTAGGTAGCAACCTATTTGTGATTTTTAAGTACAGTTGCAACTGTTGTTAACAACACAAATAGATGTCGATGACAACAATAATTGCTATAAACTATATGGTTTTCCACCCTGATGTGAATGTATGACTCTGAGTTGAAGTGAGAAGGATTTCAAGATCAGAACCATGATTTGGCATATTATGGATAATATTGAGCCAATCAAGAACTTGAGTAACTTGCAATAATGTTTTTAATCAATTCTTCAGGTGTAATAATTTGATTCTGTGTTTTTTTTTTTTAGTAGTTATGACTTAAAACTGACAAATGTCTTTCAGGATTTTCTGGAAATCGAGGATTTTCATTCTAAATCTTTGTTTTTAAGGTTTATTCAGGAAAGTGTTACCTTGTTTGCAGTTGAGGCTAGGTAGGAAATTCAGTGTTATGAAGGATGAACCCTATTCTCTATACTATTATACCCAAAAGATACTCTCTGAAGAGGAAATCTCATAGTTAAGTTCATTAAAACATCTGTGCCAGAGTTTTTGTTTCTTCAAGGGCTCTGATGCAAGTTTGCCTTGCTGTGGTGTTGTGATCGAGGGTCTCCATGCGTGACACCTTAGGATTTTGAGAGTGATTGCTAAAGAAACTCCAGTATTCTGACGTTCTCACAGTAGTTTAAATTCCTATGTTCATAAACCCTGTTTTCTGTCTTCCTGAAAGATATCATAACATATCATCAACACCTTTTCTATATCATCTGCTGCAATAAATTGGCTGAATTCAGAAATGGCAACATCTTGTTTGGAGTTCCGAAATTCGAAATTGTCATATTGAGGATTTGTTGACTTTTTTGTTGATTCTTCCCATGTGCTGGGAACTTGTCTGCTCAATGAGAAGCTTTGAAAAGTTTTTAAGCCTGTTGAAGTTATATTCCTTAGTTGTTTTAGGTTATTACCTGTAATCTTTGTTAAATTCGCATATTTGGTCATATAAATGTTCGGTATATGGGCAATGTGGATGTACAAGTTCTAACTTTAAGAATTTAATATCCTTCTATTCAAGTTATTATTAATGAATTTGGAGTCCAATATTGGGCTCATTGACAGATGCTATTTAGTTCCTTTATCAGTTATAATACTTTTTAAATGCACCAATGCATCTTGGGTCGTACTACTTAAACAGCCTCTCTGTATTGAAATACAGGGTAAGGCTGTATACATCTTGACCCCCCAGAACCCAACCGAGTTGGGAATATATTGGGTATGTTGTTTTTGTTATTGTTGTATCAGTTATAATGCTTTTTAAATGTTGCAGGAGTATACTTTTACTTGTTAACCTTTGTTTCCTCTCTTTTTACCCACTTTTGTGTGGTTCACTTCTCTGTAGATAACTCTGTAGATATCTGATCTGACAGACTGTTTCCCTCTTTGACAGATTAAGATGACGATTTGTCGATATCCATATAGCCAATTTCACAAAACACAGGCTTACTTGCTGTATCTTCTTGTCCTTTGTGGAATCTTGGAGTTCTAACTGCCTAACGGAGATGAATATTGTGGTATCTCAGCCTCCATTCAACTCGACGAAGTGATTGACAGTTCAACACATGATGTGAAAGAAATAGCATAGAACAGAAAAAAGAGAGGCAAACAAGATTGAAACGTATGTGATGTTGTAAAGTAAGCAACAGAAGGCAATAACCGTCTGTTCAGTTTTGTGTCGTTTCAGGTAACATGAGATATTTCTGTCATCTATAGGAGATTAATGCTACGGTTTAAAAGAGTTTTACGGTTGATTTGTTGTCTGTACGCTATACTTCAAATTCGTTTTACAAATGTATTACATCTTTCCTGGAAAGGAGGACATATTTGATCAGTGCAATGCTGTTGTGCTGTAAATGATGTAAAGTTTTCTGTTTGTGAGATATGCTGAGATATGCTCTCACATATATTTGGCTTCATGTTTTGTGGATATTTCATTCTTTTGTATGAACCCTTTTGTATAATATGCAAGTGTAGATTGGGAAGTAAATTTGACTTCCCTCCACTCTAGTCTCCCTGGCAGACAACCTGTAACTTGGATATCTGAATTCACTGTTCCTTTTATTGCGTACCAATCATGATTTAATTTCCCCAGCGAAATGACGATATATTATATCAAAAAGTTACTGACCGGAGTTTTTTTTTTTTACATATTTCTTGTTCGAAAATAAACATACTCCCTCCGTCCCATAAAAATAGATCACATCGAGTTTTGAGTTTTGTACTGTTTTTAGTGCAAATTTGAAAACTCAATGCGGATTATTTTTTTGAGACAGAGGTAACTGTAAACAAACGAAATAAATCGTTCTGTTACAATTAAAATATTAAAACTGACGATTAAAATCATTTTGCAACAGTGGGAATGAAAACGAAGTCAAAACATAATGGTCCTCCCAACCCAACTTATCTGTAGTTCTATTCTCCAACACGTGTGAATGCCTACATCCGTGTTTCCACGTGGTTAATGATTTCAATTAGTTTTGCCTCTAATTTGGTTTGATTCTGATTTTAGTTTTGATGCAGTGAATAGCGATTCCAAAAAGTATGCATTAAAAACACTCATCTCCCGTGGTTCCGATATGGTTTCGTTTAAATTAGTACGATCTTCGTGTATAGAACTGAAATTAATACTTCATTAGAGCAAAAAATAAATTTACTTCATTAGAGCAAAAATAAATCTTCATTTTGCCCAATTAAATACTCAAAATTATTATTTTTTTTTAATCACATTACGATATTATTTATAAGATACACATTTAAACTAAAATTATTTCAAAATTTTATGCTTTATTATAGAGATAGAATTGGATCATTGGAGGGAGATTTCATGAATTTGCTCTGCGGAAATGTTACATGTAACAAGTGCTTGAGAGATGAAAATATCTCTCGCCTAGCTATGAGTTTGATCCACATCACATAATATTTCAAAATTTTCTTACACAGATTATATAGAGATTAGTCTGAATGTGCAACACCTTAATGCACACTTATGTGGTTTTCGTACCTAGTAAACTAATAGCAACATGACCACGGAGAATAATACAAACCTTTTTTTTTTTTTTTTTTTTTTGGGTCTCAAGACGTAATACTCCCTCGTGCAAGCTCTTGAGTTCATATTGTTTTGTTTTTTCTAACTTCAAAGTCCTCGTCTAACTCGCGAGGAGTAACCTTAAATTTATTTGCTAATTGTCCCAATCGTCGATATAATTACAATTCAGTGAAGAAAATTAGTTAATACAAGTAGTAGACACCGTGTCATAAGAAAAAAAAATTAAAAAAAGTCAGATTAAGCTGCAATGTTTTGTGGTCACCTGCATTTATAGTTTTTATAATATTTAGTTTTGTCCGAACTAAATTTCTCGATAATTATAAGAAGACCATAGAAACGCTGAATAGACTTGGCGTCATTTTAAAATTTTTTTTTTTTTTTTTTTGAAGAAGCATTTTAAAGGAATTAATCGATCAGGTCTTTACCCCCAATATACCATATTTAATTGAAGAAAGTGGAGCCAAAAAAAAGAAGAAAAAAAATAAGGAAAGAAAGGTAGTTTGAGTGTACAGTACTACTACAATATAGTTCGATTCATCAAATCGTAAATAATTTACGTAATGATGAAGCTTGAGGCAATCACTAGAGTCTAATAACATTTTGTGTAGTATGATAACATAATTTCGACAATAAAAATTAAGGCTCGAATAGATCATCTTTTCTTTTGATTTGTGTTTTTCATAAAACGATTAGTATTAATTAATGATTATGTATACAGTATGTCATTAGGAAATTAATAATACCCGTCCGGTTAAGGAATATTACCAAAGCACTTTGTTTTTTTTTTATTAATTATATCGGTCTAATTATTTTTAGTGAGCAAAATGTCGTAATTTCAAGAAAATTTTATTCGTAGTGAGGTTATAGGGATCCAGGCCGGAAGTAACCCTGCAGCACTCTCGGACATTGAATTTCCGGTAAATGATGTAACGAATTCGATTCAATAGAACACTAGTAGTACTTATATGTACTTCCTTTGATTAAATGATGTCGTAATTTTATTTTTATTTTCTTGTGTTTCAATCATTGTTTTAAAAATACATAGAGCTCTAAATTTTGAGGAGAAGCAAGTCAAACATTATTTCAAAAGAACTTCAATCTTGGTCATCCATTTTTGTGAAACTTCAACTTGGGCAGTATATACAAAATCGCATTCACGCGCGCGCGCACACACACACACCAGACTTTGTAAAATGGAACAAGTCAAATCTTTGTCCTTCGCTGTTCTTGCGTGTAGAAGTTTGATGTGTTACCAACTACTTAATTATCTAATTTCGTCTTTTGTAAAATTTCTCCCTCAAAATAAAAATAAATAAATAAATAATTCTAGATTACATTTCTTTTCCTTACCACATCAACCAATTCTTTCACCCGTAATCTTGTGTTTTCTTTTCCCCTTCCTTTAATTCTTTTGTCTTCCTACTAATTACTAGTGGACTTAAAATGAATTTTGCAAAGCAAAGCTCTCATGGTCCATAAGTATTTGAGTTGAACCGATTATAAGTATGATACCAATATTATTTTCATACAAACAAAAATTTAATAAAGAAGACTACTCCCTCCCTCCTAAAATATCATTGTCCAATTTGGATTTTCAGTTTTAGTACAAATTTTACTAAAAATGTAACTTCAAACTGGACAATTATTTTGTGACACACAGAGTGTTACTTTTATTTTATCTATATAGAGTCAAATAAGTGTAATGAACTGAAGTTCCTATTTTATTAGTAAATGAATATGTATTCTTGTCGAGTTTACAAATAGTCATATTCTTAGGGTTTTTTTAAGCAAAACATCAGGAGGTCTTCCATTGATTCTTGCGGTAAGGGAAAAGAGAATTTGAACTTATCGAGTCAGGAAGGTTTCATTTGGCCAGCTTAGATAACAATCCGAAGTTCGTGGAGTGTAATTTTAAATCTTCTGACCAACTATCGATCCCACCCATATGTTAATATGCTATTTTAGCGAAACATGGTAATCACTGCATTCGACTGCGGATACTCTAAACTATTCGGGGGGGAAATATACACACAGAGGGAGTACGTAAAACCAGTTAAAATAAGTCCAAGCAAAACTTCGCACGGGAAGGTAAATATAGGCATCTACCTCATCTAAGTTTCAAGTACGACTTATACGTACTTTCTTCTGGCAAGGGATATAATCACCGTGCATAACACTGTAGCGTTTTAAATCTGAGCACCTTTGTAGGTTATATCCTATAGCCATGGCGGGAAAAGGGCCAATGTAGAAAAGGTTGTTAGTCAGTTCCTTAAACAAACCTACCAGTTTCAAGATACCAGCATTATCTCAATCATTTCTTTTCTTGTAAGAGGCTTAGTTACTATGCAACTCATGGTCAAGAGAGCTACTGATTTCTTAGGGTACATCATTACGGTGGAGGAGCCAGGAAATCAATGTAATGAGTGCAAAATTTAAGGGAAAAAACTACTAATGGGCAAGGAAATTAGAGAGTGCAAATATATATATATATATATATAATACATAGTTTTTTATTAAAAATTTAGGATATTTCTACCAATTATAAAATTGAGCAAGTGCGACTATACCTCACTCTGCCACGACATATATAGTTGAGATTTGGCTGAAAAATTCCTATAGTAAATCATGCAAATAGCTTGGTATTTGAATGTATATTAATTTAATCTTTCATTTTGTAAATGTTCCAAATCTTCTTCAGCAAAAGGAAGGAACAAACAATAATCGCAGATGGAGAAAATTGAGCAACTAACAAAACATAAAACTGCAGAAGCATAAGTATGAACAAAGTGGCAGATATCAAACCCGGTATATATTCTGAAGCTGACAATATTGAACCAAAATTTACATGTATCCACCCAAACATAAACTTCTAATCTAAGTCGATACAGTTAAGTAAAATTATCTTCCTCCCCTTCCTAATAAATTTTAAAAATCAAAGTCTTCGAAATGTCATTTTACATGCACACCAATTACATTATATACATGAAGTATATATCGATCATACACAATTATACACGTATATAGTTATCAAAATCCTGCCTCCTTTTATTTTCACCACATCATATTCTGGAATTGTGGTAGAGCTACCTTATTGAGAGGTTGAAGAGGGAATTGATGATGATGATGTTGACTTACATCTTGAACGAAGTTTATATCCAATTCGCCGAATCCACCGAAAGGGCTTCCTCCAATTGAATTTCCTTCCTCTCCTTTACACAAAAATTGTGTTTGATGATGATCCTTGTTGGTTCGTTCCATACTTTGCAAGAATCGAAACCCTTGTTGAAGATGAGTAGGATCTTGTTGTTGAAGATTCGTCCAGATCTTGGCCGCGGGGCGGCTATTCGAGTTACTACTGATGACGATCCCTTTGGTTGCGACTCCATGAACTTTCTTCTTCTTGTGGATCCCTTTACCTTCAGCTGATTTCCCAGTGAGTCTTTGAACAAGATTGCGAAAATTTTCAACATCGGTCTTGATGATCTTTGGCGCAACGATGTGGATTATTCGAATCTTCGGCTTCAATTTGGATATGGTACGAGAATCCCTATGTAAAGATAGATGCTTTGAATGCATTGAGAAGCCTGAGAATGCAATATTGTCACTTGATTGTGCGATCATCTTCTCCATTTTCCGGCTGCGAATGAAAGGGAAAAAAAAGCTTTTGTATATGTATCAAGAACGTTGAATTTGGAGGGTTTTTATACAGGGATGGAATGATGTGTATGGAGAAACTATAAAATTTAAATTGTCCTCTAGGAGAACCAAAAAGGCGAGATTAATCTTGGATACAATAACAAGTTGATTATTTGCTATTTGAATGAAAAAAATAAATTATAGAGAAACTTGCATCATAAGTATAAGTATATATATACTAACTACCGTATAATGTCTTTTCCGTACATAAATATCCAATGATTCGGATTGGACAATGGTGAAGTGTACTGCATGATCTCACTTCAAGTTGTTGATAAATTAATCTTCAATGATGTGATAACCTGTTGACTTTTGCAATTAGTAATTATAAAGTCAACCATTTAATTGCAATTATAACAGGAATCAATTTTTTGTAGATGTGTTTAATTTGCAACATGGCTAGGCCTAAGTCCTTTTGCTTCTGTCTGACTAGATGCAGGTTTGCAAATTGCTTTCTATATATTTAACCAGGAGTTGACTGCCAGAAAACAAGTCTATAGTCATATATATAGTTGTGATTGATTCTTGTTAATATTTTGATTTGAAAATTAACTTTTACTCATTATTAATTGCCTTACAACTTTAAACAGAAAGTCTTTGTATACCAAGAGAAACGATCAATGTTGCCATGGAATTCAAGTCTTAAGTATGTGTTTTGTGATTTGTTTTCCAGTTAGGATCTCTTGACACGTATTCTATTATAAATTTTCATATCTCCAAAACCAAAAATATAAACACTTCCGCTACAAGGAAAAAAAAAGTTGTGCTTGTTGACCAAGTTAGTAAAAGGCATGAAAATCCTCACGAAATGGTGTTTTGGTATCTACTTTTGGGTCGTCAATAAATGAGGTAATCTATAGGGTCTTTTTTTTTTTAGTTCGATCTTGTTGTATATGTGATATATGTACGTATGAGAAAATTTTTTATGGGATTAACTTCCTGGATGTTCAGAGTGTTTAAACTAACATTATATTTTGTACTGCCTCGCGGTTTCTATAGTTTGTCTTATAAATAAATAGAACAGGAAGGATATATCTTCTATAATTGCATTGTATACATAGCTGCAGGTAACCCAAAGGGTAGAAACATTTTGACAATTTATTTGTTATTCCAAAGTTGTTCATCATTTGGAATGTATATAAATAGAGATTGACGTCATTTGTTTAAGCTGGACATAGATGAAGAGAAACGAACTAGGTGAGCTGACTTTATTTGTACTCCCCATGTCTCAAAATTATTATCCAGTTTGAGATTTCACTTTTAGTTCAATTTGTACTAAAAATGAAAACTCAAACTAAACAATAATTATGAGATGGAGGGAGTATAAAATCGGGGTCATGGGATGCCTCGACATGTAGGCTTACACTTATGTGCAACTCAAGTAACGACAAGCATTAAAGAATTTTGTGCATTTCATACAAAATGACCAAAAGGATGAACTTGTTGGAACGATGGAATCTTATATAATTATTGTAATAAATTGGTCGAAATAGGCCATCAAGTTTGTTCGTATTCCGAAAATAAAGGCACATATTTTCAGTCAAAGCTTTATTTTAACACAAAATGGTGATGCCCTTTAATTTTTAGAAAAGAAAATTGGTATTCGGTGTTTCCCTACTGAAAAGAAAAAGGAAAAAGAGGAACTTTATATGATGAGAATTTAAATATAATTAGTTAATTTTGATTCTTTTTTGGGTACCAAACGCCAATGGCGAAATCACTTAGTGGATCGAGTCATCGAGATATTAGAAATTTAAGGGACTTGAGAGTGGAACGAATCTGATATAGAAGATTCAGATACATGATATATGGACGAAGACACTACAATACGTTGTAGAGAATGGTTGGAGATCAAAGATAGAAGGAAAGATTACAAATCTGAAATATTTAGGCTTATCTGACAATTTCACAATCCAACAGTTTTTGTTTGGAATGATTAACTGGAGTTTCAATTGTTATTGGGACCCTTGTATTACCTTGCTTTGGTATGATTCTAGCTCAATCTCTATATCTGCAATTAGAAATGTTGCTACAGTAACTTTATTTTTATTTAATTGTAGAATAGAGTTAAAATATTAATTAAAATATTTAACACAGATTGTTATAACTCAGTATTTTGGTTAATTAACCAGTCACAGAAGGTCGTAATTCTTCTCATCAGCTTTTATAAATAATTATACATTGTTTTGATAAGAAAAAAAAAAGTGGAAGAAAAAATATGAATACGCCATCATAAAAAGTAGGTCATGTCTTAATACACAAGTTATTATATTCTTTGTCCCAAAATCTTACAAATCTCAAATGTGGATTATTTTTTAGAGATAGAGTTAATATTTTTGGTGTAAACTGCTTCGATGACATCATGTCAAATGTGGAATATCTCTTGCGTAGTTCATTTAATTTATTTGGTGATGTCTATGTAACAATTGGTTTTTATTATACAGCCATGATGGTTAGGTTTAAGTATCCGAGATTCAGTAGGTAGCATGGATGTGGATGGAAAATGAGACAGCATTATCGCAAAGTAATTAATTAGACTTCACAAAATGATAGTAAAGGTTTGGAAAATAATATTAAGATCCTAGGTGTATCTAGGCAGTGCGTGAATCACACACAAAGGAAAAGAAATTGAAATTTTTGAGCCCGGGTAAAAGGAGTCCACACGCGCATTTAATCACCCAATTTTATTCCTTTTTTTTGACATTTAATTCTCTAATCTTATCCTTTTTTTTGGCATTTAACTCCCTGATCTTATCCCTTTTTTTTGGCACTCGATTAATTTTAAGTCTTTTTTTTTTAAAATTTTCTTATCATGTTAGCTTTTATATTGTTTTATTTTATGAGATAATTTTTTTATAACAATGGATTTTATGTTAGTAAAATTGACTATGGTTAATCATTGAGACTTATGAATATGGAGAATCAATGTGTATTTTCCCAGTAATGAATAACCAACGTTTAGACAATGAATAATGTTATCCAATTATTGAAAGATGATTGATGTAGAATGTAGTCGTTTTATTGATGAATATACATGCGTAAGGTAATGCGTATTATATGGTTAATGATGAACATGAATTTCATTGTTGTTTTCTGACCGATGGTGTATTATCTTATTACGTTTTTATGATGAATATCTTACGTTAATTAATGAATAACGAGTTCTTATTGATGAATACTTGGACGATGTTTCAACTCTGAGAAAGAGGCTTTTGATGCTTATAATTCTAGCGCATTGTTTTTTCAATAAAAAGGTTCAAAGATTAGAAAATGTCCAAATCTGGTGTTTTATATTGGAAACAATTTGCATGTAACAAACAAGGAGTAAAAAATTCATGAGGTAGATGATATACAACAATGAATAATTATACCAAACTGATGAATACGACAATTTCAACAATGAATAATTATACCAAACTGATGAATACGGTAATTTCAACAATGAATAATTATACCAAACTGATGAATAATACAAAGATCTACTAATTTACCAAAAAAATAATACTAGTTTACAAAACTGCTGAATAACCCTCTATATCAATGTCTACAGTTATTGTGGTTTGGTCTTTTTGCAGATTCAGATTTCCTGCTTCTTTCGGCTTCTGATTGTTGTTCTTCGCTCATGCTTCTTTCAGATTCTATCTGATATTCTTCGCTCATACTACAATATGTTTACAAATTCCATGAATAACTTGTTAGATGTATAAATTTTTTAGTGTGTTTCTTAATATTAATGTATCAAATGTATCAGAAACTTAATGAATGACTGTTCGATGAATTAATGGATAAATGTATATTGATTATGAAATCGGAAAATTAATAATAATTGCTGACCAATGAATAACATCCCTTTACGGATGATTATCCCAAAACAAATTTTACAACAAATTATGATGAATACCAATTTTACCAAATTGATGAACAAATTTAATGAATAACTAACACATAGTTGTGATAAACGATGAATCCGGCAATTTCAACAATGAATAATTATACCAAATTGATGAATAATACAAACATCTAGTAATTTACCAAAAAAAAAAAATACTACATATAGTAAACGATGAATCCGACAATTTCAACAATGAATAATTATACCAAACTGATGAATAATACAAAGATCTAGTAATTTACCCAAAAAATAATACTATATAGTTATGGTAAACGATGAATCTGATAATTTCAGCAATGAATAATTATACCAAACTGATGAATAATACAAATATCTACTAATTTACCAAAAAAATAATACTACATAATTATGGTAAACGATGAATCTGACAATTTCAACAATGAATAACTATACCAACCTGATGAATAATACAAAAATCTACCAATTTCTCATAATACAACATCCAATAGAAGAACAAAACTCTAAAATTGATGAAAAAATATCGTCAATCGAGTGAATATACCTTACATCTACAGAACCCAAACAAAAAAAAAAAAACACCAATGGTTGAATATGAAGAAAACTTTAAACTTGATGAACAGATATGCATAATCAAATGCATATACAGTAAATCTACAAAAGCCATCAAAAAACGCATCAATAATCCAAAAGATTAATAATATTACCTTCGTTCATCTTCACTTTCCAAACTGCTTCTGTTTGGTTCAGATCCTCAATCGGTGATTTCTGCGTGGATGAATTTTGTTCATGTATTACCTTAAATCGCATCTTGAACAGAGTATATTTCCACAATTTCCACTGGATTTGATGCACAATCTAATTCCGTCCTAAAAAATCCAGCCGACGAGAGGTTTTCTGGCCAAATCGCTGTAGAGAAAAATTAGTTTTATAGTTTTTTTTTTTTGAGACGGATTGTGATGAATGGGGTTGTGAATGAGGTAGAAGATGGATATGGTTAATGGCTGAAAATTAGGAGGAAATGGTAGGATTTAAAATTCTAAAAATCTCACAAAATGGGAAATTAAATGAGATTGCTGTAAATATTGAGAGATGTCCATTTTTGGGTCGCGTGAGACTCACACTAGGTACACCTTGGATCCCTATATTATAATTGGTAAAGGTTTTTGCATTTTCTTTTGATACAATTTGTACATTAAGCTTAACTTGTACCTTGGCAGAATGTCAACTGTATTATTACAAAGTCAC